GAGGACACGCTTAGAGCTAGCCTAAAGAGGTACGACTGTACTTGAAAGTTGCTATTGAAAACTAATAGGTTGTTATAGCCTACTTTGATTCCTCGAAGTCTACCGACCTTGTTATTCGAACCGTGGATGATGACTTTAAGGTCCATAAGGTGGTTGTCTGTGGGCAATCTGAGTATTTCACCCGTCTATTCGATGGAGACTGGAAGGTATGTTTCACCGGCAATTGCTATTAAACACGCGGCTTATAGCTGTTGGCCTTCTAGGAGACTGCGGAAAACGTTGTTGATCTTTCGAAGGACGACCCTGCTACCATCGAGGCGATGGTCCGTTTCATGTACGAGGCTGATTACGACGGGAGTGGCAGCAACAGAGGGCGGATCTCACCTATGCTCTTCAATGCTAGGGTGTATGAAGTTGCAGAGAAGTACTCTATACTTCATCTGAAGGAACGAGCCAAAACGAAATTCAAAGATGCCGTGCGTACCTGTTGGGATATGGATGACTTTTCCCCAGCTATCAAAGAAGTTTATACAAACACTCCCTCTATTGATCGAGGGTTGCGTGATATAATTTCGCAAACTGCCTTTCAGAATATCGAATCACTGCTGCGGAAGGATGATTTTCAGTCAGTTTTGGTGGAGTACCCTGGGTTTTCCGCAGATGTCGTTCGCCTCCAAGCTAATAGCTCTCATCCACCTCCGGCTAATCCTCAGAGAACAAGATGCAACAACTGTGGATACAACATCTATTAGGCAGGTAAATAGTTACTATTCTACCATAAACTGCGTTTCTCCATCCAGATGTGTATTCTTTTAATATACAGTAACACTACAGAGACACAATATGGCTAAGACGTGAGGTGTATGCCATGTTGTATTTGGCCCTGCTGGTAGCAGTCCAGTCCCTGGCCTTGTCAATTGGTTCGCCAGGCAGTCGTGCGCCTTGATATAGGCTACCTTGGCTTTTACCCCGTACTGCCACCTACTAAAGATGTTGTCTAAGAACAACATGATGAGCAAGGCAAGCAAAAAAGCGAGCTGCAGTTCCGGAAGGGGGGGGGGGGGGGGGGGGTTAGCCTTACCTTGTGTTGGACTCTCGTCCTCTGAATCCCCTCGTTTATTTGAGTATCGGCACTCTGGCGGCAAATCCTCGCCCTTGAATATCATGCCGGATAGGCGGTAATAAAGATGCTGTATGCAGTCTTGCGGTCGTTCTGTTCCTTTTTGAATTTTGTAATCAATACAGGCATCAAATCGTCTTTGAACTGCGTTCCTCCATGCAGAGTCCTGGTTTGCGTGTGCAGCTCGTATGTTATTGACTGGCCCGTTTTCCGTCATCCGCCGTACTTGAACATCTGGTATTCTATTATTTTTCCCTGGGAATATCTAAACGAGTTCATAGGACGTTATATTCCTCCTACAGAGGGAAATATGCTGAAAGAATGTTGAGCCATAACGTGTCGACGGTCTCCAGGGAACCTACTTGGACAGTTAGCAGACATCTGGCAAAATAAATGCTCGTCAACTTACGTTTCATCCTTGGGACCCCTGAGGTTGATGGTTGATATTTCTGAATATCAACAGTGATCTTGTTGGTATATGGTGTGCTGATGTGGATGGTGTAGCTGCAGTAGGCGAAGAAGCTTGAGGGAAGATAGGTGTAAATATAGCGCTGTATTGGGTCAAGCGAAGGCAAGGATTTCACTGTCAAAGGAATATTCATATTATTTAATGAGAATGCTTGGTGAAGGCTTGATTCAACATTCTTGTTTCACTACTCTACATTGATCAGCGAATGTCTCATTTGGAGCCAAATTGACAATCGTGATTTGAGAAGAGGCACTATTTGACATGCCATACCCTTTCTACACCGTTGATTGAAGTACCAAGAGGAATATGAAAAGAAGTACTATCAAGCATCAATTGAGATATAACCCCCATGCCAAATTACAAAGACACATACATAGCAATGAAAGAAAACTCCCACCCATTCACCTATCCGCCCATCCATCAATCAATCCATCCATCCATCCATCCCGTTTCACTGATATGGAATCTGTAAGTATGTATAATCAACGCTAAAAGGGGAAGAGCCTTGATATGACTCGGTATAACAAAGGGTACGCAGGGGTGGAATTCAAGTAAAGACGAGTAAATAAGAAAAACCGCTTGCTCATCATGTGTGTGCATAAATTATTTTCTTTTTTTCTCCGGTTGGAAAGTCATGCAATGCAGTGGTATAAACTCGTGGGGAATTCATAGGCGTGTAAAAGAAGTTTTAACAACGGATAAGATAATGCAGTACAATGCAAGAGAAGACGTCAAACGGTCGTGTCGCTAGTGAGGAAAGTGTATGAGGAAGAGGTCATGATAATATGGGATTAATCAATTTTAGCATTCGCAAGCCTCATGTTGGTGGATCCTAGGCCTGCCAAATTATTCGAGAAGCGAAGCGGGTGGTTCTTGAATTTGGCGTGTTTCTTCAGCTTTTTGCGAGCAACCATCACTGGAGCTGACGATTTGGTGACGAGGTAGTTTGAGAATGAGCCCAGAAGGACGCTACGGGGCTAATGTTAGCTAGGTAGGTGTGCATAGGAAGGGGCCTTATACGAACCCTTTAAGCGCGCTTCGGCCTCTAGAGCCGAGGATGACGAGGGTAGGCTCAAGAGCGTCGATCTATAGAGTTACTTAGTTAGCATGGCATCCGCATGCTTATACTGCATGGGATGAAGACTTACAGCTTCGGTGATGAGGTGTTTCGGGCTCTTGCAGTGTATTACTTCAACAGCGACGCGGACCTGCAGCTTCGTCTTGCGCATCAAGCGAACACACGTTTCCGTAATACCGTCGATGGCATGAAGCCTGTCCGCCTCTACCTTCGACATGGCTCTCGAATCCACTGATCCAGTTGTGCTTTCAATCACCCTTTCCTTCTCACTGCCTGAACCCGGCAGATGCGTGCTTGAGACTTGCGGAGAAGGGAAAGCTGATGATGACGGCCGGGTGGGTATCTTTGATGAGCTGCCGGCTGTCTGTGAGTGCATTGTCGCCGCTATATCCATTACTGCCTTGAAGCCATCACTTATGGGCATTACTGATGGCAAATCCGTTTCGGATGGTCTGGTAGAAGAACCTTCTTCATCGATGGCGTAGATGGCATACATAGTATCTCCGTCACGCAGTATAGTGCCAATGGTCCATTCAAGGGCATATACTGATTCTTCACTCAGATCTGTGGCTACCAGGTAGCTACGGGCCCGACGAAGACCCTTCTCAGCCTCTTCTTGCATCTTGGTAAAGTCTCCTCGGACAATGGTGCGTATGACTCTGTTGGGGACTGACTGGTCCGTAGGTGATAGGTAGACGTTCAGGTTCTGAGCCTTCTTGATCTCGCTGACTTCTGCTTCATCTTCCACGTTCCCACCTTCGTCGTCAGAGCCGACAGGAGTATTGCCTTGAGAGACGGTGATGTCGAAATTCGTATTTGGGTGGACACCGGTCTTTTGTCTCATGGGCCGTTCACTAGCAGCTGCAACTGCACGGTTGTCCATCGGTTCGAGTAGAGACCGGACCTTGTATGTTGACGATACGTTTTTGCCTGTTCCTTGTTAGACATGATGATAATGACCGAAAGAGAAAAAAAGAGTGAGAGTTCATGTACATACGTTCTTCCTCCGCCGCAGCAAGCAGGCTCCTGACCTTCTTAGCTGCGTCCGTGTCATCTGTATCATGATCGGGTCCCTGGGCTTCAGGCTTCTTTCTTATCCTTGGACGGCCTCGACCAACGCCCATCCTCCACAGGTCCTCATCAGAACTTATATCATCGTCGTCCTCGCTGGTGTGATCCTCACTAAATCCCCCGTCTGGGGTATCAAGGTAGTAATCTTTTGCCAGCCTGGCGTCCGAGTCTGACATCTCTGCCATGTCTTCTAGTTCCTTCTTTTCTATATGAGGAAGATTGGCCAGGCTGCCGCCCGACCTCTGCAGCGCGGCATTGGACAGCTTTCTATATGCATGATCCAGGTTGATGACTCTACCTGAATCCGTGACGAACGTGCTGACGTTCGACTTGGAGTTAGCCGCAAGCGGATTAAGGCTGTTGAGCGAGTGTGGTACCGGAGACCGCGAGCGCATGGGGGAGGTCGAGTTAGGCGCGAACCCAGGAGCATGGCGCCCGATCTGTCGACCGCGGGGGAAGCCAGGTAACGGGCTAAAGTCGGATCCCGACATGACGGCGGCCATGGAGTTGGCATGTTTTGCGTTAATGTTGTTGTGATTGTTGCCGTTTCCGGTCACGCTCTTCTTGCCACCCTGGGTGACTCGTTTTGGCAGCGCCTGGCTGGGTATACTGGGCAGCATGCTGAACTGGTAGGCCTCGACGCCCGACTTCTTCCCTACTGACGGTAGACCGTTGTAGGATGACTCTGAGGCCCGACGCTGGCCATCTGACTCGTTTATCGACGGTGTCCTGGCAGAAGAGGTAGGCGAAGAGGCCGCGCTATGGGTCTCTCTCAGCGGAGAAGGGGATATGGGATCGAGCATGCTCCGGACGCTGGCGGACGACGACTTGACAGAGCCTGGCCGTGCCGGCGCGACATCGAGCATGGAGCGTATGGGAGGAGCTGGGCTAACATGGTGGGGACGAGCAGACTGGTTCTGTTGGCCCTGCTGTTGGCTGTGCTGGCTGTTCTGCTGCTGTGGGCGACCCTGGAGGATCTCGAGGATCTCGCGCCGTTCCTCGTCGAGAGCAGCTTCGAGAGACATCTTGGGAATCATGGTGAGGGAGGAAAAGAAAGAGGAAATACGAGACAAGAACAAGATAGGCTTGGATTTGGGCGGAGTGACTGGCGGAGGAACCGTGGTGGAGCCAGGCGAACCCAGAAAAGCCCACAGTCCTTTAAGAAGTTGTAGAAAGCAAAGTCGAAGTCGTTTCAGCCGTTAACATAAAAAAAAAAAGGCGAATACAATATAGAGGGACAGTCACAGAGCAGAGAATCCTGGGCAAGCAGGATGTTTGATCTTCACTTGGATCGAGATGCTGGTTTGTCCGTGGCGCTGCAGCCACAGGGAAGCAGGCGCTCGCAGCAACGCTAGTAGGACAGAGGGCTTGTAGTACTCTGTAGTTTCAAGGTCAGCAAAGCCAGAGCAGAGGACAAGAGGGTCAAGAAGTGCGAGACAGTCAGGATCAGGGTCGCGATGGAGGCAGCGGGAGAAGAAGAAGAAGATGTGGCTGAAGCAGCTCGTCCATGTTGTTTATATTAGGGCCTGGGCAAGTTGAGAGGACAAGGAAGGCCAAGCGGAAAAGGCGACAAGGAAACCCTGGGGACAGGATGCGCTTCCTCCTGACCCTCACTCTTTGAGGTGCCGTTGATGCTTGTCGATGCCGTTTGTTGTATTCGCGACTCGGTGATGTTGGTAGAAAGTCGACTTTTGCTAATTGACAAGAAGAGACCAAGAAGAACCAAAATGAACAACAGAGAAAGACAGGAAAAGAAGAAGCAGAAGAAGAACCAACAGATCAACTTCAGCTTGGCAAATCATAGCCTGCAGGAGGAAGAAGAAACCATGAAATCAAAGTCCGAAGAAAATCCCCCTATAACAACCCATAATATGCACCCGATCCAGACCAACCAACGGACGCCGGTAACATCGAATAACAACATATAGTCGAGAGAAGTGATAGACAGGAAGAAGATGGGAAAAAGGAATATAGGCTCACGCCTTTGCCTTCTTTCGTCCATCCTCGCGTCTCTGTCCCTTGTCCTGGCCGCCGTGGGTTCGTGGCTTGTGGAAGGCTTCTTCCGGCGGTTCATCATCTGCGGTCCGCTTCTTCGGCCTGTTCTTCTGCTTCTTCGCATACTTGGCCTCCAGACCGGCCAGGAAGGACTCCCCTCTGCTCTTCTGGCGCTGCTGGATGAGCGCCATCAACGCATCTTCCCCACCGCCATCCTCCTTTCCTTTTCCCTTCTTCGTCTTCTTGTTGTTATTACTGCGGCTGCCAAACAGCTTCTCCTCCACGCCCAATTCCCGAGCCATCTCCATGGCCTCACCGGCTTCCTTCCTCGCAGCCCTGCGTCGCGCCCTTTTCGTCTCCACCGGCTCGTCGGTGAAGGCAGGATAGTCAGCTACCTCACCGTCCTTGATGGCGGTCTGGATGATGGCCCGGAACCGGTCATCGTCCTCTAACACGTCACTGGCCATGACGCGTTCGTAGATCCCATCCATGTTCCCCTTGCATTCCTCATATACCCGTAGCAAGTCTCTCTTCTCCTCGTCCGAGCCCTTGTACTCCTCCTTAAACTTGTCCAGAAGCGTCCCGTCGATCATGACATTGAACTGCTCGCGGTAAAAGTCCGTCCAGTTGAAGTCGTCGTCCTCTAGGTCCAGCGACTCGGACGTGTTGCCGGTCGTGTCGTAGCGTCGACGACGCCGCTCGTCAGACAGGACGGCATATGCAAATGCGATTTCCTGGAACTTCTTATGGGCTTCATCTTTGGACTCGGAAGAGACCTTGTCTGCCACAATTCAATCAGCGTCTCGCCATTAACTCTGTCCGCATTCTCCCCGTTCATACCTGGATGGTGTCTGAGTGCCTTTTTCCTGTAGGCCGACTTGATCTCGTCTGCGCTCGCCTGCTCTGCCACCCCAAGCACCTCGTAAGGGTTGATGGACGGCGGCTCTTCGCATGCAACTCCGTCGCTGGAAGACATCTTCTAAGAAGGTCTATCAAGTCTCTTTTCTCTTTTCTTCTTCGACTTTTCTTCTTCAACTTCAAAATCACTTAAAGTCGCGACTTTGACGCGTTGATTAATAATGTATGACTAAGATGTTTATGTAACATATGAGTAAGCGGATTGTATAAAAGTTTTGTTCAAAAAAGAAGAAAGTAAACGTACTACGTATATATTGCAACCTGTTCGCCTTCTTCAATGCCTAGATACGATTATCATTCAATCTCGGCTATTGGCTTTACCAACGTCTTTTCTTATACCCAATAGTGTGCCAGGGTTACTAAGTAGCAAAACGCTACATCGCATGTTGAATCCCGAGTGCCTCCCTAGAGAACGTCCACCCGGAGATCCGTTTACCCTCCCTTGCCTCTCCGCTTATATATCCAATCTCATATTTACTTGAATAGCACTCCTAGGGACTCTCTACAGTCCCTCCCCAAAATTGGGGGCAAATGCAATGAGCATGACACAGAACCGATAATACTCGAAAAACTAGTCTGCATCTCGTAAGATGGCGATCCCCATAGTGAGTTTTCTATCCTCTTCTTTCTGGATGGGCGGCGAGCCATCCTTCATTTACACCAGGAGAGGTTGTTCCGTGATCGTAGCTGAAAGTATTACTCAGGTGCCTAAGGGGCATGTTCGCTACCCTCTACGACATGGAACAGCAGTTTACTCCCTTTAAGCAGTCCATGATCTCTCAAGATGCTCTTCGATATATAGGTCGATTTTTAGAGCAGACTGATCTCTCCTAAAATCCTCTGCCAACCTATACTCTACTACCATTATACTATCGCCCCCAACCCATATTGACTTCGACCTAGTTGCATCATATCCAAAAATGAGTTTCAGATTTATCCAGTGTTGGAATGTAGAGCTGGTGTACCTGATGACGATTGAATAATTAACGGCGGTTCAGTCTAACATCTATGCTAAGAACGCGCGGTGAGCGCTGCAACTTCACGCAGCGAGTCAACGATGAACTCTGGCTCTAGTTCATTACATGCGCCGTGATCTCCATATCCATACCGACACCAACAGGCTTGCCCCCCAATATTCCTTGCAAACTGAATATCTGCAACCGTATCGCCAATAACTAGGACACGGCTAGCATCGATACCAGTCAATCCATACTGCGTGCGTAACGTAGGTGCTAAGACCTCGGTAAAACTAGCAGGACTAGGCTTTCGTTCTGCGCCGGGTGTCTTATCGCCAATAATCAAGTTCTCGGGTATATATTTGGCTATATCGTTGCGTTCAAGGGCGGTTTTGACTGCCGCAACTCCTTTGTTACTGATGATAGCAATAGGGATCTTTTGGAGTTCTAGCTCGTGCAAGGTGTCTTTGGCGCCAGGAAAGGGCCGGATTAACAACTGGCCATCGGTTGCATATATCGCACGATATTTATCGATCCATCTGTCCTCTTCCACTACAGTAAATGCCGTGGGATCAGGATGAAGTGCTCGGAAAGTATCAGAGAGGCCGGCACCGCTAGAGATCAGTCGGTGGACTTCTGACTGCGGCAGGGTATGCGAGGGCATCAAGGCATCGAAGGTGAGTTTAATTGACTGTTCGATGGACTCATGTGTGTCAAAGAGCGTGCCGTCGAAATCAAAGATGGCAAGGGAGGTCATGTTGGGCTGTTGGTGGTTTCTGCTGCGCTGGGGTATTCCCTTTTCTCCTCGGATTTGCTGCTTAATATATTAAGCTGCCCATCTTGCACGAGGCATGAACAGCGGCCCAACCGTACCAGGTACCCTGCCACTTAGTGCTTATATTATGAATGGATATCTGTCGTAATATACAGGGTGGAGGAGCATGGTACTGTGAGAGTTACGGCGGTCCGCACACATGGGTGATAAGGACATGCATATAACATGTATGAAGCCTTGATATGGTTACAGGAACACCCATGTCACTGTCTAATAAAACTGTGGTAGGCCCGCCCCCTATCCCTCAGAACAGAAGATAGTAAGCTGTTATTTTTTACGATTATCGCTGAAATGGCGGCTGCAACACGTATAATCGAAGTCTCGACGCCGGCTATTGATTCCTTGATGATCCCCTTTTGCTGCGCAACGTCCACCCCCAAAGTTATGCAAGAAACCATCCACAATCTGACCCGCGAGGTCATTACAGCTGCTAAAATCTTCGACAAAAGCCTTACCCATGTCACAATGATACCAATCCTGCGCGGAGCACTGCCCATGTTTATTGCTGCGCAGCCTCTGTTTGCGTCCACCTCATGCATCCTCGTGCGATGTAGCAAGAAGAAAGGTTCCAAGGACGTGGTCGTTGAATGGCAGGGCCGAAGGCCGTTCCCTCTAGAAGATGGCGACGGGAAGATTGTCATTTTAGACACTATCATTGCTACGGGAGATACGATTATCAAACTCTGTGAAGATCTCTGGGTGATGTCTGGTGCGCGAATGGAGCAGTCAGTAGTTGTCATGTGTTGCTATGCGGCTCCCAAGGCTTTGGAGCGGATCTCAAATCACCCAATCGTGCATTATGTAGTTGTTGCGAAGAAGGCGGAGGGATGTGACGAAGGGGGATACCTTATTCCTTATACTCATGGGGATATTGGTGACAAGGTATATGGCAAGGCGAGGGGTTGGGAGCCGGTGGCAGTCATTGCAGACGGGCAGGACACGCAGACTATGCTAAATGAGGTGATGGATTTACTCATTAAAAATGGCGGACTATGGGAGCTTACCCCTGATGGAACTGGCATTGAACGCAGCATTAAATTTCCAACGTTTAAGATGGCTTGGGCAAGTGAGATACCGGATGAGATTTACAGGATATCCTTTGCTAACTATATGAAGGCCTTCATGGAACGTGTTGCGGCTGCAGCAGCTACATATCGACATCATCCAGAATGGACAAATGTATGTTCCCCCCTTACCAGGTCTAAGGCTTTTTCTGACATTTATAGGTCTACAATAAAGTCTCTATTCGCTGGACGACACACCAGCCAAAGGGCCTTACAGAATTAGATGTGAAGCTGGCTAAGCTATGTGATGATTACACTAAAATCTAAACTCAGTCAATGGTTTCTCTCATCCAATTCCATACCCTATAAACAATAGGCCACTCTACACCTTTTTGTTGAAGGAAAATCCAACAAGAACTACTCTAACGGCAATAAAGAAAAAAACACATCCTACCATCATAACACCAGCAAATACCTGTAAACCCCAATAAGTCCCATTCTGTCGACTCAAGATTGCCCCAGCAATAGGGGTCCCAGTTAGCGTTGCAATGCTAATGCAAGTAAATAGAACTCCTTGACGAACCCCGGTTTTGGTCACATTGGTTGAGATCTGGCTAAGAAGGGCAGGTACCATACCTACAAACGCACCCGAAGCGAATCCGTATAGTAGGCAGAAGATTATATAGACAGCCGCGGAACTAGGATTGATAAGGGTCCCCGGGATCCAAAGAGCGAGTAAAACAATAGCAGAAAGCGCACACATAGCAATCATTACGTTAAATCGACCCCACTTATCACCAAGATATCCGGGTAATATTCGGCCAGGGAGACTAAACATAATAATAAGTCAGTCTGATAAAGCAAGCCGTTTATAGAAGACAACTCACCTTGCAGCATTCAATATAGTCAGCAGGTATCCAGCTAGGTGAGGGTCCACCCCATCTCTTTGCGACTCTAGGATAACGTAGTTGATAGGCACAAACATAGCAAAGAATCCACAGCAAGAGGCCAGCATAAGTAAAATAAATGGTAGCTCTAAGAAGGGGTCTATGTAATCATGGAGCCTAACCGGCCGCGGGATAGGGGCTATCCTTGACCGTATAGTTAAGTTCGCAATAATTAATAGAATAAAGACCAAGAGTCCAGCAATTCTTAGAGTCCATCCGAATCCGATGCGAGGCAATAGTTGAGATAACATAGTTGGGAATATAACTCCACCTAGAGAGGAGCCACTGGAAACAATACCAAAAGCTAAGGCTCGTCGTTTATCAAACCATGTTGCGGTACACGAGAGTGCTGGGTAAAAGACAAAGCTTGCACCTAGCGGGCTGCAAATACCTTGGGCAAGGATGAACTGATAATACTTATCAGAAATAGACGTCATCATGAGCCCGAAAACGTGCAGGAATGTCCCGATGACAAGGAGCCATTTTGGTCCATAATTATCGAATACCTATAGTCAAGGGTTTAGAATGTTGGATACGGAAGCTGCTGGATATTCATGGGGGAGCCATACCCGTCCAATAACTATCCCAGCCGCGAAGAGAACAAATGGCTCCAGAGACAAGATCCAGGATATGCTTGAAGTTGAGTAAGAGTGCAATTGATGAGTTTGATAATACTCCTGGAAAACCCCGATAGCTGCATTCACACATCCTGTCAGTATTATATCATATCATTGTCAGAACACATGGAACTGTTCTCACCGTTGACCCAGCCAAAACCACAGAAGATACAGCACCAGGCCCCAGCAACCACTGTCCAGGCGCGGAGTCCTTGGTCCGTACAGCCTGCGGGATCAATTTGTATTTCACTTGCTGCCGCTACCACCTCAGGCTTCGATTCCGTAGAAGGCGGCGTATCCATACTAGCTCTTTATGCATTGGTTGTGCTCACATGCACTCCCGAAATTGAACGACATAAGAGGCCTCGATATTTGTACCCTCCTACGAGCCTTCCGTGGAGACATCAAAAGGAAAATTGGGATTGGAAGAAGTCTAGACTAAGAGAAAATATCGGATGACAAGCGGTCATTCTTTGTCTAGGGTCCAGGGGCCAGGGTAGAGTTACAATGCAGCAAGCACACGACCACGGCCAGTGTGGGCTGGAGTATTAAACGGCAGTACCCACATAGGTCAGACAGCTAGGGTACATCAACGTGATTATGGAGTACATACACAATAAATGTATGGAAGATGGGGGTAAACAAGGGACGGAGGCGGCGGAAATGCCTGTACTAAGGTACACTACTGCACGGCGGTATGCAAGCATTCGCTAAGTGTACACCAAGTGCCTCTATTCCATATTAAAAGCCTTTTCTTTCCGTGATGCTTGTCTGAACCAAAGTAACCTTAGCAGGGATAGGGCTGTTTTTGGCTCCAAACTGTCCATAATCACGGAGTTCGCGGGACAGTAGGGAGTAGTCCCGATCCAATAATAGGGGGCTTCTACATAACTGATCCTGGAACTTACTCTCTTACGCATCCGCAGAATTGGGAAAATTTTAGTATTTGGCCAACAATAGACCATAGTTAAATGTTTGTATAAAATTTTATAGAGAGATCCAGGGATACCCGCTGAACTTAAGCATATCAATAAGCGGAGGAAAAGAAACCAATAGGGATTGCCCCAGAAACGGCGAGTGAAGCGGCAAGAGCTCAAATTTGGAGTCTAGCCTCCCTTAGGGGGTCCGAGTTGTAATTTATAGAGGATACTTCGGATATAGCCGCCGTCTAAGTTCCTTAGAACAGGACGTCGTAGAGGGTAAGAATCTTATCTTGGGCGGCTAGTTCGCGCTCGTATAAAGCTCCTTCGACGAGTCGGGTTATTTGGGAATATAGCTCTCAGCAGGAAGTAAATTCCATCTAAAGCTAAATACTAGCCGGAGATTAATAGCGCACAAGTAGAGTAATTGAAAGGTTAAAAGTACCTTGAAAAGGGAGTTAAACAGCACGTAAAATTGTTAAAAGGGAAGCGCCTGCGGCCAGACTCGAGGGGCGGGGTTCAGCGGGTGCGCGTCACCCGTATACTCCCCCATTCCTCTAGGCTAGTATTAATTTCGACGGCCGGTCAAAGGCCCCCGGAATATGTCGTCTCTAGGGACGTCTTACAGCCGGGGGTGCAATGCGGCCCCCCGGGACTGAGGAACGCGCTCCGGCTTGGATGCTGGCGTAATGGCCGTAAGCGGCCCGTCTTGAAACACAGACCAACCCCTGAAGAGTTAAGGTTCAACCCTAATAGAACTCCAGTCCCAACGCCAACACACTGATAACCACTCCTGGTCGACTGAACGCATGGAATAATTAGAGTAATTATTTGCTGCTCTAAAATATTACATCGACGTGAGAGTGCCGTTCATGCAGCCAGACTCTCAGACTGGCCACTGTGATACACCATGTGATAATTATACCCCTATATACAGGCCATGCAGTGGCTGTTCGAGCTAGCAGACTAGTCAACTTGGAGTATGTTGGCAAGTCTGATCCTTGACATTTGATGAGCTGCATTTACAATATTATTGCTAGTAATGGGTATTTGCCGTTGATGCTGATGGACTGCATAGTGAGCCAGACTGGCCTCTTTGCGGTGCTGTTACCATGCATTTCCGGGTTAACATATGCATTCGGCTCGAGAGGGTAAAGGGGCAAATTATACACCCAGAGCGTCTCAAGGGGCATAGGCACAGTATATATGAGGATGGGATCTCTCTCAGTGGTACGTTCCCAAGAGACCGCCGCAGAAAATACCCCTACCATCCGTTGAACTCTGATAACGATCGTTGTATCTGTGAGAATGATGAACACAATCCCCCCAAGCCAGCAGCTGCTTGCATTTGAGCTTCCTCGAGACCAAGTCGATGGATTTATCCTGCCAACTCAGGCACTATTCCCTGAATACAAATCGCCAGCCAGTTGTCCTATTCGAACCGGGGCGCAATTAAGTCTCTTTGAAGACGTCTCTGTTGCCTATGAACCGTCAACTTGGTGGTTGGATGGAAATTGCCCCGAACACCCCTATTTCGAGAACGATGGTAGGATCAATTTCTGTGTGAAGGCTGTAAAGCAGCCGCTCCTCGGTTATATCCTCGAGGGATGCAAACTCCTCCTTACGAGAACCGGAAACAGCGAATTCATTCCGTCTATAACTAAACACGAGACCCTCTGGAAAGCAGCTGTTTCGATAAGTACGGGGTTATCTATCTAGCAACTCGATCTGACTGTCGTGAAGAATTCCTGCCAGCAGTTCAATTGAACCCGAGCCTCTTCGACAAGATCAGCACCTTTCTCTCGATGGACGGAAATGCTATCCGTGCTATAAACTATGCTGTTCACCGGCTTATTAATAGCGGTACCCTCACGGTCGATTATCAGACATATCTCATCCCTCCGAAGGCCATATCAAGCATCGGCAGGAACCACGTTGCGGTTCGGCAAACTGACTTTAAAGGAGACAGTTGCGATCTATTGGAACAGTCGTCCGCCATATGGGATCTTCACGATTTCGCCCATCTCAGCGCCGCATCCCTGAGCCCTGAGCTATTCGGCTCCAAGTATTTCTCGCATCTAACGAATCTCCCACGAAACCTTACTGCACTGATCCGGAGTCCCAAAATGAAGACATCAGACCCTACACCACGGTCCTCAGATGGGGTGATCTTTGGCGAGCTTCTTACGCCGCTGTTCACGACGGAAATGGAAGCAGTCCAGCGAGGAACCAAGGCCCATACGTACTCGTCTCTCACCGACGCACTGGCAGAGCGTATCGCAGACTACCTGATGGGTAGATGTGAGCTTCGACATCTTACCAGCGGCCAAATGTTAAGAATGAAGCTACCAATTACAGCTATGCAGCTAGCAGTTCTACTGCAGAATAAATTCTACGAACTGACAGCCAGCGAAATTGAACAACGAGTTTTTACAAGAGGAGGCCCGGTTGGAGATTCGAAGGATGAGTTGGATGGTTTGACCATGCGTGAGAGGATAGAAGCTCTTGCTAAGTGCAGGAGATGGCTATACTTTGAAGTACGGAACACAATCAAGCACCGTGCCCACAAGCTGGCGTATGAAAAAGTGGCGGAGAGAATGCTGGCAGATTGCATTCAAGAATCGGTATTAGATGATAATTTGTTGGAACTCATTCTCAAGGCCATCTACTATGTGGGCTGGGAGCAGGGTAAAGCCCCTAACCTCTGGCAGAGAATTGCAGATATAGAATCAGAGCGTGCCAACATGATCGCTTAGATGAAGTGTAGTAATCTACTATAATACCTTATTAAAATAGTTAAATAAACACTATATGTTATTTCTTACCCTCTGATAATAAGAGGCGATGGCTCTTGCAGAAATGTACCAAACGTAACTCTTATGCATAACTAAGGATTTACCCGGACAATGCTCGAGTTGCTCCGCAGCCTACTATTGCGAAGCTTTCAAGAATTAGATACCTTAACTATGCTCTAAGAGATGCCTATCCGAAAAGAAGAGGCTTTCAGAGTAAAGGCTCTATTATATAGATCTTTTCATTCGACAACAGCGAGGCAGCACACGCACAACAACTCTTCTTGTTATTCCACTTACTGATCATCACAAGAGTTTGATGGAGGGCTTTCTCCAAGGTGATCTAGATAGTGCGAAGAAAGAGATAGCAATCGTCCGGGGAATTATGAAAGGCACCCACCATTTCGCACCTCCTCTGAAGGAATCGCGCAAGGTCGGCGCGCTTAATTTAATATATTCCAATCAATGTGGGAAAGAGTTGTTAGGGTAAGTCGATTCTCGAGAAGACAATCAATGGATATTTCTTGCTAACCGTGTAAAAAAGAGGTTAACTCCAGGTTCACTTTCCGTTGTAGGAATCCCATTTACGGAAGCTAGCTGACTCTTCTAGCCATCCAGCAAAAGTTCATAGAAGCAATGGAGCATTATTTCCAAGAGGTTGCCGGTCGAGTGGAGATACGCGAGCAACACCTTGATATGGACCTGGAGCAAATGATCCATTTCCGCAGCCGCTCTATAGGAGCAGTACCAGCCATAGCACTTGCTGAGCAGGCGTCATCCCCATGGTATTGAGCCGTCCTTAAGGGTAATGATGGGCTCTAGATACGCCCTTAACATTGATCTCCCCGATAGCTTTTTCCAATCTCAGGCAGCGAAGCAGTTTCTGAATTGTATGGCCAAGATGATGTTCTTGTAGGCTCTCATCCTACTTCCCTTCTATCAGCATGCACTGGTATTCAAACAACAGGCGAATGACGTAATGTCATACATATCACAAGGAACAGGTAGGTATAGAGAAGCCCGCTTTGGATGATCTAGGGACTTCTTGCCCAGCCGCTAACTATCTGCAAAGGATACGGGAGTGACACATAATATCATGAATATCCCAATGTACGATGAGCTTTTTGCAAGGATAAATAATAAATGATGGTGGTTAGTTTCAGTACTTTGGCACTGCCGCCTGCCTTGAGTTTCCTCGAATGTTCCATGACTAGATTGGCCACGCATATAACCCCGCAAGGCTGGTGTGTAATGGAGCCGTGGGCAAAGCAGAAGCCTACATATGTAAGTAGTGCAGCGACTCAGTACGACGTAATCACTCTGATCTTTTGGTCGAGTGGCATATGCTGTATTATCGCTAGTATACCCGCCATTACAAAGATGGATGCTCTGTCATGACAATCTTAACATTATTTTTAAAAAAATAAGAGAGTGTTTATATAGTAACCTGATAGTAATAATATAAGTAATAGAATAGATTATAAAAGAGGTATAGTATAGTAGTTATTACTTTATTAGGAATATTTAGTATATTATAATGTACTAATATGTTAGTATTATTTAGATACTGTCAGGCTACAGAAAATAATAGTTCTGCAAAATATACTTTATCTGGCATGGTAGAAGAACCACAAGAAACTAGAGTGTTGAGGTCTTTGCATGGAAATATGGTGCCTCCGGGCATCCGCATGCCATCCTCCATATACAGAGGTATGAACCCCAAGTGTACGGAGTAAACGGGGTGTAAATAACTATCCCGTCGTAACCGATGACATCTAACAGCCCCTTTGCGCTGTTAACCAAGTTAACTACGTCATCAGCTTACTCAGGGTGTGGTTAACTAGTAGAACTTGGGAATAAAACCAGCTTCTCTGCCTTTCCTCTGCCTTCTAATTTCTCCCTCCATCACGTTCGATTATATATATGAGATTTCGATACAGTATCTATCCCGCGTTGAACAAAGTTACCTTTATCTGCAAAAATAGCGTGTATGAGGGCGACGTTATGCCGCTCGAAGAAAGGATTTGCAAGTATGTGGTGCTTTTTCTTCTATACCTGCCATTCTTCTTTATTGGCTTGGGCCCAAACTTCGAGAAAATCTTTGATGCTATAGGCGCATGGCGGATTGCAAGAGCCATTAGAAGTATGAAAACGATGTTAGCCCCCCCGCACCTATACCAAGAGCAAAATAAATGGATCATGGAAAGGCGGAGGGTAGCCTGGCAGATAGAGGTACTTCGACAAAGAGACATCTTCCTTAGAGCCATGCTCATAGAGTGTGCCGTCAAAGGCAAGGTAGAATAAGTTGAAACGCTGGATACCCTAGGTCCCAAGGGCTGGCAGGAAAAGCTAGCAGACTCTAAAAGCAGGCTCTGGCTCCAGAAGAAGCAACACTCGTCCCTATTCGAGAGGGCACCAGAAGGGGCAATGGTTCGAGAATATATAAAGGCTACCTATCGATCGAATAAAGAGAAGGAGAGGAACCCGGTACGGGTTCAAAGGAGGAAAACACTAGTACAAGCGTGCGTGGACGATGGAGGGTGTTGCTCAAGGGATTGCGGGTGCTGCCAGAGGCCGCGGGACGTATCACCTTCCGGGGAGCTGTATTATGGCCACTGCACACCGTATTGTCTCTGCTGCACGCGAGAGCGAGGGTTTACAGGAATACCCAAGGAATATAACTTCAAGCTCCCGGAATGGAAACCTACCGCCGAAGACATGGAGACGACGACAAGCCACGGCTCTCATGACGCCAGCAGACGGACAGGCACGAGCGCTTCACCCGCTGTTATTGTTTCCTGCATGAATCACAGATGCAGATAAAATAGCGTCACGAGGCGCAATTGCCACCGATGGTACTAGATGTTGATATCTAAACCACACCATGTCTCCTTTAATACCATCCTCCTCTCTCTCTTTTTCTAAAATAATAAGATATGAAGAATTATTTTCTTCATTACTACTCCTTTCCTAACAAAAGTAATCCAAGGGGAGAGCATTATATGTTCTAGGAATCTCTTTATCTATCAGGTTATATTTCCCGAAGAGTATAGGGTATATCAAGAGGACATTGAAGAGGAACTCCTTATATTCGTAGATCCCCATATTACTCTCTTACGCAAGGCTAGACTTAGCTATACTCGCATGCTGTAAGCACTTAAAGTACAGATATACCTAAGCCTCCCTTGGCTCTAGTTTTTGGGTATCTTGATATTAGTTTTTCTCTTAAAGCTATAAGAAAAGGGTATATAAGAGGAAAAAGGCCCTATCTGGCTGTGTATTCTAGGGTATATATCTAGCCAGGTAGACTAACGCGTGAGTGGCAAAGGGGTAACGTAAGTCCTGTGCAACGAGTGCTACCATAAGAAATACTGCAACACGGCCCGTCTGCGCCTCTCCAAGGCGATGGATGTATTAGAAATAAATAAGGCAAATTAGGCGAGAGGACGTACGAAGTGCAACAATACGACTAGCAGATAGAGAACGACGCTAAGCTGCGGCGAGAAGGGCCGTCTATATCGTCGTGCGCTAGCATCAGGCGCCTTACCCGATATGGAACGCTATACCAGGTTGGGGAAGTTGGTGAGTACGCAGTGCTTCATTGCATCTAGACATGTTTATCATAATGAAGCAGCAAAGATATGTATAAATGGCTGGACATGTTTCCTACTTGATACATCGAGTTGAAAAGTGTTTTATCAACAGGTTGAACCCCCTGAAGATCAAACGGCGCAAAACCCCTGTTAGTAATCTGGAGAAACCCCATATTTAAAACGTGCATATCAAATTCATATCTCGAACTTCCCGTCATGATAACAAGAAAACCCCCTTGGATCAAACGATAGAAAGGCAGATAAAACCCATAAAGTGATGATGAAGAAGAAAAAGATCCACCGTCGACCAGGCATGTGACTACCGGCTGAAAATAGCTACGTCTACTTGTCCTTGCCGCCGCTACTCAAGGCATCGGCCAACACGTCTCTCCACCACTCTTCATCCTTTGGACCCCAGTGGACGACCTCAGCCAGCTCTTCACGCACGACCTGTCGCTGGATGGGAGACAGGACGATGGGCCCTTGCTTGATGACGGTCTCAGCCAGGGCAACGGCATCGGCTGAATCACGGTCGATGTTGGAGTATCCTTCGTTGCGCTGGCCGCACAGACGGATGGCCAGCACCAGGAGGTCGGTTGGACCGATGTACGGGAGACAGTCTATATCGACTTCTCGAATGATGGTTGCTGCTGCTGGGATATATGGCAGCTATATATATACCCACCTGTCAGCCTCTGTCTGAACGCGTTATGGAATGACAACACTTACGCGGCAGTTGGTGCTGAAGTCGACTTTGATGCTTTGCCGCCTGGATGGGAGTAGTACATGCCCTTTTCGTTCTCGCTGAACAGGGACTCGTAGGTCTGCAGGAGTCTTCGGTTCACGACGTCAGGGTTGGGAATGGTGATCATGAAGTCGACGTCCTGGTTGACCTGGTCAGCAAAGGTGAGGCCATATACGCGGTATACCCATGGTCTTACCTCTGGATCATCGCTTGGCTGGCGCTCAGGGATGTATCTGCAGACCGCAGCGCCTCCGATGATGGCTATCTTGGTGTTGGCAAGGTCAGGACACTTCTTCAGACAGAGGATGACGGCGCGTGCCGTGTCCTCCATCTCTGCAAATGTAGGCGTGATGATCATGGCTGCTGTCTGCCTTCTTCTCTTCTTATTTGTCTCTTCTTGTTTGTCTCTCGTCTTCTGGTCGTGTCTGAAGTCCTGATGCAGTTTGTGTCTGTGATGTGGACGGGAAAGAAGATGTTATGGGTGAGAGAAAGAAGAAGAGAAGAAGCGTGTCTGTCTTATATGTTCACTTTCACCCTTTCTCGGCAAGCATAGAAGTGGTGGAAGTGGCCGACCAGCAAGCCAAACAAGCACTATATATTAATATATATATATATATATATACCTGTGCAGCCGATGGATGGCATGAACTTTTAGCTATGGACAGCTGGGGTATCATGGTATTGAGGCTATAAGGGCATCAGCCATGGCAGAGGCATGTCATATGTCTGGTATAGGGGGCTGTCTTGCAAGGCATCATCCACCAGCTACGCCGCAGAAGCTATACAAGGCAGCAGTCTCATGGCATCTACATCCCTCTGTTAACATACACATACTAACATACAACTAAAGTGAGAAGGTGATTATGTTTATCCATTTATGTATAGAGGACAATATCAGAAATTAAAACATCGCGCTCCGCATTTATATAAGTACAATAAAGCCTCGAGGCCATCCGATCAGCCACAGCCTGAGCCGGAAACCGAAAGATATCGAATCGACAACAGCAACAATAAAGACGTAGAGCCATTTCCCAACCCAACCAGCCCTGCTGCCAGACAACTAAATGGATTGTATACAGGGGCAAGGAAAAAAAAGAAAGCAGAACCGAAGAACAAGAGGGCCTTTTTTAGCAGAGAGAGAGAGAGAGAGAGAGAACGAAGGAGAAGGGAAGAAACGAGCATGAAATCAGGAAAGTCTCTTTGTTTGGTTCTTCAAGGGTGCCTTTTTTTTTTTTTTTTGCTTGTGCTTGTTCTTGTCTATGTGCATGAAACGGGGAAAACAAAGGCAGAGAGATGAAAAAAGGGGGTGTTAGTTGGACGTGCATAACGAATGAATGTACAGTATATAAAAGTATTATGACAACAGGGGGGCAAACAGATCAGACATAAGGAAAGGGGGTGGGGATAGGGGATGGTGATATATAGCCGTGTTAAGAGGCGTATCGAGGCCCAAATCGTAGGCTGAGGCTGGGAGCAGCGCATGGTCCGGTTCGCGGGAAACCCAAGTAAGTATATAAAAGAATGAAGCAGTAATGAAAAAATGAAATGGAAAAAAGCGAATGCTGCATGCAAACAGAAGCCAACCGACCTGCCATTTCCCCGTACCGGAACAAGGGGAGTAAGAAATTATATCAACAAAGTGCCTGGGGTAATGATGGGAAAAAAAAAGGGGCTGAATAGGGGGTAATAATTAAAATATTAATAGAATAGAATGCGTAAATGTGGTGTAGATGGGGAATATTTGGTAGATAACACGACATGTAGAACCGCAAGCGTAAGGTAGAAGTAGGTAGTAAGGAAACCGCAAGACCAGCTGGGATCGAACAGGGATCTAAGTCAGGGTAATCAAATATAAGTAGAATAATAAAGAAGAAAAATGATAATGGGGTATAAAGAAGGTCAAGTCAAGTCCCATGAAAGGCGAGAAAGGGGGGACGACGAGACGAGCAAATCAGCTATGATCGCTTAAAGAGCCGAAGGAGAAGAAGAAGCCGAAGAAAAAGACAGATGATGAAAGATAATAAACATGACCAGGCCCCCCCCAAAATAAAAACCTCTATGTGTATATGAATGACGAATGTATGAATAGGGTAGAAAAATGATAGTGAAGGAATAGATGTTGAGTATAAATTGCAGAACGGGTAGAGGGGAAAAGGATAAGGTAGAAATGGTTGAAATAGCGAAAGGTGATTGAACAAACGAGAGGAATGAATGGGGATTCTTTTTGTTTTTGGATACGGTGGCGGCGATGTGGTTGGTAGTAAATATATTGATGATTGTATCCGTTTAGGTCGAGTTGATGATTGAACCACGTCTATCGAAAGCCACCTACACCAACGGCACTAGGCCATTGATGGTCGTCGTACGGAGGCGTGGGACCTTGTCGGTTCCCTACGTTGGCAGCGACAAACCCCTTGGCCATTGGTTTCGATGGCGTTTCGTCAGGAGTCAGCGCCAGGCCGATGCCCATACCCATGCACATGTTCATGTTCATCCCCGGTGCGTCTCGTCTGGCAGTGGGGGACGGAGTAGGGTATGGATTGTGACCCGCACGACAGCTGTCATCCACCGTCCGTATGGAGGGGGTATGCTGCATGGGCGTGTCGGTGTCGGTGTCGACAAATGGGTAGGTGTTTGGCTGCTGCTTCTGTTGAAGTTTCTGCTGTTGTTGCAGGTGGTGCTGTCGCTGCTGCTGATGGTAGACGTGTTCGTCGATAGTCGGTTCTGGCTGGTCGGCCAGTAGATGCCTGGCGGCATTGGTAGTAGAGTAGAGAACCTCCTGGAGGAGCTCGTCTTCCTCCTCGGGGGTCTCGTACCGTTGAACGGGACGAGAGGACAGTTGCAGGGCACGGCGGGTCCGACTTGATATCGGGCCTGCTACGGGGCTCTGAGCAGTGCAGCTGGCCGCGCCTGCACCGGTACTCTGGGCAGGGGAAGGAACCTGGCTTGTCGATGTACTCTGCTGCGGGTTGGTCCCATTGTCCAGCGAATACTTGACATCCTGCAGCGCCTTGTCAAGGTCGGCGAAACCATTCTTTCCTTTTACCTTGGACGCTTGTTGCTTTGCTATCGGGCTGGTGGTGACAGAGTCAATGGCCATGCTCGATCGGTTGGACGTTGCACCAGACCAGCCAGCACTGGCTGCGTTTGCCTCCACGTCGTCGGCAGGGATGGTGGTTTGATTCCTACCAGATAACCGACGAGCGCGTTTCCGCAGATGCGAGAAGAAGCTTTCTTTCTGAGTGGGCGTTGTTGCCGTGGACCCGTTGAGGGCCCGCTCCGCCTCTGCACGGTGGATATCTGCATAGTGGTTCCCGTTGCTGTTGACGGAGAGCTGGCGAGACACTTTCTTGGATGCTGCAGCATTGGTCTGCTGGTTGGTGCTTGGGTTTGAAGCCTTTCTGGCTGGACTGTTGCTGTTGCTGTTGTTTGCGTGGGAGTTACCTTGGGCCGTGACGGCGTTGGAAAGGGGTGAGACGGGCCGTATGGATGGAAGAATAGGCATGGGAGCACCGTTTGCCCAGGTTGCACGCTTTGGTTTTGTTTTTACCTGTACCTGCACTGCCACCTCTGGGCTGACCTTGACCATGGTAGCTTGTTGCTCAGTTGTCGGTCCGTCGGTGCTCTCTGCCATATTGCCAAGGGCAGGGCTGTCTCGTCCCGTTGCCCCGATGATCGACCGTCTGAACCACGAAGGCTTTGAGACAAGAGTGGGAGCGGGCGCGTCGAGCTCCTTGACCTTGAAGCTCTTGTCGCTCTGTCTCCGACCGAGGAGACGGGCTGTCGACGACTTGGGCCGCAGAGGGTCGACGGCGTCGGTAAAGTATTCATGGTTGAGGGCCTGAGTCGAGGTAGGACGGGCCTTGGGATCCCACATCAGACACCATGTCACAAACTGGCTCAGAGCAAGCGGCCAGTGAGTGGTGGGAAGGATCGTTTCCAGTGCATGGGGAGCCATCTGTACCGATTAGCAGGTTTGTCAAAACAGTAAATATAGAGAGAGAAAACCTACCTTGGGGAACGAAAAGCCTAGTCGTTGGGCAAGTTTGATGCCATCTCTCCATTCACCACCGCCGACTCTGGCTCCGTTCTTGCTGTACCAGTTGCCTGGAGAGCCCATGATCTCACACACCCTCCAGACCTGGTCGACCTCGTCCTTGCCCGGGAAGAGCGGCTTCAGGGTTGCTATCTCGACGGCCATGGCTCCGACCGCCCACATGTCGACGGGAGCGGAGTAGGCACCGGCTCTCAGCAGCACCTCTGGAGCCCGGTACCACCGTGTGGAAACGTAGTTTGTGTACGGCCGCTTCGAGAGCGTCTCCCTCGCCAGACCGAAGTCCGCGATCTTAACTGTATAATTCGCAGGGGTGGAGGGAGGCGTGACGAGGTGCGAGTAGCGGCTGAAGGTGGAGGAAGACGACTCGAGCGAGGTGTTGCTTGAGACGAGGATGTTCTCTGGCTTGATGTCTCGGTGGAAGAACTGGTGGGCGTGTATGTGGTCTAGTCCGGACAGGATCTGGAAGAGAATCGACTTGACGGCCTTGGTCTCGAGCGGTTTGTGTTCTCGCGCCTTCATGAGCTGGTACAGGTTCCCGTCCATGTATTCCATGCAGATGTGTAGCTTCTTGGTGCCCGGGTCGAGGAAGATGTCGTAGGCCGGCACCAGATGGGGGTGCTGCGGCAGCGTGCGAAGGAAGACGACCTCCCGTAGATCCAGACACTCTGTAAACGAGTTGTACGTCTTCTTCATCGTCTTGATAGCGACCTACAGACAAAGTTAGCATGATCACTTCTCTCTCTCTGGGTCAGGGACGAAGCCGTACCATGGTCCCTCGACGAGCAACGTTTGAGCCAGCAGTGCGCACTCTGGCCAGAGCAACGCTTCCAAAGCTACCATCACCGACGTCCTTGAGGACCTGGAACCGGTCCTCCAACGAGGCCATCGTTATCGTCATTGTTAATGTTCCTTTTTTTTCTTTTCAATTATGTTGCTGTTTCTGCGTGCTTATAGAGTCTGCCCAGCAGAACTATGTCAACAGGAGGAAGCTCAGGCGAGCCGGCACGCAGGAGGGGGATATGTCAACGGCCAATGGAAGAGCTAGCAGGGCATTTCTATATTAGTTGCAAGGTGTAGGGAGGTATTATCTTGTTGCTGTGTGCGTGGAATTGGCAGTTCGAGGAGGGAGAGGGACATGTCGCGGAGGGGAGGGCAGATGAGAGAGGGACGAGCGAGCGACAGGAAGAGGAAGATGAAAGCGAACTGGTAGGAAGCAGGAGAAGAAGACAAGGAAGAAGAAGTAGAAGAAGAAGAACGAGAGAAGAAAGCAAAGGAACGGATTTGCGAAGGGGGTTCGAGCAGGGCCAGCCAGCGCGCGGCGGAAGCGGAAGACAACCAAGCAGTAGTAAGAGAGCAGCAAGAGTAAGAGAGAGAGAGACGAGACTATCATCGCATACACAGACGAGCAGAAGAGCAAAAAAAAAAAAAAAAAAAGAAGCCCCTGAAAAAAAAAGGTGCGTATCCGTAATACAGATACCATGCAGTCTTCTTTTTTGCCCACGCTAAGAGGAAAAAGAAAGTCTTCTCTACGAAAGGGGGTTGAACTTGATGTAGAGATGAAGATGATATGCTCTTCTGCTCTGTATGCTCTGTATACTCTCTATGTGTATGCGTAGAGATGGTGGATGTGGTGGTGTCGAGTCTACCAAATTGCCAGGCTGGATGCTCAATATTTGACAGCCCTTGAACCAGCAACCACAGAAAGAAGACATGAAGATGACGGCGATCCTGGTCCGTATATTTACTTCGACAGCTAAGCAAGCTAATTTTACCAGTGGCTAACATGATGAGGCTTGGGCCGTTGGACATCGCGCATCCTGACCGTCGGATTCGAAGCCTCTCAGCGCCCTCCACGACAGCATCGCAGGTTCACAGGATGAAAAATTGCAGAGCAGCGAGTAGGGAGTCTTTACTTATACCAGCAAGACAGGGAAGAGAAAGTGTATAAGGTGTACAGGTTGATGCTTATGCTTCCACGATGCAGCCTGAAGAACGGGGGAAGTCAGGCACATCTGCATCAGACAAAAGACAACCACCACCACACACGATCACCCGAGAAAAACCACGATAGAAGAATTAAAGGGTTAATCGTAAAAAATAAAAAAATAAAAAACCAACTCCTGACCAGAAAACAAAAATAACTTCCCGAGCTTCGAATATCACATCATGGCCGTGTGACAGATCTCAGTCCTCGTTGCTCGTTCCTCTTGTCGCTGCCCTCTTCTTGCCTGCTGCTGGAGAGCATATCTTGCAGTGGCTAATAATCTTGTTTGGTTGCTTTTTTTCTTTTCTTTTCTTCTTCTTCTTGTTGATGGTCATAGTAATATTCTGGACCATATCGAAAAAACACAGTATCCCAAGGGCGGCCCCAAGTGGAGAACAAGGCGTGAAGTGGATCTATAACAAATACGCAGTTATTAATCTTACTCTCTTCTGCCTTCCTGCTTTCTTTTCCCCTTAGCATGTTTGCAAAGGAAAACCCTATTCTGCAGCCAATCGAGGAGAGCAGAAATACTGGAGAAAGCCCTCTCGAGACAGGAGACAGAAACAACAGAGATTCACAGAACAGGACCTTGTCTGGTAACGGCGTGGCCTGGCCTTGCTAGCCGTATCGAAACCGAACGATGAATGGGACGGTGGAGATCCGGGAGGGAAAGGCTTCGCTTCCTCCCTTCCTCCCGTCCATTTTTATATTATCAATTTTCATTCTTCTCCTTCCTTTACTTTTTCAATCTTTTTTTTCTCTGCTTTCTCGTTCGTTCATCCACTGCCGTGGGCCTGGCAACTCGAAGAGACTGGATGTCCGGTTGGCTGATATTTCGTATACTGTTGAAACGACTTGAGACACACATGATACCTCTTTGTTGCCTGCCCCTGTGACTCTTCATCTTCTCTCGTGAACCTGTAAACACGTCCTCGAACTGCTCTTCGGGTTGCTATTCCTAGACCGTCAGATTTCGCCCTTTAACAAGCCACCACCAGCACAGCCAGAAGAAAACAAAAGAAAAGAAAAAAGAAACCCAGCTCTGCGGCCCCAGTCACATTCCCAGCCCCCCCCCCCCCCTTCCCCCCCAGACCAGCCTTTGATGACACAAGAGACAGGACAGGAAGAACGAAAATAAAAAAGAAGCAAGGAGAGCCGGACCCGAACTCTGTTTTGTGGGATGGGTAATTTTGCGGGTTTCATTAATATTCTTTTTTTGCACTCTTTTGTTCCTTTTTTTTTCTTTTTGCACGAAACATGGTGATGTTCAAGGCTAACAAGACATTCGGAGTAACAACGTCGCAACTGGAGAGGGTAGACGGAGCAACAACGCAGACTGGAGCGACAGTAACAGCATACGAATGGGCAGGGTCAACTTACGGAATGAATGGGTAGGAGGAACCGGTGGAGTGAATCCGATTGTACGTTCTTCCTTGTAGCGTTGCCCTAACTCCTAGTCCGCATCCACAGCACTGGTGTAGGTCGGTGTGTTAAGCGGTCTGTTTACATACCTCTTGACTCTCGCATGTAAATAACATAATGTAAACCCCCCTCCCCAATGAGTGCCATGATGTCCGGTCGTTGGCGTTGGCCCGGGTACACCGCTCTCAAGCCCTTTTCCTTGTGTCTTGTCTCAACGGAGCATCCGTACCCTGTCGGTAACTTAAGCTTGACTAGAACCCAAGCTGGCGAAGTAGTAGCTTTTGCCAGACGGAGTATGGAGTAGCGTGCTCAGATATCGGTGTGCGCTCTACATACGGAGAACATATACAGGGACAATCCCAAATCATTTTCCTTCGGGACGGTTGACGGTAGATCGATCGGACGGATGGTTGGCGATAGTCTCATGGCCACCCGACGCCTCTTCCCTGACTACTTTTCTTTTCCTCTCTGGTTTCTTTTTTTTGGTTTCTGGGGTCGTGCCGTCGATAGTCAGCTTTGAACCTTTCGTGAGACAGCGGAGAAAATAGAGTATCTGTTTTTTCATTTCTCTCTTTGGCCAGATAAGAAATAGAACTGATTTCTCTGTGCTCTTTGACGGTGAAGAGGGGGGAGCGTCCTGAGCTTTAGGATAGCAGGGTCAAATGCTGAGGGTAAATCTAGATAGCCATTCCGTAGATAGTCTCTAGATCGCCCGGTCTACCTGGACCACCGTGAGGGGGTACAAGAAAACCATAGCGTCTGAAGGGAAATCCTTAAATCTTCAATAGACTCTCATATCACCTTCAACTGTTCTAGCTGCTCCCCCCTCAACCCAGCCACAAGTCCTCCTCTTCCCCTCCTGGAGGCAACAACCCATATGAACTATATCGCATTATCGTCGACCAGCCCCTCTCCCTAGATACCCAGCACCATGCAAGCAATGCAGTGTCGCCGTCAATCGACCCGCTCACTCCCACAGTAAGAGTGGCGGTAGTGCCAGGACGTACATATGGGCTTGCTGGACGCAGAAATCTGCATCTCTTCAGTTCAAAATGTGAGATAACGTTCACACGGGATGGATAGCAGGTCTAGATACCGTCAAGAACTTGGCCTTTGGGTCATGTCGTGGAGAATGGGGCCTGCAGCTGCATGGCCTGATGTGTTGCAATGCCGTAATAATAATACGCCTGTAGCATTCCAGGTTCACGGGTGGCGCTTCTCTTTACTCGCACCCATCCGCGGGAGTCGTCATAGCCGAGTGTGGAGTATTCCGTACCTGAGACGGTTGATATGAGGTGTCACTGCATATCTAAGTGGGATGTATGTGTGTAATCTCGTCTGGCCTTGCTATCAGTATTGATTGTTCCTCTGGAAACGTAAAGGGGTATCATTTATCCCACCAGGTAAACAGGAAGGAATATCTGGTTCAACGCAGTCATAGAGCGTCAATTGTGTACTCGGCACATCTAGCTGGCGTACCAGCCTGGAATATCCAAGGAAAAGGGCAGACTGGATTGAAAGATATCAATCGCCAGCCTGTTCCGGCAACTCCGGAGCCGTAGGAGTATTCTGGCCATAGAATTTCTCCGTTGGTAGCACATATCAACCATACCACGCAGTATGTAACAAAGTGAGCTGATTTCCACCCTATAACGGTCTCAAGAACAGTGTTGGGAATAGATGGGCTGAAGAAACAACTTGAAATGCTTTTGATTAGAAGATATTGAAAACTTCGTCGTTGATATCGCCCAAACAAGTAATTTTCACGTCACTGTCAACAACATCTTGATGACCGCCAAAGACTCTCAACTTATATTCATCAACTGCTATTATAAAAACAAGACAAGTTTTCACCGTCTCTCCTCCTGAGCTTCTAGCTCTCATCATATTACATAGTGGACGTTTCCTGGGTCGGGGGCCAGCTGTGGACATACCCCGGTTACAGGGCTGCATATGCATGCATCTCTCAAATATGGCGGCCTATCGTCGAATCATACACATGCACCGTCATCCCCTTGCATATTAGCAATCTAGACTACTTCGTTGAGCTTGTCTGATAGCTGCAGTCGGCGATACAGCCTCGAGGAAGCTGGAGTACGTGATGGACCTGAGAGCGTATTATGGCTTCACGAAAACAAACTCGAGACAAGAGAGAAAAGTGTTACGTTTACCTGTGTGATACGTAATACGGACAATTTGCGGGTGGAGACTTGTCAGAATATTCTTCTGACGCTTCGGATACACATCTCTCGGACGATGGGAAGGGTGCCAGGTACGAACACAGCTTTCTAAGCTTTCAAGGAGATGGCCATGGTTAACCTGGGAAGCATTAATGAGCTTTACATGCTACCCAATACCAGGACGTTACATCCTAACAGCGGCCATGGCAGGTTTGTTAATGGTGGAGGTCGTGGACATGCCTCTCGAACAGCTTCAAGGCTACCATAGTAGAAGATAGGGGAGGACAACATCGCTATGGTACGTCTGATGTTTTCGCATCTTTTATTTATCTATTTGCTAACAGAGCATCTAGCTCTTGGCCGCGGCTTGGAAAGGCTGAGCTTCTCCAAGTCAAAATCGTCTGTGGATGGCCTGAGTGTAGCCCTCCACATGTTATCCCAATCTGCGCTCTTACCAGCTCATGGAAGGTTAGATGCTACCGTCAAGCCTATCCCGGCCTACGAAGGTTCGCAAGTCCATAGAGTAGCCGTTCTGGCCTACTTTGAAATATCTTGGAATGGAGGGCGAGCCCTGTAACTCCAGACAACAGAAACTCATACACTGAATATCCCTGGGTTTGGTTCTTCTTGCCTTGCTACCTGCGTATGACAGGCCATATTATGAGATGAAATCTTCATTTTCAAATGAATTGTCAGTATCCTCTGCTCGCGGTACTGTTTTTATTTACGCCCAAGATGAGCATGATGCAGGGCTCAATGGCGGTGCACCATAGCGTGCGTGAGTAGACTCCAAAGATTTTGTCCCCGTGTACCACCGATCTCGCAAGCAGCTGTGTGGATGCCTGCCATCAAAGCATTGGGGTTAACACAGGAGTGATTTCTTCTCCCATACTACCCGTAATGCTAGTTCCGAATGTCTGGGGAACCAGGGTGACAGATCCGGCACAAACCTACTATGTATAGGTCAACAACATCCAGATAGCAACGATAAAAGGAATCAGATGCATCTGCTTCTGCAGTGGAGGGCCATGACTCCACCCCAGGAAACCCAAGAGTCCTGGTGACAGTTTGTCAGCGAGCACGGTATAGCACGTGTGGAGGAGGGGGCGTAGAACTGCCAACTAATCATGCCTCCCTTGCCTGTGCGGACCTCCTCCAGCTGGAAAGGAAATCCAAATAACAAGTGAAGCAAGCTGCAGACACCGAGTGCCAGTGCTCTCTTTCACATACGGAATAGTGCTGCAGCTAAAATGAGCTAATCGGTTGAAGAACAAAGGCAGCAAGTTTGAAAATACACAGTCCGTATCGCTGAGTATGGGTGTAATACCGTCACTATGGCACTGGCGCAGGCGCGGGCTCTGCATCCTGCATCGGTAGGAAGAGCAGCCCATTGATATAGAGTATTTAGTACAGAAGACTAAGGGCGATACTTTCACTAGAACGAATGTCTATTATGCAGGATAGCGGACGAGTCATGTGGCCTGTTTCTTTCGCCATTTCTCTCCATGTCTCCCTTTATCTTACACACGACTGATGGGCGTGCCTGTGTCTGGCGTCCGTGTTTCTTTGACAGAGCATCCGAATGGTTGACTTGTCGGTGGCTTATGCTGTGGAGCGTGCGTGGTTGATCGGTTTGTTGATCTACCGTCCTGTCTCTAGACCAACAGTTGCAAATCTAGTGTCGTTGATATGGGCTGGCATCATGTACAGCCATCGACCATTAGATGGACATAGATACAACCATAGTGCGGACGGAAGGCTCTGTACATGCAACCTGCGGCCCCTCCGTGTGGTGCCTGATCACAACGGATGTGCGTTTTTATTTTCGCGGACGCAAGCCGCATGGATCTACTCCGTACTTCCCCTTCTCCTTTCTCAAAGGGCTGGCAACAATCACATCACGCCGAGACTGCATGGCGGAGAGATAACGAAGAACCCGAAATATTCTGGTTCGCCGAGCTGCAGAACCTGTTGGCCGTCAAAACCTGGTTTGACGAATAATCTTTTTTCTTTAATCCATGACAAGAATCATATCCGGGTGGACTTTCTGCTTTGAGGCCAATTAGTTTCATGGATAATCCATACATATAATATCCTACGCGTCCGTTGCACGGAAGACCACGGTTGAGCCAATACTTGACAGGTTCGGATGCAGTGGAAGCTGACTGATGTCTCATCGCTGCCTAACTGCCGAAGGAGCGCGATAGGCGGATGGCGCATCTCTTTGATCGCGTGTAGAGCGGTTGAAGTATTTCGGGGATGTTGAGTGGTTGGCTATCTGCATGATAGGATATTTCAACAGGATATTATCCTGAACATGCATATCCATAACCTTCCATTGCATCCGCTGGTTAATATATACTTGCATATAGGCATGCATGTCGCATATGCAATGCATACAGACATCTCCAATCAGCACACTTCCTACTGATATCCCGTAGGATAATCATGCGCCTTTTCTTTCTTTGGTCTGCTTTATTCATCCTGTTGACATGTCGATTATTAATTTGTCTACAGTTGTTCTTGGTGGAAATTACTTGCTATTATAGGGCAATGGCTTAACTGAGACTGCTCTGGTTGATATCTGGCCAGAGTAGAGCAAGGAGTCCGCCAGTGATGCTTCTATAGATGCTGTGTGCTTGATGCTTCTACTTTATGATAGTATCATAGATTATACCATTCTATCAGGCTTGATGCAAGACATGATCTATATCCTCATATATCTGTTGATGCCTATAACAAGCCATAGAAGATGCAAATAGGCTTAGAACATCAAAGGAGGCTTGTTATTGACTGTAGACAAACAACCTTATCCTATCAATTTTACTATGTGCAAATTTGATATCCCAGTGTGCTTCACTTAACAGGACGTCCTCTTCGATATCGTTGATAGAAGATATTGCATCATTCATGATGCTGGCGACTAAGCGAAGCTAAGGACTTCACTCAGTCTTTTTCCTTTCTACTCTTTTCTCTTCTTCTTCTTCTTCTGTTCAACTTCCAAAGATATCAACCCCTTTTGACGGCCTTCAAAGAGCGTACAATTTTCAAGTCTTCCATCATGGGGAAACACGGCTTCCACTTCAAGAAGGGTGGCTTCGATTATGATGAATACAAACGCAAGTAAGTTAGGGCTGCTAGCTAGTAGCTGAGAGATGCATCTGTCTAACCAAGCCATGTCACAGGCTCGAGCGTGTCAACTTGCCTGATAAGTAAGTCATCCTGGACGAGGAAGACAGGGTATATCATCACTGATATCAAATATAGGATCCTGTGCAAAATCTGTGGCAAGATCTGCAACTCCAACAAGTTTTCCAACCGCCAGCTTGACGAGCTGCGTAAAGCCATGGCACAGAACCCCAATGTCACTGGTCTCACCCGTCCTGGCTTTGCTGGTTGCCGAGCTTGTATCAGCCATCAAGTCGTGGAGCTCACTTGTTCCGTCTGCGATAAGACCAAGTCGTTGGAGTACTTCAGCAAGAACCAGCGTTCTTCCCCTGATACCGCGGTAAGCTTCCCTTCCTTTTATATATATCACTTCGTTGCGGGTTGCTGATGTCTAAACAGAGATGCACCAACTGTGTTCAAAGCCACCTTGACGCTGAACCAATTTCCGAAGTCATTAAGGAACTGGAAGGAGGAGAAACTGCTTATGAACCAACTAACTTGCCCGAGGTATACCCAAGCAACGCTTTCACATTTTGTCTAGCTGACCTTCTAACCATCAATTAGACCGAAGTAAACGAACCGACGACTTTCCACAATCTCACTATCCATGATGAGCCACGTCCCCGTAACCTTATGGATACTGAGGCTGTTCCTAAAGTCCGTACTCAACGCGCACGCAATGACCGCGAGGATGACCTCTCCATGGGCGGAGTGTGGGTCGACCAAGGCGACGGCAGCACTACTACCACTGCTGCTGCTGCCGCCGCCGCCGCTGCCACTGCCGGACCCAAAGAGGGAATCGAGTTCACCGGCTTCGATAATAAGGGGGTCGCACACCCACGCAAAGCCAATTCCAACGCCGCTACGCCCGCGCCTACCGGAGAAAAGCCTGCCTCTGCCGCAAACAGTGCTGCCCGGAACGTCACCACCAAAGAACGACGTTCTACCGCTACGCCACGCAAAAACTCCAACTTCGCGAAGGTTACGGTAAGTTCAAGCTCACTTCTCCGTCAATGTTGTACAACCTTCACTTCGAACATGGCTGACAAGCTCACCAGGGTGGTCGAATCCCCAAAAACGAAGGCCCTTCTCAGCGTCTTCCTGAACCCGCCGGGCCCACAATCGAGTCTGACGACGATGACTCCGATGACGAATGTGGCGTCGAGACCTGGATTTAAATCTCCACCAGAAGATCGTGGGTATCTATCCTCCACTGCGAGATGAGGACTCTCTGATATCCCAATATTCATATGCGAATGGCATCAAGAAGGTTGACACTCATGGATAAATGGATAAACACAACGGAACCATAGCATTGTCCCTCGACTCAACTCAGCTAATATCAACTGCAGCTTAGGTAGAATTGTTAAATGAGAAAAGAAAAAAAAAATGGTGCGCCACTGAAGAAAATTTCTGTTCCTTGACTTAAACTTTTGCAGGCGGATCGAGCCTTGAGTTAGACCCTTGAAGGTAACTTTGCCAATCAATAATACATAGTAAATCGTCTATCTCATATTTACTTATTGTGGCGATTCTGAGATCATTCTTGCCTTCAGGATAATTCCATCCAGGGTGATGGATACTAATGGCGGCTAATAGCGAGTAAGTGCTCAATCTCATCATAATCAATAATAGAGCTATGCAAAGCCCATTGGTAAACTGTGATTGGATTGGAGAATTCTACAATATAGTACACTGATAGTATCCATAGATCTTCTAGAATACCCTCCCTTGGTTGATTATTATTGCATCACTGCAGCGCTCATCTCTACTTTGGATTTGGATTTTGCACAGACATTGATTGTAACTGCGTACTCATGCAGTCCTCTACCATTGAATAGTTCAATCGACCAAAGTAAGCGTTGATACAAGGCTGGTGAAGTTCAGTCGTCGAATGGCCATGCGGCTTCCCATTCTTTGCGTTGTTCCTCGTTTTCAGGATATTTTGACATGAAGTCTTCCTTGGTCAACCGGATACATTCTTTGACCTCATCGTATTCATTATGATCCACCGTACCATCAACTCGAAAGAAATGAGATCCGACTGCCTCCTTGACATCTCCCATGATATTAATACCATTGGTAGCACCCTCACAATCGCTGTCGATAACCTTTAGCTCATCTGGAGTAAATTCATACGGGAAGCCCTTCTTTAAATTACTGCGTAGGGCTGGAATATCTTCCCAATTCTTGCGGTACTGCTCCGCCAAAATAGCAAGGTAGGCAGCCTCTCCATCGAGGAGAAGATTTCGAGCAAAGATCAGAAGAGTGAATTTCAGCGTTTCGCGGAACTCAAGAGCGCGGAAGAGTGGTTCAATCCCCATATGGATTGTATGCCTCCACAGAGAAACGAGTGCCATCTTCCAGAAGAGAGAATCTGCTTTTCGCTTCTTGTCAAGTGGCGTAAGGTCTGTATCATCTTCAAACAACTTCTGAGCCTCTTTAGGATCAGGGCGCTGTAGTAGATCCCCCTTCATACGCGGCCCCTGGTAGTCAAGGATGTAAGGTTCAATTGTATGATCATACAAGGGTGCCAGTTCAGTAGTTTGCCAATCGATGATTCCACAGATCTCTGAAGGATTTGCTGGGTTCACGAAAATATTCTCAGCATGTAGGTCATTGTGCCACAGGTGAGATGTCTGAATAGATTTGTCGTCAGGAAGTAGATGCTCGACAATATCCAGGTATGCTTGCAGCGCCTTTATCTTCTTCTCCTTTGAAGGACGGTATGTTTGAGGTCCATAAAGACCTATCGGGGATCTAGGCAGTTGTTTTACCTGAGAAATGCATGTCATTTCCCTGTAACCAGCAGCTTTTGCATAGTCCAACGCACTATTCCCTATAAACCCGTCAGTTTGCGAAGGATCCAGTAAGTCGAAAATGTAATGACACTTACAAGGACCTCTGTCAAAGTTGATACCTGCCCTTCCATCATCGATGTTCTGTCTACTTGTGGATGGCCCGACGGCAAACCGGTCGTCAGTTATCTGCTCCCCATTCTTGTTCGTATATGTTAAACTTGTGGCATTAAATATGTCCTTCTTGTAGTATATCCCCCCATATTGGGAAAAGGACGTCAAGGTCCAGTCTCGCTGATAGCCTGCTATCTCCTTCACAAGGTTCACTTTCACCTCCACGTCAAGCTGGTTCCATAGCGTTTCCAGTTGTACTCCAGGTATCTTCTCCATAATAACGTATTCCGCTCCAACTGGATTATCAATTCCTGAGCTCCAACTGAGGACCTTGGGAGCCGGGGTCCCAAGTATGTTTCTTGCCTAGCAAACTATTAGAATGTTACAACACAGTTTAAAAAGCCGTATATTGCTTACAAAATCCATCGTAGCTACCTCAGAGGCCGTGGTATAGTGTGGTATACCGGCGTTCGGGTTTGGTACCTTGCCAATTACCTGGATGCCGTCGTCCATGGTCAAAAGCAAGGCCTTGTTATATAGGCCATCTGCTAGCTTTTCAACCTTTACGCACTGGCGGGCTCCAGGGCCAGAGACTTGGGCTGCAATTTTTGCAAGCTCCTCGACGTTGAATTTGATGTATCGCCGTGACAGCTCTTTTGCTTCGTCACGGAGGAATCTGGAGCGAGTAAATCGAAAAAAATCTTCGTTTTCATTCCAGGGAGGAGTATAGGTAGTACGCGTTGTGTGAAACTGCTGCCGGGCTTTCTGCGCTGTACCGGCCACGAATCGTATCTGTGGCCATCTTTGGAAGGTTATCAACAATGGGAATACGAATATCTTGAGGCCCTTACTCACTTAGCAATCCCAGTCTGAAACCTGGCCCAAAAATTCGTTAACCTGGAGTATATTGTGTTAAAACACATATTATATAAGACTGACGACCTGGTGATCCTTATAGAATAGCTGGGTAACAGAGATCCAGCTAACAGTAATAGTGCAGACACAATTCGATGTTCCGGGCGCCCTCTAATCTCCCTGGAGCATGCCTGGTTGCTTTGAGGGAGCTTCAAATACACGAATATAGCCGCCCAACCCAAGAAGGCGCTAGCACTAAAATTAGCATAAGCGGAGCTGCCGCAGCGCCAGCCAATCGGGTTGGGCCACCACATCTCCAACATACTCTGGAGTTTTCTGGCGATGCGAAGTGCCTGTCATTGCACACCCTATACTAATATACCCTGGGAAATAGAGTACAATGCAAACTATTGGCTCTGAGGGTTTTTGATCTGGAGGAACGTTCACACAAAAGTTTCAAGGGTTTGTATCACTAACTTCTATACGAATTACCAGGAATCATCAGGCTACGGGGTATTTCATGCAAATGCTGGGGGCGGTTAGAATGAATGGCTCTCAGTGCTCCTTCATGCCGGTGCTACATATCCACTTATAGAATCTGTTTATGGCACCCTTGGAGGTCTGCACTTCTGCCCAATGATAGCTCGCGTCTTACTTGCGCCGCAATACCCAAGGCACGCCGGGAATCATTCCCCTCGTAGGAACCAACACAACGCACAATGTACATCTTTTCATTCGCTCTGGTTGCAAGTTGTTGAAACGCCCTTCAAGGCAGTGCTTCTGCAGGAGGGGCCGGAGTAACTGAATAACTTCCTGCGCAAAAGTTCAAGGGACAGGCATAAATAGTAGCTCAAGTCCCGTAAGTTTCGTAAAATCAAGATCAAACAAAGCAAGGAATAAAATAAGGTCACCCAATATATTGCTACATTTTACATATACTGCCATAACTAGAAACTGTGAGATCCCTACATTGATTGCTTTGATTTGTTTTTCTCCTAGCTAACGGATATAGACGCTTCGTCCGATATGAGTCGCCCTATTCTTAAAGGGGTGGACTTGCTTCAGTCTTGGTTCTCTACGGCTCCATCCAGAGCAACCAGGCTTGTGAAGGGTGAAGGTACCCCCGGTACTCGGGCAGGGCCCACTCAAACTGTCCCGAATGATACGAATATCGGAGTACGTCTAGACAATGCAGAGAAAATCACCAAGGACGGACAACATTATAAACGATACAAACTCCAACCAAACAAGAATGCGGCGAATGTGACACTCAAGGAATTGGCAAACAAAAATTCTCACCAGGTCCTTGCTGAAGCTGATATGTCTCTAGATGAGAGCATACCATCCTTGACCAGGTTTGCAAGCTTTTTCGATGCCTTGAGGCAGAACGTTGAGAATAGGTGGAAGGGCGGAGAATAATGGATTCCATGTACATCGGCGTGTTTAACTTTATAGCTGTAGTAGAGTATGGTTAGCCACTTAAATATGCTATGCTGAAGGGAATCCATTTTTGCTGTGAAATGTTATTCAAGTGACAAGGCATTAACAGTACAAGCTCTTGTTTTGAATCTGAAAATATTCTTATTGTGAATAGTTATTAGCACTAAACCTCTACTACTAGTTATTGGAGCTCTCCGTTGGTCTAATGGTTTCCCATGGTCAGCTTCCAACAATAGTTGCCTAATACAGATTTGGAAATGCTACTTATATTGATTGAGGTAAACTCTATATACATACATAAATACTAGAAAGCGAGATTCTACTCTTTAGTATCGTTTGAATACTGTAGAAATATGCTGTACTGGGGGAAATAGCCGATGCTTAGTGTGATTTTCTACAGGATTTCGGTTTTAATACTTCAACTTTCGTAATATATTGTTGGACCACAAGGGACAAAAAGGCCTAATGTCCAATGGGTACATTGGAGATGTGTACTAGTCGAATCAAAGTTAATAACATAACTAATCCAACATATATCAATAAAACACTGGAGTTAATTCCTAGACTAACAACTTTATCTGCTACTAGCTACCTCTCCCAGATTATCATGACAACTCCAAGGCTAAGTCCAAACTTACGAGTGCAAGTCATCTGCGAATAATCAGACAAGTCTTGGTCAGGGAACTGCATATCTGGGCTCTTATGAATGCCAGTATCTTTAGTATACCTCTTGGTTAGAGAGGCCATCGGCTCAGAGCCCATCGCCGCCGTCAAGTACTTGTCCCGATTTCCTTCAAGAATAGGCAGAATCTGCAGTTCCCTAGCCTCGATGGACGGAAGAGATGGGTCATTTGCAAGGGAGATCCTAATGTCGGGCGGGATGAAACCAAAAGAAACCACCTTCGAAGGGTCTATCCAAATGCGAATCGCTGGGAACTCGGACTCGCTGAAAAATATAAGCTCGAGGAAATGAGCTTCGGTTTCCTTATGAATGTCGGGTCTGAGGCAAACTGCTCCAGCGTCATTTTTTCGAAGATCTCAACACGCTCGCTAATAATCTTCACTATTGGAGTCTGGGCTGGGCTGACTGTTGGAGTATATGTGGTCCTTTGCCAGTTCGCATTTTGTTGAACAAGAGTGTTTTGCGCCGCAGACTGTTCGTCAATATATATAACTATGATTAAGTGGCCAACATACCCTGGTAAATCCGTGTTGTTTTTTACCGCATTGGCATTCAAGGGGATTGTTTAGCCCCCAGGAGTCTCGTTCACGAGCAACTTCTTGCATGATATCACGGATATCTCTAAGGAAATCAGCTGATAGCGATTGGTAAACCTGGTATGCTGGGGTGTTATTGGAACTTGCCATGAGAGCCATCAATTTGAACGTATCCTCGGCATCATCAAGCCTACAAAGGCGCATGAAACAATCTCCCGCTTTACTCAGAATGTACATGCTATCGATGGTCGAGGTTTTTAATGCCTTGTATTGGCCCACAAGCGATTTGAAAACCTCCATTGCTTTTTGATAGCAGTGGTTCTTGGTGTAAAAGTCGGCTAGCAATCTCAGTGCCTTCCCACCATATTCGCAGTGCTGCTTTTGAAGTTCATCCGTGATCTCGAGTATCCAAGGCAAGAGAGTCTAGGACTTAGTAAACCGTAAGAAATTGTAGATGGCAATGCAGGTGCGCTTATCCTTCAAGCCCAAGTCTCGACGCATGCGAGGAATCCCTTGCTCAAAAAGAACTTCTGCATCGTGGAACATGCCCAGCTCAAAATACACTGTAGCAAGGGAATTGAGAGTCAATAACGTTATTGTCTTGTCCTTGGGGGGCGTTTTCAGGTTCTCAAAACCTATATCAGCCCGTTCGAGCAGAGGCCTTGCCTGTGAGGCGTCCTTTAGTATGGCTTTGACGGCTCCAAGCCCCTGAAGGGTTATCAGGGTGTCTTTGTGCTCTTCGTCTAGGGTATTTAGTCTGCCAAAAAGAGAGCGAAGGTAGGGACTGTGAGCTTCTTGCCACATCTCATGGTCAAGGCATAGTGTCGCCAGCTGGTTGATAACTGCGAAGTTGTGAGAGTGGTCCTTGCCGTATACCTTCTCGGATACTTCAAGGAGCTTGATACAGTACTCAACAGCTGTATCAAATCTCGTAGCTCTCAGCAGTGTTTTGCGATTTTGGACAGTAGTATCAATTCATCGTAGTCATCGTACGAACCATGATGGCTATCGACCCAGGTATCGTGCCACTTGGTTATCTCGTTGGATGCCTGGATGTAAAGGTCTAGTAGTTCGTCTTTACTCCTATTTTCATCTACAAGTTTTTTTTGCAGAGACCATATATTCCTTGAATTTCTCTCTGTACACAGGTGACCCTATGTATAAACCTTGATTGGCGAGCATCCAGCACTCTCCAGATACCCATCTCACACGTCCGGATGTATCTGTAACTTGCATTCCGGAAGATTAATGTGCCATAGACAGCATAAAGTCTGTCAGAGGGGTTAATGTATATTGGCCACCTTTTTAGTTAATATAGGATGTGCTTCATGAAATTTCCCACGGCGAGTGAAGACTAATTAGAGAGTGTCAGTGTACTATTGTCATATATGGGCCATGCAGGATACTTATACGTGCGTTTTTCGATACCCTCACTACTTATAAAGCTGTAGCCAATTAGTGACTAGTCCTGACGCTCGCTTGTTTCCTTAAACTGCGTTTTGCCATCAAGATATTCGATGGACGTATCTATCTAGAATCCCGGCCCTAATTGAATTGATAGTTAGTTTTCCATATAAGAGATTCCGTAGTGGGACAGACCAGAAGTTCCATCATCTTTATCCTCTTCTATGTTATTTAGGGATGCCTCGCAGTAATTCCGGAACTCCATATCATCGTGCCAATCGTAATGGCCGTTCAGCTCATATCTACCACCATGTCATCAGTGACGGTCTTGAAGATAACCGTCTCGAGATAAAAATGACGTACTTAGAGCTGAAGACCTTGGAGCAATGTAGGCACTTTGAAGGAACAACCGGATCTTGTATTACTTCGTTATATCATCTCTTCCCTGAACTTAAAGGTGATGCCGGTGATGTGTTTCTTTACCAGAGCCTTCATGGTCCTTCAGCTCCTTTTCTGAGGCGAAACGAGCTCCACATTTCTGGCATTCGATCGTGTATTGGCCCTGATATCTCTTCCAGTCTATGTGTATGAAACATTTCTTCACCTTATATCCGATGAGGCTCGACCCGGGTTCAGAGTGAGCGGCGGGAACTGGTATTTTCAATCTTTGCGGGTCAATCCGGGTTAATTTGGTGAAATATCAGGACTTACTGGTCAACAGTCATCCGGTAGAAGACGATATGACAGCCCTTGCAGTGCCTCGACAGGGTGTGTTCATTTAGATCCTCGCTGTAGTATAAGCACAACATTAGAAAGAGTTAATATATGATCGGATGTTCAATCCATCACTGACATATTCCGGAATTTGAAGTCACAATCGGTACAAAAATGCTCTGGATCTGAAGGCTGGCTTTTCAAGCTGCGCACGCCTTCGTATGGGCGGAAGTTTTTGATGATGAAATCTATTCGTGCATCTAAGCCGGTAGTGCTATTATTCTTGCTGGCTGGCGTCTTGTTCTGGAGTCACTACCTCTGCTTCCTTTGGCCGCAGCGCTAGTGGGGGCTCTTGCTGGTCGCTAGACGGTATAGGCTGTTGTGGCGGCTCTCTCGGGGTATTATCTGGTTCATAACGAGCTCCATATGTTCGGGCTTGCCGCTGCAGTCGATTCTGGATCTGAGTGTGTTCATCACGGTGGCTATCGAATGCAACCCTTTAATAGACCGAGTTAGAATGGTACAATTTGATCAATCATTCACCTGGTAAGATATCTTACCGGTCAAACTCCCTCTCCATATCCTTTGTTTTTATAGATATGAGCCTCAGCGGTAAGACGCAAGGCCGCCAGAGAGAGGACATGTAAACTCGTGTTACTGTTGCCGTCAGCCTCAATCTATACGATCTTGATCTTGGGCTGGAGTTTGGACGCCTGAAGCAGACCAGCATTTTCTCCTTTACCCATCTTCTTGCTTGGGTCCATCCAGTCCATATAGATATTAGAAGTGTGTCTTGCCCCCAGATACCCTACGTGACTGAAATGCATGGAATCTACGATGACCAGAATGATCTGTCACCACTGTCCTCACATTCATGAACCAGTGCGTGCATAAGATACGATCTAGCTTGGTGAGAGATTATATACTAAGCTAAAGAGTAATGAAGAGCTGGGTTCGAAACGCATCGGCTGGCACATCAACGGATTCAATCCGACCTTTGACGAAGGCCTTATACGTACGGCGCCAGAACAGTCTACCCAAGAAGAGCTCCTATAGTGAATCCAAACTCGCCGGGCCTGGTACTGCCTGTAACCTCAAATGATACCCTGGATTCAACAAATCAGTCTACGCTACCGGTGGCTGGTCCATCGGGAGTCTGTTTGAATCCGGTTGATAGCACCAAGCCCAACATATCATCCCAACTAATGGGACGAGTGGATGGCAATTCCGAGCTCTACGATATCCTTTCAAATTTTATGACCCAGGACAAGTCCTTCCTGTTCTTCCGAAATTTCTCGAGGTTGAATATCAAGAATCTGCTCTGGATGCAAGATGGGCTTATCGAACTCGAGAAGGAACTTATCCAGGCTAAATCAACGGACAATGCACAGCATGAAGGCTCCCAGGATGATATTATCCGACTAAGAAAATTGATCGCTGAAAGTTTGCATTTCTATAGTACGGCTGTCCTTTCGCCTTTCTACCTTTATGCTGATAGAATTACTGTATAGACATCGCCCTTGTACAACTTTCACAGCTTTCAGAGCTCAAAAAGCCTGAGCTAGATTCAGTATCACAATTGCGCCGTTGGATAGAGGATATAGCAAGGATAGGGCATCCCGGTTTGAGATTTCTTGATGGTATAGACACACCAGAATCCGATCATGTTTTAATAGCGCGCAGCGAGGAACCAAGGACCGGGATGTATAAATTCATTGAGGGACTGACATGGAGGCTCTTCTCAACAGTAAGTTAATAGCCTTACTATGGGGGTCATGTAAGTATAAACAATAGCTAATGTGCTGTGAAGTCTGCAGCTGGTGGCAGGAAAGTCCGGCTTCCTAAAGGGGGATCACTCTATATATTTGACAATAGCATGGTTCGGAGGGCGCTTCGGGCTGCCGTTACGATGCTCATATGGAAAGTAGTCTACCATAGCAACGTTTTTGAATCTGGGTATCATGCCTGAATTGTATATTTAATGTCTGTTGGCTGTCATGAAAGGATTTGGTTGGTTAATAATAATATGCAAAATGTTTTATTTGTGATATCAAAATTGATGTTGGAAGAAAAAAGGGGCGGGGGATGACTAAGCGCATCCTTCGTTGTATCTCGGATGCTGTTGGGAGAACACGTGACCGTAGCCTCTGCAAGACACAACGGAGCAGCAAAACAATGCCTCAACAACCAAATGAGCACGGGAAAAGGTGATAAATAGGCGTAGAAATGAATGGTGTACACCCTTAGATACGTTCAAACTCATCCAGCCAATCATCATTCGCTGCTCTTGCTCATATTTGACAAGAGGCTATGGTCACGTGTTCTCCCAACAACATCCGAGATTGTATATAAAAAGCAAAACATCTTCATCTTCTCAAAGGCAACCACACTATTCTTCGTTCTTCAAGTAATGCTATGGCTACCCCCGAAGGGCTTCCGCTGGAGGTTTTGCAGCAGATTTGCGGCTACGTTGCTTCTGACTACAGACCTAGCCTATACGATTTTGCTCTTGTGTGTAAGCGGTGGTCTGTCGCATCAAATGCAATTCGATTTCAAAGAATCCGCCTTACTATTAAAAGTCATGCGAAACTGAGTGAAGATCTGGATCACTGGAATAATGTACTGCATAGTGCATCCAGTTTCAGATCCATCCGTCGACTCGAGATTGAAGGCGAGCTTCCTGCTGAGGGGAGTATGTGGGTCGTGAATCGTCGAGAACGACCGAAGAATTGTATGGTTGACAGAGACGATGAGCTTGAAAGCATGCAATATACTGATTACAGAACCCTTTCCGAGCTCCCAGAGGTCACCATGGAGCTTGATAAGTACTGGAGGCCCTTGGCTCATTTTGTGGTTCAACTTCGAGCTCTCCAGGACCTCATCTTCAACTGCACTAACCAATTTCCACCATGTTTGCTGGATGTATTACATCAGATTATACCCAACTGCAGACTTCATCTCCATAGTTTTGGACTTAGAAACCTTTATTCTTACAAGGGATGGCAGCGGGACCTCGACCAATACGAGTACGCCCTCGCTACGTCCCCATCTTTGTACTGCATTACTTTGCTCTATGAAGGGGGCGATCCAGACAGACTGATTAACTATCATGATCTAGCCATTGCTAGAATGAGTGAAGGGCTGGCCCCAAACCTTAGACATATACGAGTGATCGTACACTCACTTTCAAAGATCACGTACAACCGGCGCACTGAACAGCGGCCAAAACGAGACATTTTCCCCAGTAATACCCCAAATCCCGATAGCTATGGCGAACTTCATACCATAAAATTCAGTGGCATTTTATTTGGAGGGCTTCAACAATGGAACGAACATATTGCCTTCTCAGCACTGAAGGAGCTTATCCTGGACACTATGATGGACCCGTATAGCTTAAGAGAGGCGAGTACCTACAACTTTCGCTCTCTGAAAACCCTCTTTCTACGCCTGGATAGCGACAACCTTGATGAAAACGCATTCTTAGATGGAGCGGCGTGTGTCTTTCTTCAAAGTTTGCCTCCATTAAACGTCCTTAAGTTAACGGGAAACTTTAGCCATGAGACGTTTAAAGCCATAATAGGTCACCACAGGTCACTGCAACGAATTTGGCTCTCACCCCAGAGGAAAAGCCACCTGGCTAGCTTTGGCTTAGATTTCACACTATCGCTTGATAGAATTCGAGAGCTGACGTCGCAATGTTTACAATTAAGAACAGTATCGCTTCTCATACCAAGAACTCTTGGCGATTCGCAAGAAGTGAACATATACCGGGCTCTCGGTTCGCTTCCTAGATTGAAGGACCTATCCCTATACCTTGACTGTTTCTGCCACACGGAACCATACATGGGCGCCGCAATCTCAAATGACAAACCTGAAAATTTTGCGGTGATAAAGAATATATTAATGAACGCCGCTCTTGATGAGACACTTGCTCGAGCTATTTTTCAGGAAGTCTACCAGACTCAATCTACGCTAGGCGTGCCAGTTTTGCAACGCCTAAGAGTGCAGGCTGTTGGGGTTCGCCTCGGAGAGTCCACCCCCGAGGATCTACGCAACATCCTTGATGTGACCAGTTGTGGCTGGGCAATTATCATGAACCCGACTCACAGAGATGGTTGTCGTGAGATCACTGCACAACAACACCGCCCACGACATATAACAGGTGCATTAAACCCAAAGTTTATAATATACCAAAAGGCATTTCGTAGCGTGTGGCCAGCGAAGTCTGGTACATGGCAGACCGACTGGCACAGCCTTCCTCTCGCCACGGATGAAAATATGGCGACTTGAGCGATCTAGAAAATTTCAGTTGGAGCGCAAGTCACATGTTGTGTAATGTGGGAGAGGCCTGGTATATTTCTGGCATGCTACCCAATATTTCTACCCTTGTTTGGTAGGATGTATTGGTTTGTTTTTTACTTGGCTTTCAGCTAAGGCTATAATAGTGGAGTAAAGGACAGCGGGCCGGCCCTTCCGTGTACCAGCCAATGCATAGAAGGGATCATGAACCATGGCTCTATTTCTTACCTCCTAGCGACAAATAACTGTCTACTATGTAGGTATCAAACATGCACTCTCAGACCACAGATCTGCAACTGATTTTCAACCTTGACAGGGATCTAAATATAAGTATTGCTTTATGCACTCTGAATTTTATCTGATTGGAAGCACTCCCGTCAGCCGTCAAATAATCCGGAATATTCCGCTCTCACTCACACTACCAGTCAAGGTGCGATTCATCTCGTATTCCATCTCTACATACGGCTTAGCACAATCACCTATCTAAAGGCACTTGTTATTGGAGCTGAAAATCCATATGCCTCCTTGACAGGCTCGGGTTTTGAATCTCTTATAAGAAACAAAGTATAGCCTGATTCAGATTTAGAGAGATATAGAATCCTATCACCTAAGATTTGTGGTTCTAAAGTTAGCGGTTTAATAACCGCCGGTGGCTGCTTATCATTCTGCAGTATTATCATTTTAGAATGGGCTGCCTTAGCGGGTGACTATACTAACTGCCTAAAAGAGATAATACTGCGTTATCTCTCAGACTTACCCAGCTTGATGATACATATGAAGCTCTCCCAGGCAGATATTGACTCGCAACATCGTCTCTACTCGAAAGACCGATACCATATCTCAAGTCAATTGCCTCCCAATATATTTCCTCTTAAGCCAGCCGGTATGTATCAATCACCAGTGTGACGGCCCTACGATAGTTCCAAGAAGGCTAATGTCTCTCCTAGTTGATTAAATATGAAGTTCTATGGCATTTTCTCTGCATGCGCAATCCTGACACTGATGCCCTCCTCTACCCTGGCGTGGAGAATCACCGACTTTGATGGGAATACTATCCAGGAAGGAGGTAAAGCCGAAAGCGGCACATGTTTTGACCAAATCAAGGGCAAGGTATTTGAGATCGACGATTGTAGGCAGGGAAACTTCTTCAGGGGAAAATCCTGCCGCGGCTATTTTACTGCTGTATTCAACAAGCAACCCTATTACAGGATTCCTTCCGATGCTGTCAGTTTCCGGGTTTATTGCTAGTAAGTCTCGTCCGGTCTTGTTTGATGTGTTAGACTGCTTATACATTGTAGGGGTTCTTCTAGTGATCAGCTGGATGGCGATACAGGTGAACTCTTGATTAAGAGGGTTCTAGCATTGAGTTTCTAGTGGATCATTTCTCTCTTTCGGGTCTTAGTTTGTCAATTAATATACAATAATCCTGATTCAACAGATCTCTGATTAATTATACATGACAGTGGTGTGGCGATTCCTCAATTAACTACATGAGCTCAAATATCCTGAGCTTGACTGAGATGCGATGCCTTTGTACAAATACAGCTCACAAGCACCTAACCAACTCTTTCAACACCTGTTCGCTGCAGTTTGCCCAAATACTCAAGTGAGTCTCGTCCTCGATTCTAAGAGCCGCTCTACCGCCTAGCCGCGCCGCAATCTGTATCCCGTGGTTAAGCGGCACGGCTACATCATGTTTTCCATACCACAGCTGCACAGGCAAGTCTGGACGTATATCCTCCACCCGAAAGCCTAGGTCCTTGCACATCAGCTGGCCATCCTGAACCACTGCATCAGCTCCCTGGGAAAAGCTTTGCCGACTCGTCCGCAAGAATAACCGCAGAGTACTTTCATCATTCATGATCTCGCGGTCCTTTTCATGCATGGACTTGTCCCTTAGCACTTCCTGTCGTAGACGCTGGAAACGTTGCTCGTCACTCAAGTCCAGATGTGCTGCCAGTTGGCGTTTGAGATACCATCCGGTAGCAGTGGGGAAGTAGCGGTACCCAAAGGTGAATCCAAGCCAGTTTGCCCAGCATGCGCCTTTCATGCCAATGTCCGGAGGGCCGAGGCCGCAGACGATAGAGACACATTTGAGGCTTTCAGCGGGTAGTGATGCTGCGCAGGCGAGTGCATATGGTCCACCCCCTGATATTCCCTGTCGACTTTTGTCAATTTACGGTATCTTTCGAGTAGAAAGTGATGTTGGCTGTTCCTACCAGCACTCCATATTCTTCTAGTTGGAGATGTTTCGCAAGTTCTTCCAGGTCCTTTGGATGGTCAAGCAGGGATCGATCCGGATGAGGCGAGCTCCAGCCCACACCAGGCCTATCCGTAGCAATAATGCGGGCATCCAGCTCGATAGCTAGATCTTCAAAGCATGCGGCTTCGGTGCGGGCTCCGGGGAGACCATGCAAGTAGAAGATGGGCTTCCCCGTCCGCGAGCCATACTGCGCATAACCGAGTTTCCGTCCATCCGGTAGGGTTAATGCGTCTGAACTGTCATCATCCAATGGAAAACGGCAGCTTGGAGACTCGCGCTCATCCGCAGGGCCCTCTGGAGGGTTTGGGGTATTGTGCGTGAAGCTGTGAAGTATTCGCAGCAGGTAAGATCTCAACTGTGAGATCAGAGACATGATAATAGTTACAGTCAAGACAAGTCCAAGAGAGCAACTTCATGAAAGGATAAGAAGCATTCAGCTACTTCTTATACCTCTGAAGGATCAAGCATGACCCAAGCATCCTTCAGGCTGTACGTTGCCTTGCGCATCGTCATGTGCAATCAGCTAAATATAAGAGGACCTCTCGTCGCCATTCTGCCTGGCCATCTATGTATCAAGCATCATCTATAATAGAGAATATACCCCATAGTAGCACCCAATCTCTGATATATATAAAGTAGAAAAGGCAAGGGAAAAAGGAGTAAATTGACCAGCCTAGTTGAGCTTGGCGAGTTTAAGTACAAAAAGCTCTGGTCCGGGATAAAGACGAACAACACAAAAGTCTCCAAGTCAAGATTGCTCGCCCGCTGTGTCTAGCTATTTACTATCGACGGGGCTCAGGCAGCTTATCGAGCTTGAAGATCTGATGCGCACCTGCGGCCGCTTTCCTCAGCTTTAGGGCTCGGGTTGGATTCTGGTCGCTGAACGGCTCGACTGTCCATAAAAGGCCTTTCCCGCTGAGATCCCCTGAACTGATCGTGACTGTCCCGTTGCGAGTGGACAAAGTAATCTTGCCACCTGATACAGATGCTTCGGTCACGGCTGCGACTGCGCCGTCTTCGATTTGTGGGAAATGGATAAATCTCCCGCTGTTGCTATCTCGGACGACCACCCATCCCGACAGAGGCTCGCCAAAGGTGTTGAAATACCAGTGCTGCGTTGCATTGCGGCTGAATGTGACAACGCCGTTGCCGAGCGAGGAGTCTAAGTTGATATATACAACACTGGCGTCGAGCGCATCGGTCATGGTGACATTGGATGGGCTGCTCGTCAGCGGAGACGGTGGCCAGACAAGCCAAGAGGCAGCCAGTGAATATAGAGATGAAGTGCATGACAGCGGAGGTCTTGGGGATCATGAGCTAGTTGCAAGGGCAATAAGGGCAATGGAGATTATAGCTGTGCTTCTACCTCGAGGGGGCGGGTTATACTTGTACATTTATACACTCCAACGGCTACCAGTGTGGTGTATTTGCAAAAGACCCGAGAGCTGGCTATCAACGCAGATACCCATCCCCTGGCTACATAATACTTTGTTTACTATCAATCACATGTGGCCTGAGCCGGTTACTAGATGATAACACAAAAATGACCTAATGTGGGCAAAAAAGGAGAGGCCGTGGTCGGTTGGTATCAGCTTACCGGCTGCATGTGTCCTACCATTTAAGCCGAATGGCCCTGGAAAACTCGTATATAACTAACCAACTAAAGTTATATGCATATAAAATCCAACAAAGCACAACCATGAGCCATAAAAGCTGGATCTCGGCCTCGACTTCTCTATACCCAGTACTAATCACCGAGTTAAACCATTCTACAGCCAACAACATTGGAAAAGAAGCCTGTATAGATACTACTTTGTATCTACACATAGATGGCTTAAAGCGGATAATGTCAATAAAGGCCCCTGTTATTGCTATTCATAGCTCCGAACGCCCTATGCTGGCAGGGTATGGAACAATATGCATATTTATAGAGTATATATAGATAGTCAACGATTACGCCAGTACCAAAGGCAATCATCGAATCTTTCTCCTTCAAGCTCTACGGATACACGGTTTTCTATTCATTTCCCGTTTTGCTCGCCTCAAAGATGCATGTACCTCTGCCCTTTGTTCTCCTGGCCTCTTTGGCCAGCGCCGCCGACAGCCTATTCGGAAACTTCGCCGTCAACGATGTAGTCTTCGGACTTAATCTGACGTTTGGGGGCAGCCACCACGACGGGGTTGTATTTCGAGGCGGTGAAAGTAACTACTACTGGCTCATTAAAGCGGTCGCACAGGGCATCAAATCATGGCACACCATACGAAAATACTCTGATGTTGTGGGTGGCCATCTCTACATCCATTTCAACGAACCCAAAGCCGGAGCGGTTGCAAGGACCACCACGGGTACCGGTTCAATCTTCGAGTTCGAGTACGTTGGTGAAGCTCTCTTCCGGTTTGCATCGATCGACTCTCCGGCCACAAACCCGAAGCTGGTATGGACAGTCGCAAACAACGATTCCGATAGCCATCCCGATCTCTATTTGACACTACAGCCCGATAGAAACTCGCGCTATCAACGCTTCAGCATCATCAACTACCCTATTAGCCCTTGATGTCGTTGGTCAAGCTACTCCGTGCAAAGTGTCGAATCGCTGCCATACAAACCGAAACACCATTTAGTTTAATCTAGTGATATGATTAGCTTTCTTCCCTTTGTCTAGTATGTAGCTTGTACCAAATTCATTGCATAGTTACCCTTAATACCCTCATCATAACAATATGTCAACGACTCTGTATAAGTGATTGTCCCACGTTTCCCTATACTTATTAAGGGGAACTGCCAACAAACAGGCTAGAAGTCGGGCGTATCTGCCTGTACCGTCGTAGTATGAAGCTGGCAAAGTTGCTGCGACGTTAGAAAAAGGAGTTTGGGTGAGTCAGCAGGAGAGAAGCACATGACGAGGGATCACTTGACGACGTCACAGCCTCGAGATGAGCCGCAAGAGAAAAACCTGGACTTGCGACTCTTGCGAGCCCAACGTCCGGCATCTTCTTGATATTCTGCCTTGCCAGATGCTCGACATGCGCTGACCAGAGACGGTAGCGAGTGGCTGCTTGCTTCGAACGAGAAGATGGCGTACGACGGGTACCGCAGCTCGTTCGATGCGCCTGGTTTCAATCCCAATACCACCAGCAGCACCAGCAACAACTACGGAGCCAACAGCAACGGTAGCAGTGTCAATAGCAATATCAACAGTAACAATCGCCCGAATGCAGCGTATCCTGGCTTCCTGCAGCCATCGTATGGAGAGTATCCAGTCGAGCAGGATACACCACCAGCTGCGCTTCCCCCGCCACCACCACCACCACTACCGCAGCCACAGCCGCAGCAAGCACCATACCAAGGAACAGACTATCACGAGCAGTCGACTTTCTATCCCCCACCTACTGGCCATCTTCCCCAACACGGAGATGCTCTGAAACAACCGTTTTCAACCACGGCTCCACGGCCGGGACCAGTACAGCAGCCGCCACCTCCCCCGGTACCTGACCCAAACTATCCATCGCCAGACCTGATAGCACAGGTCACAGCAGCAGTTATACAACAGCTTAGGGCCGCGAATACAGTAAACGTTCCTCCTCCCCCGCCGCCTCCTCAACATCCTTCACAGCAAGGCTACCAGCCTCCAACTCCCGCTCTATCGAGTTCAAGCTACAACAGACAGAGTCCGAACCCGAATGCTCTCAGTCCCAGTGTCACCACAAGCCCGAACATACCGCTTCCACCCCCTAATTCAGGACAACCTGACCTCTCTAATGCGCCAACTCAGTCAACTTATCCTCCCCCTATCCCGTCCAAGGTTGATGGAAATGCGTACAACAGCTCCAAGGCACAAAATCATGACAGTGCTCATCCACCACCCACTTCTCCCGGCGTAGAGAAAGCGAGAGGTTCTTCTTTCGGCTTGTTTAATAGCGCTCAGGAAGGCAATACCCGTTCCAAGGGGCCCTCCAAGCTTTCGACGGCCACGGACGAGACTACATTAGAGAAGATATGGGGGACACTTTTTGATAAGGATGATTTGCCTACCAGTCGGACCGGGCAGCTCTTGCGGGGCATTGCGCTGCATATGGTACATTAATCATATTATAAATATGTAATTCAATTGGAAATTTGCTAATACATCGCAGATTGAAAACTATCCACCCGGCAATACTCTGGTCATCACGTCCGAGAAAATGCAAAAGTTTTACAGTGACCACAGTGTACCTTCAGACACATACCCATGGCAAGGTACATTTTTACCCGCTGCTTTTCATTGCCAAAAAGGAAAAAGCTAACCATAGATAAGACATCTTTGATAACCGCACATCTTCCATCTCTCGTCTCTACCGCTCATTGGGCATAGAGCACCACCTCATCCAAAACGAGCTTGATGAGCGTCCCGACCTTCCCGGCCTGACTCCCCGCGGCTTTGAACGCTGGATGTCAATGATGATTCAAGCACATCCAGAGCGAGAGTTCGAGCGCCTTCAGTGTGTTGTGCAGAATATGCCTATCAGTAACCCAGATGATAAAAAGGAACGGTTCCCCAAAGAAATACCCAGGCGACTGTTCCCGAAACTAGCAGATTATGATATCAAGGAGACCCTTGATCGATGGATTATTACTCACTGCCATGTCGAATTAATGCAGGGTATGCTCGGAGGGCCTGGTATACGCCATCCTCGCGCCAAGTCAAGCGTGGATAATACATCGACCGGTCTTCCATCACGGCCGGGAAGCACAGATATACGGCATAAACAGTTTCCACCACCCGCTACAGTCGAGGATGCCCCTGATGAAGATGATGACCATGTTATCGTTGCTAGCGCTAACACAGAGGCGCCACCAGTGCAGCCCATCGAACGGGAGCGCAAACCATACAGCATGTCAGGATGGAGCAAAGGGCATCGAGAGGACACGAGCCCACATCCTACCACAAGTACTACCGCCAGTACGAGCTCACGCCACCCAGACACCAGTTCCGGAGTTAATTCTAACAGGAAACAGCACGTTGTCGTCTACGACGCCGATGATGATAATGATCTGTTGAGTTCACGCTCAGATATCGACTCCAAGTACTCTACTTCCCATCACGGACATGCACACGCACATCCCCATTCCCACTCGCATGGACATTCAAATACCTATGATGACTCTAAGCGGCATCATGGGCGGGACAGAGATAGAGACAGAGATCTGGATTGGGAAGGGGACAGGGACCGTGGTCGAAGGTCATGGGGCAGCGATGAGGAGTTCTACCGCAGTCCAACCTCAGATAGGGATAAAGGGAGGAGGAGAGGGGAAAGTCGAGGCCATTTATCCAACTATGATAAGTTTTGGGAATATCAGTAGATCTGTTTCCATATATACGTGAACTAATACTAACGACAGATGGATGTTCACTTTCTTGCTCTCTTATCAGTTTCTTTTTCCTTTAACTTACAATCTGTAAACTAATTAATTATTAGTATGAACGAAAAAAAGAAAAGAGAAGAGAAGAAAAGAATAGTACCTAATTATCTCCTTCCAGCCTTCTTAAACCTTCCGCTAATCTCCCTACACCTCTCGGCATAAGTCCTCCTCACATCTTCTTCCCTCTCATATCTCCTAACAATCCTCTCGTAGTCTTTCTCCTCCCTCTCTGCCCTCTTACTCTCCCTCCTTGCCCTATCCTTCTCCCTGACCCGTGCCTTCTTCATCTTCTTTTCCTCTAGACCAATCTCCTCGATCCTCAGCTGTTCTATCTGCCTCGCAGACAAGTGCCAGGGTCTATTAAGCACATCAACCAAGAACCGCGTCCGCTCATCCCAGAATTGTATCTCACCAGCCATATCCGTTAGGAGCACAAAACGCTCGAGATGAAGCTGTTTCATGTTCCGGAACGATATCACCGTCCCCTTCAGTTTGGCTATTACGCCCGGCACTAGAGAGCTGATATCTATCGGCTCATGGGTAGTAGACGTCATATATACCGCGGGGGCGGACACGGTGCCCGTAACTGCCCCAGCCTCGACAGCGCGCTGAGATTCCGATCCCGGCTGCTCTACTAGCTTCTTCGAACATACGATTTCAATATTCGACCCGGAGCTATCGTCCAGCGTCAATACTGTTCTGCGAGTCTGTTCTTCACGCGAAACAATTATACCCGCCAGACAGATGAATTGTATCGGGTGGTTTTTGTAGAAATAGATGTTCTGTCCTGTGTAATCGTCTTAGCTCTTGATTCTGTAATTCATCAGTGCCGTGGTATATCGTACCTTCATATCCGCTGCGACGAACCAGTCTATGGACATTTACTGCGCTCAACTTTACCCATGCGAAGTGCGTGCGTGAGGCTTTGTAGCAGTATGCCGGGTAGAAGGTAAGGCCGTCATCAGAGGAAGGATGTGTCTCGGATGTCTTCGACGCGCCATGTGCCATCTGGCCATTATCGCAACGCTATAAAGACGCAGAAGGATATATAATGCTCCGTTTGGCTTTTGATGTATGACCTGAATTCTTTTGCATTCTTTTCGAGAGTTGAGGCTAAAAATCCGCGTCTGGCGTTTAATAAAGACGCGAAAGCACGTGATTAAATTATCTTGTATATAAGCGCGTAGTATGATCAAGAGCAAACGGGAATCTGTCTTCAGCCGGCATATTGCCTTGTTCGCACTTTATACACGGCAAACAAAACGATCAACTGCTGCAGGTCAGCATGCAATAGGGGGTCTGGCCTGATGAGATGAAAGTTTGCTCCGTTCCCTGATACTTGATTCATGCTATCAATCTGCTGCTCTAGCTATGCCAATCCACATACATAGAACACTATATCATCATGATACATCTACTTTATTTGCTCAAAGGCCAAGTCGGACTCATGTGGGAGCTCTTGTTTGCCTCGCAACATCAATCGCTCGCCCAAAGGCAGCTTGAAAGGTTCGGTATGCTCAATATAAGTTGAGGCCAATCTATCATTTTCCACATTATACCCAGCCAACATTTTTCCTTAAATACACGATGGAGTTCCTCCAAGGCTGTCTCTACCTATTCCTGCTCCAGGCAACCGTCTCAGCCGCGTTCCCTTATCTCAACGCCTCTCAACCACTATCTTATAGGGATATATTAATAAATGGAAACCAATACCATCCACAAGCACCCGCGCGAGACCCAACATGCAATCACTCGGATTATGAAAAAATCGATTGCCCTGCTCCGTCCATCTGCTATCACCAAAGAGGTGGCGCGCCAGCCTGCTGCCCGCCGGATACAAACTGTGATCCACCGTGGATACGCGATCCTCTAGGCCCAGCTCTAGGCCCATCACCTTCTCAGCCTGGGGCACCGGCTGCACAATCACCAGCAGACTCAACTTCCCAATCTAATCAAGCCAATGGAAGTGGGAATGCAGGAGTAGGTGTCAGTGGGAGTTCACGTGCAGAGAATCATAACTCGAATAATTTCAATGTGAGCGTCAAAAATATCGGAACGAGTGTGTTGAAAAAGAGCCTTGGTGGCCTTTGGTCTGTACCATTTCTTGCAGTGACGGTTTTGGCTATATTATGAATATGGCAGATCCGTAATGAAAATCTCTAAAGAAAAAAGACGCGGAGGCTACACTTCCATCATTCTCTTTTTAGGATTTCTTGGAATCGCTTCCCCTCTGCGCGCTTCTTCTTCGGCTCTATCAACCAAAACCGTCTGATCAGCTTCGTCCACTCTTCCGTTTTTTTCTTTTTTCTCATGTCCCGCCGTAGCAACTTTTAAGATATCATCTTCCATCCCCTCGATAAGATTCCATTGAATCCCAGCTTCGTCAAGCTTCCTACAGCCTTGGGATTGACCAACAAACGTTCCTGGCTCCTTTACTCCAAAATATACCCTGTCAATGCCGCCCTTCCCATCCTGCTGGCTCTTCGTCTCGATTATACGTTCCACGCACGGTTTGTTCTCAGACAGCCTTTTTCCACACGGCTCCATGGTGACGTATAGTTCTATCTGCGCCTCGCCGCCTTCCTCCGCACGCTTCTTCTCCAGAAGTTCTCCGACCTGCTCCTCCGGCACACCGTGGTGGGAAGCAAATTTCGCAAAGCAACACTGTTCTGCGTGGGTATTTCCGCGTAACTCTAAGGTGTATCCTGTCGAGAGTATCTCTTCTTTGAGCTCCGCATCATCGCTGGTCGGATAGCGGCGAAGAAGTAGGATTGCACCCACGCGGAAGTTAGTTGGTTTAGGGGGAGACTGAGAGGCTAGTTCGAGACATTGGGAGAGGTAATGTAGATGTGTTGACAGTGGGACCATGTGGGAGGAAGACATTGTTATATCTTATCGCTGTATCTGTTGTTTAAGCAAAGCTGTTTACCTCTTTTTCATCGCTAGACACGCAAAAGCCTATGACGTATATAGTTAGTAAGCAATTATAATCACGTGATATGCATAATATAAAGCCACCAATGATCGATCTTTCTTCTACAATCTCGATTCTAACAGCCCATGTTATCGATACAAAGCTTTTATACTACTAATAATAATATTGCACTCATAAGAAAAGCTTTTTCTAGGAGTGTTGTCTTCCGATCAGAATACTAACTTCTCCCAGTGTGAGAAGCCGTTATTTTTGGCAGCCTAATTTCAAAATCAGAAGATCAAAGCTGTCATAGAAAGGCTTGGTAGTCGGAAATAACTGAAATATTCAGATAAGTGCTGGTGATACGCTAACAGCGCCAATCGTGAGGCTAATTGGCTCCATGGACGTAAACCGTCCGTTCAAGGTATAAAGTTGTTCTGGGACACATCAAAATGGGGAATGTCTTAAATGTGACAAGATATAGGAATCATTGGGATAGGTGCCTGCTCAATGATGTTTAGAACTAGGGGATAGTCTTGTTGCTACCTCCACTTCTATTACTGTCAAAGTTCGTTTCAACCTATGCATACATAACATTAAGGAACTACTTCCATCCCACGTCAATGGCAGTCTCTCTAGCCCACAGGCTCTCCATCTAAACACTTGTCACCGTCTCAATGTTGAAATTTTCTGCTTGCTTAAAGTAATATCCGCGTTGGTTGGTCACAATCCTCCTCCTTGAACCCTCTAACTCGACGGTAAAGTCACAATTAAAATGCGTGTGTCCAAAGGCCCATAGACATACATTTGGACTCTTCCAGCATTCTTCGCCAGTCAAATCAGTTGCAAACCCCGTGCTGATAGGGCTTCCTATATGCATAGGATCAGCAGCCCTTGCATCCCCAGCAAGTGGGCTATGATGGGTGAAAATGACGATTTTTCTTCCTGGCTCTGAAGAAGTGATGGAAGTAACCTGCTCGTTTAACCATGCCAGATCCCCTGCGTGAGCATCATTATGCTCCGGTACTGACCAATCGTCGATTCGAAAGAAGTCATTCAGTCCCATGCTAACTGCTGCTTCATGTTGTGTAGGGACATGCGAATATAGTGCGCATCCCAGCACTGTTATATCAGCGGATACATCGTATCTCGTACGGTCTAGGAACACAAACGTTCCGAGCCCCTCTGATTTGCGCTGGCTGATCTGCTGTGCAAAGTTGGTGACCTGCTTTCTCGACTCTGCCCATGTGGAATGGTATGGCTCGTGGTTGCCCAGGAGGAAGAAGACGGTTCGAAATCGCCTCAATTGAGCTTCGATGAAGGGAAAGAATCCTTTGTCGCGCACATTGCCTATGTCACCTAGCAAAGCGAGATGGGGGGCTTTTGGCGGAATAGTGAAGATATCATAGCCTGAGGGAGACCCCAAGTGCAGGTCAGAGAGAATTTGGATATCCATAACGACGGTGCCTAGTATAAACTTGTGAGAGGCGGAGCGTGTATGAGTGAGCAACGACACTTTAGAGATGCTATAGATTATCTGTTGGTGGAAGTTCCATCAACTTACATAATCCCCTCTTTATTCGCCTCAACCTTGGCGCTCGACTGATAACAACTACAGAGGACAGCCAAAGTCATCGACACCAAACTACGTGAAAACAGCCGATCGTTCAGGTCAAGGAACGTCCCAGTTTCCCCTCATGCCCCTGCAAATCAGTGATGACCGTGTAATCCTGCTGCCTAGAATTTGACCTGTTCCTTGAACTTCCACAAAATGATCATCTGGGGTGAGGCTGTTGCCTGCGGAAGCCATCCTTGACCCCCCTTTTCAAATCCAACAAGCCAATCATTCTACTATTCCGGGGTGTATTGATGTGACCGATGGCAGAGTTCATGCATTACGATGCGTTAGAAATCCAGCCCCGACTTTGTCAGATACCTCAAATCAATGCATGCAGGCCATCCTACCAACCCATGAATGCCTTGTTGAAATGAGTCACCAAACCAAGGGAAATATAGGCCAGTGCTGCATTCGCTAAATTGCGACATGGATATGTACTGCATGCTAGGCATTTATAGCGGTCATGGGAAAATGATACCCAGCCAAGCCACCCCCGAGTTGCATGGAGAAGAGCAATGGCCAAACTAATTTATAATAGTCCGAGCATGGGTTGAGGTACCTATACATTCACTCTCCTTTCTTAATTTTCCTGTGTTATGCTGTTATTCCTCACCTTAAATGGGTATTTATAGCGACAGACTGTGGCAGGTTTACTCCCTCAATTTCTACCTTCCAAAGATCATTGTTCATCCGGTATCTATATCTATACTCCCTGAAAATGGCTCAGACACATCCGACATTCGCAGAGTTGGAAGACACTGCTCGGACCGCAATTAGCTACTTGAAACAAAATCAGGAGTTCAGCAATGCAAAGATTGCCCTTATCGGAGGCGTGGCACTGTGGAAACATCTTCCTGGGGGTCGTTCAACTGAGGTGAGAAATAGGAAACGAAGAGGCCCCTTAATTTGTCTAGAATTTTCATTCTCAAATGTGTAGTAGGACGTGGATTTCATGATCACCGTTTCGGGGGCTCCTCAGGCTGTGAAGAGCAAATTGCTCCAGCTCCCAAACTCTCCATTTGCAGAGTTTGCTCAGTTATTCGTATACAACCACCCTGGAGGGAAGAAAATCCAGGTTGATTTCACCCCAGACTGGCAGGTATGCCTTACCCACTATTCCTCTAAATACACTCGAACGGTCTTAAATATTCTGACATTAAATTATTCTAAGTCTGCATTTGTGCCCGCTGCGGCCACTCCCATCAGTATGGTCAACCCTGACGCTCTTCCGTATATATCTCCCCAGGACCTTCTAGCTTTGAAGATTAATACCTGCGGAATGCGTCCTACTCCCGTGAAACGTGCTCAGGTTGCTTCGGATGCCAAAGCTATTGCCGATTTTATTTTAAAACAGGGTCCAATTATTCTCACTGCCGCCCAGAAAGCGGCTGTTCAAGGTGGACTTGAAGACGTCATCAAATTCAGCTCCTGGGGCGCAGACTGGTGGGAAAATGCCTTACAGCTTTGATGGCAACAAGTAGCAATCCAATTTGTGAACTTGATCGATATACAGTATCTTCAAAACCTCAAATATCAGATGCCATTAATTTTTCTCTCCCAGCGGCCACCGAACAATTACCTTTCAATAATACATCTTCTAGAAACTCCCTTTCTGCTCCTGGCAACACCGATAAATCAAAAAAACCCCGAAGATGAACATACTCGAGCATATAGGCCATCCAGCTTATGTAGTAGCTATCATGAGAACGGAAAGGGCTACCCTCCTGAGAGGCTAGCACAAAATTTTTTAAGCAGGCTTCCGTAAAACAGGCTGGCGATGGAATGCGGACAGATTGATATTTAGAAGAGAAAGCCCCCTTCCCATACCCCAGTTGATATCGAGGGAGACATGGGTCGGAGGCAGAGATGAAGGCATTGCCGCAATCTGTCATGTCGTGAATATTTGGAAGAACGAATGATTGTGAATAAAATGCAATGCATAAATCCTTCTGCTGAAGGTGGAAGTGTAATTTAGGCTTGGGGTGACTTCCAAGACAGATAATGGAGCAGTCCTGGTCTTGACAGGCATCTAGATCTGTGTTATTGCTGATTATCTTCCGTGCAGTAGGTATTTTATCATCCGGTATCACAAAGCCAATATCCTAAGAATAAATAATATCAGCGCTATAATTTGCTGGTAAAGGTCAAACGTATACTAAGCTCACGTTGGAGAGAGATGGTATGCCATAAACAATGAGCAGAAAGTTGCCCCACAAGGCATTTGGGACGTTGCGCGAACTGAGAAGTTCGGAGACGGCCGCAGCCAGTTCCTCACTTAGAGAAAATCCGCTGAGAATTTGGCAGGCCATTCTATACGCCTTGGGGTTGATATTTGATTTATATTTGATTCAATTAAAGAGTAGAAATAGGATGAATCTATCGTTGCCTAGCGACTACCGTTCTTTATTGGTGGACATAAGCGCTGCTAGTGCTGAGTAACAGGCTTCCGGTATGAGGAAAATAGTATATCCATATTTGAGTTTACGAGTTGAATTATCAAATTGCGGCTCTTCCAGCACCACTTTGTATTTTATTTAATATAGCTCATTTTCTAATAGACACTATATACTGGTTCTTCTAATGATGCTGCTGTCTGATAGCCAGGGTATAGCTAACAAGTCAAGATTCACATAAACAGCCAAGATGGCCCCCGCACCGTCTAGCTCTACCCTACAAGTCTCCAACTTTTCACCCGCGGAATTATCCTACCTTCACACATCCCTCTCATACCCCCGAAACCCTATTCGACCCGATGGCCGCTCTGCAACACAATTCCGGCCGTTAGCCGCGGAAACAAATATTGTACCAAACGCCTATGGTAGCGCGCGCATAGGATTTGCCGATGGAACGCAAGCGATTGTTGGAGTAAAGGCAGAGGTGGAGAAGACTGTGTTTGTGAGCACGCTGGAACAGAATGCTACGCAGGAACGTGAAGCGGAAGAGGAAGAGGAAGAGTCAAATAGGACAAAGATAAAGGTGTCAGGCTCGGGGTCGTGGGTTGAGATGTCCATTGAGATTCCAGGCTTGCGGGACGACGATCCTCTACCCGTCTTTTTGGCAGAGATGATGAGGGAAGGGCTCATACAGTCCGGCTCAGGGTCAGGCGGTTTGAAAGAGAGGCTGGTTATTAACCAGGGCTGGCACTGGAGGGTTTATGTTGACGTAAGTGTGTTGCCCTCATCCCGCAAAGGTCAACAATCTAACGTTCGTTTAGGTACTACTTCTTTCTCCACCACTATCATACCCTCTCCCACTGCTATCTCTAACGACACATCTCGCACTACTATCTACCAAACTCCCGCGCCTCATATCGAAAGATGAAGAAGACCCAATGTTCGACGATGACTGGGATGCAGCCGAATATCTATACCCCCGCAAGACATCAAAGAATTCCCCAGCACAACACATCTTCCGCCCTCCAATATCGCTTCTTGTCATCTCCGTGGGGCAAAATATTATCTTTGATCCGAGTAGGGAGGAGATTGCAGTAGCCGACTCCGTGTTCTGTGTCTCAGTTGCTCGTGACGAGAGTAAGCAGACGTCTGAACCGTGTGGACTGAAGCTATTGGCGATTCGAAACATTGATCCACCCGCACGTATGACACACCCTGGAGTACCGGATGCAATCAATGCAGCCACCATGGGTCTTACTAGCATTGACAGCAGCAACATGACTACCGGCGATGGGGAGGGAGCTGGAGTCTGGACTCCTCGCCGTGGCGGGCTGAAGAGGGATGTTGTTTCGAGGATTGTGAAGACGGTTCTCCAGCCTGGTGGTGTGGGTGACGAGGTCATGGAGGGGCTGGAGACGGTCGAAGTGGATTAAATGAGGAAGCAATAGATAAGGGTTATAACTGAAATTGAACGAGGCAATAGCTGGAATGGCATATTGCCAAAAGGATAAAGGCGTCAGAATGCGCCTAGGGATACCAGCAGCAGCCTAGAGGCGGTCCATGTAAAGCCAGACCTTGAAGATCAGCGACTATGACGGAAGCTGAATATCTAGCAGGCAAACCCCAAGCGCTAGGCATAAAGACAAGAGTGGATATATTATTCTCACCAGAAGATCAAACAGAATTAATTCCGCCAAAAATGCTTTATCGTAACATATTATACAACGGAGAGGTTCAGGTCCCCCCAACCTTAGTCTAAGGGAGAAAAAGCATATCCCACTTCTTACCATATACCCAACCATCTCTTGGGTTTCCTCATGGACGGAGTCCCCTCTGAACTCACGCCCTTGACGTCACCTGCGCCCTCCACCAAAGCTAACCCGTCAACCGCCTCAGTGCCTTCGGCATCATCAGCTTTTACCCTATCATCTTCTTCTAGTCCATGGGCAATCCTATACTCCTTGCGCTTGTCGATATCATCTACGATCCGCTTCCGCTTCTCTTTCGATATAACGGTGGTATGTTCAGCGTGCATTTTCATCACAGTGAAGAACTGCGATATAGTACTTATCGGACTCGAGAGCAGCTGGGACCAGCCTGGTAGTAGATGTGCGTAAGGCGAAGTGCGCTTAAAGTTCGTCGACCAAGTGAAATAGGCAAGGGAGAAGAGAACGCTCTATTTGCACTGTTAACATTCCCAATTGAGCCCTAATAGATGCATGCCAGAACCTTACCATTGATATCCAGACGTGAATCCCCTTGTTAGTTAGGAACTTATACAGCACCGTCCCCTCTGGCGGGAACATGTTAGGGTATCGTTTCGTCTTGCGTTCTGCTATCTCCTTCGGCGTGGGTGCAGGGCCAGGGTAGTTCCTCGGCATCTTGTTGGGATTGACTACTCGACGGGCCGGGTGAGATGGAGGACGAAACTTGTCTGGTTTCTCCAGCACGCGCGGCTTTGTAGGTGTAGCATGAGTAGCAGGAGAAGAGGAGAAGTTGACACGACGGAGTAGAGAGGGCTGGATGCGGTTTCGTCGTGGAGCTTGAATGCGTTCGAGTGAAGATTTAGAGAGACCTCCTCGCGGGAGGAGAAAGCGTGGTATAGAGGATGGAGTAGTCATTGTGCAGTCTCCCTTTCCCCTTTCTGCTGCCCTTTGGGGAATTAGAGATTGATCTCTCCTTCATATCATCATCTTGAAGACGAAGAAATCTGATAATTTTATATCACGTGATGTGTAGTTACTTTAAGTTGATTGGCTGAATATTTTGATATCAAAGGAGAAGACCAAGCCGATGTATTACTCATATATTATATGTAAGTGTATAGCTGTATTAGTGCTACATTGAAGCTATGTTGAGTAGAGTCAACCAAAGATGATAACAACAGACAACTTCACGGCAGCTAGATAGAGCTCCCTTCTATACTCTTCTCACGTAGCTCCAGTTCTTTCTATATCCCTTCTCTTATCTTTTGCTCACCAACTATCATCCCCGTCTTCATCCCCGTCTTCATCCTCATTGTCAAATTTTATACCACGTGCCGGATAAATATCGGTCCGCAAGCTCCGGTTCTTCCCGTCATCCGCCAAGTGTTTGACTAAGCCTCTTCTCTCATTGGCCAGCTTCCACTCTCAGCCAATCAGCGTGTCCATAAACCTGCTTCCTCCGTCATCAGTACGAATCACGTGCTTCTGCCCCTACAACGGAAAACGTTTTTTTTTTTTAATTTCTTTCCAGCTTTTTTCCTTGCTTCGACTTGATTCTTCATCAGTTGCATTTACTTATAAACCAAACAATTTCTTATATACCCTCTTATCGACGCCTTTTGGACTATCCTCGATCCTTTCGTTCCCGTCCTACACACATCCACAGACACAATGGCCAAGGGTGCTGCTTCTTACTCTCCTGGTGAGTTGTTTGGCTGGCACTTTTTTCAACGGCAGTGAGAGAGAGAAAGAGCTCGGTACAGCTTCGAGAACAATAGAAGAGATAAGCGGATGGCGATGAGAAGGGTCAGATGAGGATTATTCCATTGTTTGTTTCACTTTGCTGCTGCTAGCAGTCGCGGCTTCTGTGGTGAAGCAGTGATGGAGTGAAAGGCTGGCTCATGGGTTGTGACAGTCCCATGGTTAACCTCCTGTCCTGTCCTGCTGGCTGCAATCAGTCCGCGAGAGTGATATATCTCTGCTTCCTCTCACTATTTCTTTCAAGCCGTACTCTTTTCTCTCCTACTAAGCCCTGTCTGCTCTGTGAAAACAACAAGATGTCTTCAACCTGCGGTCTCTGGGGACTCAGTGTCATTGATGGCCTTGTTGAGGATGAGAAGCGCAGAGAGCTACAGAAACAACAAGAACTAGAAAAGGAGAAAGCTAACAAACCTCCCAAACCTCCAGGTGACGCCTCTAAGGGTGCCGGTCTTTTCAAGGTCAGTAACAATTACTCCATCACTTAACGCTGGAACTGAGCCAAGTTAACATGCCTCTCTAGACCCGCTGTGCTTCCTGCCATACCCTCGAGAATGGCGGTGCCAACAAGGTCGGCCCTAATCTCTTTGGCCTCTTCGGCCGCAAGTCTGGCCAGGTCGAAGGTTTCTCCTACACCGACGCCAACAAGGAAAAGGGTGTCACCTGGGACCACGAGTCTCTTGTACGTTTATACTACCGTTCTACCAGACAAGCTAGATTCTAACCCTTGCATAGTTCGAGTACCTCGAGAACCCAAAGAAGTACATCCCCGGCACCAAGATGGCCTTTGGTGGTCTCAAGAAGGCCAAGGACCGCAACGACTTGATCACGTATGTTCATTCTCTCCGTTTTATGTTATAACTCGTATCTAACCACCACACAGCTTCCTCGAGGAGAACACCAAATAAATTTCTCAAACCTGACATCACTCCCATGACGCCATCACCTCCCTTGTACCATCTAACGTTCCCATCTCCCGTCTCCGCCTAATATTTCACTGCTTCTCCCACCATCCTTCTTCCAAAAAATGGAATGGACGAATTACGAGGATCCAGGAAAATAGAGGCGACATGTACCAATACCACCAAAAGATCATTTCCTTCTTCTCACTTAGATCTTACATTTTTCATACTATCGTTGTGTTTTTTATGTTGTTTCACAGTACCTGTACCTTTTGATAGATCAAGGGAATGCTTCTCCATCTCCTATCTCTTCTTCCTGTAACATGACTGCTTTCTCTTGATGTGATGTGACTTCTGGTACTCTGGCCATTGCTATGACAAGACGAATATATTAATTCTCCTCTCTTCACATGCCTTCCACAACTACATATATATCTACGAGGTTAGTATCATCTAGTAAACTGCGAATGCTCTAATGCATTACACTCCATCTCTTCGGATACAACTTCTTCACCACATCTAGCGTTTTTCTATAAGAGTGGTAAATACCCTAATAGAAGCCAAACAGCTGAAGGGAAAATATAAAACATCCTCTAAATATGGAATACTACGGTAGCAAACAAGATATGCCACTGCGCTTGCTAAGTTGATCTTCAGAGAGCCCCCCTGGGAAACGCTAGCTGTCATTTCAAGACAATATGCCTCTACTAGTAACCTTCTGGCGCTCGACTGTCTCTGGGCCGTCACGGTAGTAAATCATAATACTATCCGGTTTGGCATCTAATCAACAGTTCGTCACCCGGATGGACAACATCATGAGCATGCAATCAGTAATTCCCCTCAGCCTGTCTACCAGTATGGGTATATTCCTTTTAATCAGACTCAACAGGTAATCGTTCATATGTTGTATATGAATATCTGCTAGTCTGAAACTGTGCCATAAGCCGTAAAAACGGACCTTCACGGACTCGCGGCGGTATATCTTCATTGAATCCTGGGAGGATGACCTTGGTTGATCTCTTTTAATATGGATTTTCCGAGCTGCTGCGTAGCCAGTCCATCTACTATGATGGTATACTTGGATATCAGGTAGAGGCTGGTGGTACGCCTGTAGCGTAGCAAGCCGGACGTGACTGAGATGGGTCTCTTAAATCGGTTTCTCTAAGGAAATAACGGCGTTCAGCAGCACCGAGCAGTTCTGATGTCTTTCCATCATCTCAGGCCGTGAGTTGTGATGGAGATGAAGAGAATGTCCATGGAAGAAGTTCGACCTGAGCGTTTAAGAACTTCATCTCATGCTTCATAACGTCAAGCAATTTCAACATGACAGCCAGGATAAAATCCTCCGCAACTCGACATCATATTATAATACAGGAAGACCGAGGCATTCTAAAAGACTGCTTAGTTGAGTGTTTCTTCCGGATATCTGGCCTACAAGCGATGGTGGATTAAAGACCCCGAGACACGAAAGACACAGATACAGTGCGATCACGTCCGTAACGCGATAGTAGTCGAACCCTGAAGGTCAATATCATGGTCAGGAGGCTCTAGAAAGAGTCATCTCTCCATCTTTGCCATATCGACGTTGCAGAGTTTGCTGATGAGGCGGGCTTTCAGGTCAGAAGCAGTGGGATATCGCATATCCTCAGGATGGCGAATCGGCCCCTCTCTACTAGAGAACCTCCGAACCTCCTGCGCTCATGATATACCGAATATAATCCAGAGCCAGAATAGAGAACGATATAATATCCCCATTATACGGCCAGGTGGGCACCGGCATGTACATATATCAAAAGCTGCCCCCGCACATCTAGCGATCACCGCTGCTCCAGTTCAAACTGGTGTAAGACCCCCGCCAGAAACCGCGATACCGCGACAGTGGGAGGTAGAAGAAGAAATGGAGTCGAGGCTGGTATCTCACCTGATGCTTGTACATTCCCTTGGCCCACAAGGTAGAGAACGGCAACGGCATCGGTCCAGGAATCCGGAGACTGATAGTGATGAGCTTGACCGTTCAAGGCGAGCTTTCAACAACCCAACAATCCCGGCCTATAAGTTACATCATAAGATACATGCAGGGAAGATGAAACACGGCGCCCTATCGCATTATTGGACCAGCCACCGCCACCGGGAGCTGCTACTGGCCAAGAGAACAGGTCAGTTGCCTGCATTGCCAGCCAACCATGCGCCCAGCGGAGTTACCCTGCGAGACCCGGGCCAGTTGGGAGTCAAAGAGAGGGCCAACGACACTTCTCGAGCTTCTGCAGAGACGAGAAGGGCGGGGATCTCTCGCAGTTCGTGATAACGTGACGCAAGTTCCTGGTATCCGGCTCGATTTCGACTTCGGTTTACGACTTTCGACTACTTCGGCTTCACTCTTGATGCTACATAACTAGTGCCATCTATCTTCAAGAGATAAAAGTACTGCCGACCAAAAAATATACGATCCATATTGAAACGAACAGACTGACGATCCAGCTGCCTGGTAAACTTGGGTGTTGAGATCGAGATCGCGCTTGTTTTGACCAAACACGAAGACTGAAAGACTCAAGATTCAAGACACCAGTCTCATGAATAAATATGACAGAGAGAGTACTCTTAAGGTCTCTGATTGTATAACCGTTTAGCTTCAACCTGCTACCCTGTTATAGGCACATCTGAGCCGAGTTTCTTAAACTACGGAACAGCGCATCACATCATATCAATCGCATTCTTCAACAGTGGACGGTCCAAAGGATACGACCATCTCTCTCAATCTCTTCGCCTACGCAAGGCAACAGTCGCTATTTTTTATTGTTATCATACACAGTGCTATTTCTGCGCTGTTCATATATACATCCTACTGGTAAGGGGAAGATACCTTGCGAGCGTAGTCGCAAACATCAGTCTGACTCCAGAAAGAGAGATCTTGCGATATTGACGTACGTATCAATCGTCGTGAATCCATCACTGGTACAGGTAGAAGTTCTAAACACCTACCAGGTCTGGGTGAAACGAAACATTCCTAGCTCCGCGCAAGCACGGCGGCAACAGACTACATACAGCAGCCAGCGCATAGCTGAAGTAAGGAAGTGGGATACGTCGCCGCCATGATGGCATCTGATCCCCTTCACGATCTGGATAACGTCTTTGATGACCATCCATCTCTCGATGCCTCACTTGAAGACTTTGAAGAACAGTACGCGCATAGGTCTCCGTTCTTCGGCCTCCCGTCGCAACATTCTGGTTTCCGCTCGGGTATTTCAGAGTCACCGTCCGAGCAAGATGGAAACATCTCTCGATCGAGCAGTCCGTGGTCTCCGCCCGGGCTACGAGCGACATTCATCAAGCCAGATTATCAGCAGCATCAGACGCCCAAACAGCAGCAATCTCTGGGCTACCATCCAGCCATGATGGCTGGCGCAGCATGGTACAGGCAACAACCGTACATGCGCAACCAGCCAGACTTTAGACCAGAACACTTACAGCCGCATAGTCCAGGCACGAGGTCGAGGGAGGTTAGTCCGCAGTATGAGGATGCGCCTGAGAAGCCGACGCCAACGACAACTGCAACAGTAACGCTGAAGGAGGAAACAAGTGAGTTGATACTACCAGCAGCCGTGCCGCTACCCCCCAATGCGACAGATTCGCCCATAAAAGGCCGCTCGCCGAGCCCATCTCCAGAAACGAAAGCAGGAGCAGAGAAAGCTGCTTCAGATGAAAAGAATAAAGGTGATAAAACTAATTCCAAGCCAGTCTCTGGCTCGACCGAGAAAGAGCCTGAGTCAATTACGAACTGTAAGATGGCTTGCTATTTCAGACTTACATGGAACCTTGACTTATTGACCGTCTAGATATCCGATTTGCAGTCCGAGCTGAAGTCCAACATCGCGAACCATTTGTCGCATTCTTCAACTATATGGGCGCAAAGTTCGATTCCATGACCCAAACCAGATCGTCGACATTACTATCAGTCGCCGTTGCTCTGATATCACTAACATTTATGCGGGCGCTTTTCCTACCACCGCCCATACCGCCGGTTCCTGACCTCGTGAAACTATCAAGCTTCACGCGCTCATTTGAGCCATTGATTTACTATTCGGAAAACGGCGTGCAGCAGATTGGTACGCTGCAAGAGACTGGAGTTGCTGTGTGGGATCTTGCAGAGTCGGTGCGAGGAACGAACATGACCAGTGCGCCGATCATAGTTAGAGAGCTGGACGAGCTATCTCAATCGCTGAATTCGCTCTCCCTAGAGCTAACGAGGTTCTTCGCAAATGTCGACGCAGATATCGACTCGATATTGATTGTCATGGAATGGGCACGGAGGGAACTAGAAGCCCTATCATCTCAACCTCCCAATACCCTTTCGTCCATCTTCTTCGACAACTTCCACAGCATGCTCTCTCGTCTAGGTGTGCTAGAAACAATTCCCACTACGATATCCGCCAACATCAGCAACGGGATGAACAACGAAACCAGCGCTGACATGCCCGTTGCCCCCGTGCCCACTCGCCTAGGAGCCTTCATCACCACCATATTCGGCCGCACTCGCTCCCAACGCACCCAGTTAACGCTAACCCATGCCTTCACCGAGCTACTCTCTGTGCTAGAAGAGAGCATAAACAACGAACTAACCCACTCGACCTCCCTCTTCACACTCTTCGAGTCGATAGACCGACAATTCCTCAACCTTCAGCGCACGGTGGTCCGGGAATCCAACGCCCAAGAACGCGCAGAAGGCGAACTGCTTTCTTCCCTCTGGACTCGAGTCCTAGGCTCTAACGCCATGGCTCTACGCAAATACGAAAAGAACCGCCGCCTGCTTTCCAGCGTCAGACAGCGCACCGTAGCTAACAAGCATCTCCTCATGGACCATAGAGGCAGATTACTTGCTCTAAAGGCGAACCTGGAAGCTCTACGACGCAAGCTTGTCAGTCCCTTGCTCCGTGGCGGGAACAGCTCATCTGGTCTGGCGATGGGTATAGGCCCGTTGGTCGGTATAAGTACTACATCTGCACATGGGGGCGGTGGATCCGAAGATGCGATGGGAGCCGAGAATGCAATGGAGATGATTATTCATGGACAGATAAGGGGGTTAGACGGGGCGCATGAATACCTCAAGGATGTGAGGGATAAGCAGAAGGCGAAGTTGATGGAGATGGTTTTTGGAGCGGGCAATCGGCGTGGCGGTAGCGTCTTAGTTGATGGCGATGAGGAGGGAGAAAATGAGGGCAAACCGGAACTGGAGGAGATTGAAGAGAAATAAGGAGGACGCAGCTTCGCCTTCGTTATACGTTTCCCTCCCGGTCTTGCGTGATTGTCTACCTGATAGCAGTTTCAGGGGAAGCTTATGCATCTATATTAAGGGCATAATACACCTAGCTGGTCCCCGAACAAAAACAGGCGCCCACACACCCCAGTGCCATTTGATATAAGCGCGTTACATTATCTACTAGGTGAGTTTGATCCCTCCGGCAAGATTTTGTCAAGCAATATACTGATCTTGAAGGATAGAATGTTTTAATACATTTTCTTTTCTAATTCTCTCATGTACATGGACATAGTTATCTTCTCTCCATAGCATAGCATATTTAACTACTTATCTGAAATATCCTTAGATATTAAACATCGTATTGGGCTTTTATAGTACACGGAAGAAAGACCGTTATAGTAAATCTAAGCTGAAGCGCCGAAAACGAAAATAAAAAACAAGTCCCGCCAGAATATCCGCCCCATTAACACCAGAAGGAAAGCCGCTGATCCCTATTTTGATATCCGGAAATCGTTATGCAAGAAAGAGAGTCGCAGAATATATGATTAAAAACCGTATCCCTGACCGTAAGGTGTAGCTCCATAGGGAGTCGTGCCGCCAGCACCACCCCAAACACTCCCGCTGCCAGCACCCGCACCCGCACCGCCCGCCCCATTGGCGCCGCCGTAAGCGGTGAACCCGCCATCGATGCCCTCAGGCGGCTCATAAGCATCCGGACTACGAGCACCAGCGCCATCCTGGTCGATACCACCGTTGACCATGCCTCGTTCCTGGTCTGCGCCGGTCAAGCCGGATATGATCTCAGCTAGTTTGCGCTGCATCATAATGATGGCCTGCTGCACGACAGCGTCAGGCTCTAAGTTGCCGATACTCTCGATATCGATGTAAAATGTATTTGGCTGGGCGTCGTAGTCGAACGGCATGTCTCGTGGCTGCGCCGTTTCCCACCCAGCGTTTGCCGAAAGGGGCCTTTCATCGCGTTAGATGCATAGTTACAGGGAGCGAAGCAAAGATATGAGACGTACCATTCTTTGATCGGATCCTCCTCAAACCAGTAGTCGACGTGCCGGAGATTATTATGCGGATCATACTCGAAACCGACAGCAGCCGTAGGAGCCCATTTGGCATGTTCCTTCGCGATACCTTTCTTCACTATACAGTTGAACTTGACCTCCTGACCTCTCCGCAGCTTACATATAATGGGCCCCTTGCCCTCCGGATCCGTCAATACAGGGTTACCTACCCACTCGTTCGCCCTGTCCCCTACAACGACCAGATCTCTCGCATATACCTTCATGATCTCTTCACTGGTACACTTGGCATGTAGCGACAGATTGATAACACATCGCTGGCACCCGCCTTCGCAGTCGCAGTCCCGTGAATAGAGCATGTCTGTGTCGCAGTTTTTTGAGCAGAGGGGTATCAGGCCTAGACGGTGAGAGATGAATTCGTCTGGTAGGACGGAGGTGTTTACTTCTATTTCGACAACGTCTATGGCTACCGTGGGTATTTCTGCTAGGATGGTACGACGAAAGGAGTTGGCGAAGGCGAGGTCGACAGAGCTGAGGCGGAAGTCAACACGGTATGGTTCAGCCTGAATTCTCCATGTTAGATGCGAGCTGTGCTATGTATGGGTTGAAGGACGCTCACCTCGCGGACGGTGACCTGGGGCCCTTGGGGCTCTATATCCATGGCGTCGTAGTCCATTTCGACTTGATATACTGTTATAATTGAATAGAAGGACAGACAGGGCTATCACACCGCCAGCAGCCAGCAGCCAGTGTTATAAGTTGAGCTATTGAGCTCCAACAACAAATTGATCAAGAGTTGACGGTAGAAAGTCGAAGTTCGAGTTGAATCCAGAAGAGGAATTTGGGGGATGTCGGAAATATCTTTTTCCGTCCCGATAGCAGCTTCACTGGTTGGCGCATTTATTCCAATTACAAAAGACAGCGTTTGGTTGTTTAGGTTGTAATGATAATTATAAGTATAATACAGTGCTGAATACTGGTCCTTCATCCCTCTAGTTTTGTAGAACCGTGTCGGCATACATTGCCAACTCGTTGAGAAACTCCCTGGCCTTTGCTGCGTCACGTTTTGTCGGATCTACTTTCATGAGCGAATGAATCAGTCTGCTCGTTGTTTTCCTATACTCGGTATGCTCCCTGAAAACCTGATGCTCTTGTTCTAAACGTCGGTCAATGATCGATAATTGGTCTGTTTCGGTTGCGGCTACTCGAGAATTAGGTATTAGTTGGTGGAAGCAAAAGAGGGGAACTGTCGTAAGTAGAAAGGAGATCGAGGGTGATATGATCGAGTACATACCCACATAGACGTTCTGGTCATGCTCCGTTTCAAACAGGTCATCATGCACCAATCCAAAATAAAGCTAAGTTTGGATGTTGGGTTAGCTGGCTTTCAAAAATGACAATGCAAGAGGCATAGACACATACAACGCATCCCAAGCTCCAGAGGTCGCATTTAATACTCCCGAGAGCACCTGGGTCTCTCCATTCAGGTGGCCGGTAGCCTCGTGTGCCACCTAGCTTCTTCTTTTTTGTCTCGTACCCTATACACAGCTATTAGGATGGTGGATGTTAAGAAAAGTTAAGCATTACGGGAACTAACCCCCTAATCCAAAGTCAATTATCTCTATCAAAGAGAAATCCCACCCATTCGATGCAAGCGGGAAGTAGTGCTGTATGATATATTCTGGTAGACATGGTGGCCGAACAGGATGTGTTTCCGAGGGTGGTAGACGTGCCAGGTATACCCAACCTCGTATATCCTCCTCGAAAGACTCCTTAATAGCTTCGGGGGCGAATGCATTTGTATCCAGGCCAAGGGTAATATTAGACGGGCTAAGATCTAATTAGATAATTAGATAATGCCCATATGTATGACGATAACATGGGAGGTATATATACCTCCATGATATATTCCCTTATCATGGAATTCAAAGACCTTCGATAAGAGCGTCTCGATAAAGACTCTGATTGAAATGATGTCCCACGGACGGCCAAAAACCCCAGGGGTGGTAAGACCGGCCAGGGTTCTGGCTCTAAGGGTGCATCCAGCCGGCTTTGTCACGAGGCAAAGATGCACTCTTTTAGTGGGCATATGGAGATATAAGAACGAACGCTCAAGTCTTCCAGTCTTTTTAAGGATTTTTTGTTCGACATTATAGGTAATGTTACAACTTAGCTTCAAGATCTTTAGTGCGAAATATTCCTTGGTTTCCCTACTTGATGATACTAATTATTAGAGTGAGCCACGCGACCGGAGAAGGGAAACATCGAGACTCAACCTATCTGTAACCAGCCAAACTGTGGAACTCGAGCCGTGGCCGAGCTTCCCAATGACTTCGAAAGAGCACTCTCTCTCATCCACTATGTTTGCCCCCTCTATAACATCCCCAATCACGACAGGGCAGAGGCCTCTATCTCCGTACGAATACTCCCGAATACTCTCACACGCGTCATCGCTATATTCCTGGGTCCAGAAAGGACGTGAATCGTCCGCAGGTCCGATAGAGTATTGAGGCATGGCTTGCAGCGAACTAGAAGCGCACCAAAGGGATAAGCGCGTGTTGTGGGTCGGCGCTTGGTTGGCAACTTAGTTGGCGCCGATAACTCAAAAAGTTGTTGTTGATGTCCATCCACTTTCGAGCTAACCAGCAATGCTCCTCATGGTGGTTTAAGAAATATCAGTCTATAAAGTAGAGATAGTTGACAGAGACAACATGGCAAAGTGGGTGAGCAGCTAGTTGAATAAGACGAAAGATGCTCCTTCTTCCGGCGCAGGAGGAAAGCGGTTTCATAACTCTCGCTCCAAGTAGCCACCTTTGCTCAGGGTGACACTTCCCACGTATTGCAAAACAGGCCATCTTCATCGGTTGGCTCTGCGCTCCATTCAGCAGTGTGGCCTTGTCACCACCTTGTCTATAACACCCGTTGTTCTGTTACATCTTCATTACAACTATGGCTTCTCAAAGCCTCTCTAGCCTCATTGGGTCTCATAACAAGACATATTCCCTCTGTGATGGCCAGCTGCCGATTGCAAGTTGCCAGTATTCCATGATGCAAACACCTTCCCTTCGTCTACTTGGCCCTGTTCACTGATAAGCTCTGGTGGGCGCTGGTGTATACTGAAATAACTGCCGGTTTTAGGGTAGAGAAGTGAACGGGTGATTCTCACGCCAACCAGCTTCCGGTTTGGTGATTGCGCGCCATACCCGTATATAGGCACTCTACCCAGCTACCTGTGTCTGTTTGTTTGTGGGTACAGAAATGCACACGATCAAGACGATCACCATTATTTGCTTTCTTTCAGGTGATGTCTACCGGTAGCTTGGGCGAGGGTGTCTTCGTGCTCTCGGTTTCCGGTGATGCAAGAGATGTATGTTTGGGCCGTTTTGGAGGCAACACGGAGGTAGACGCGTCCCCATCTCCAGATGAAGACAAGGCTTCATCTCGTTTCCGCTTCTTCATAGCTTTGTGCGCTTCCCGAGCTACGTGTGATTCCCTTCTCTCAGCAGTTAAACGTGCCTCCTCGAGCCTCACATCCTCGGGTGTCGGGGGCGTAGGTATTTCAAGAAGTGCCTGTACTCTCCTCTCATCCTCCTCTTGCTCAGCCTTCCACTGCTCCCTTATCTCGGTTGGGGTGTGGCCCGGCGGCCATTCCTCGGCAACTTCATCCCCATATTTACCACGCCGTAGGTATTGGCGGTAGAACAGGCCGTCCAGTATAAACTGAAGTTTCTGGGTAAACTGAGGGTCGTGTTTTCGTTCAAGTACGGGAGTGTTCGGCTGAGGCTTGAGGTAGCGGCCCTGCGTAGAGACCACATCTGGCAGAGGCTGTGGGAACAGTTGTGTTAGCCTGGCTTGCGCATCAGGGCCAAGATACATACTCCATAGAATTTCTCATCGATAAGAGAAGTGGCATCAAGCCATGACTTGAATACGTAACCCCCAGTCTTCTTGATAGGGCTCGACATCAGTATCTTAAGATAAAAACCATGTTCGTTCGAACCGTTCGATGCTCACGAACGAGAGAAGGTCAGGAACTTCCATGGCTCCAAGTCATCAAGGTGAGATTATGTAATCTAGCTAATTATTAATAAGCGCCTTTTATGAATCTCCAAATACAAACATAGCTTTTGCTCTTCATATTCTGTGCTGGTAAACTCCGCCCGTTTGTTTATCACATCTCATCTATGATCGGCACCGCTTTACGAGCGGTTGGCCTTCCCCTGAATCCCGCCAACAAATATGCCTGAGTGCATCCCCAGTTACAATCCGTATCCCATTATTCCCTTCCGCCCAAGGATGGCGTAGCATCTGCGGTAAGAGCTCGTTAACTAGTACATATTAGCTACTGGGACTAAGACACTAGTAGGGAGACAAAGCTTACATCCTATATTGGTGTGGCTTTCTATTTTATATATAGCTTTGCGGTAAGCTTCGTTGAAGATAGGCCTTAGAGTCTCGAACCGGCTCCCAGATCGCCATGGATTAAGGGCAAGCTTCCACGGGTGATGGCCGTGTAGAATCTCAAATCCGATGACTCCCATGGACCACACGTCGATTAAACGGTCGTAGTCCTGGAGCTCACGCTCTGGGGCAAGGTAGTTCACAGTTCCGCCCCGGCCAGGTCTTGTAGGTAGTCGTTCCCCTGGTTCCAGTCTAACGGCTTCTCCAAAATCGAGGAGAATGGCGCGAGTGCCATTATTAAGGATGCCAATATTGCCTGGCTTAAGATCCCCATGGATCCAATTGTGGGTGTGCAAGAAATTAAGGCCAAGCAACGCATCATGAAAGAGACTTGCAATAACTGGTATATCATAGTTTAACCTAGTAACCAGTGTTAATAACCTTGGCTGTAGACCGTTATAAAGACGTATCTATTTAGAGGGTGAGAAAAGAGGAACCTACTTGTAGGTAGGGCTAGTAATATGAGCAAATGTTGCAGAAGCCGCAGGTTCGAGGATGAGCGCAATCTCTTCAAAACCTGTAGGGCTATAGACCGCGTCTCTATTCTGGTAAAGTGTGTCTTTTAAGCGTATAAGCCGCTCTTTATCACCCTCTTTCACTTCAGCCAGTTTGTGAAGCTCGGTGAGAACATCAATCTCATAATTAACCTGATAAGCAGTCCTTTTACTATACTCCATAACTTTGATAGCAACCACTTCGCCTTTATAATTTGTCGCAGAAGAGACCTTACCGTACGCACCTTTCCCAAGATTATTCGAAATAGTCCACTCACCGAAGCAACGCAAACTTTTACTACTAGTAGGTGTAGGCGTTATACCTGTATTAGGAAAACTTGTAGTACCTAGGCTGACTTCCATATAGACCTGCCGGTCTCTGTAAAAACTATCCGTGGATGCGTAGTCGGTGTATTGGAATTCGAATCCCAAGTCGCCAACACGGACATGCATTGGGCTCTGGTTTAGTGAAAACTGCTCGCCGCCATTCACGTCTTTTCCATTGACAGAGAGCTCAGCAGATATGGCATTAGAAGTCTTCGAAATAAAGAGGTAGCCAGTCTTCCCATGAAAATTAAACCGTGCATGATATGCTCGGATGTTGGCTAAATACCGAGGAAGTAAATAGTCAATATCGACACCCCTTCGGCCTCCCTTGCCTATAGTCCACCCCCTTGTGGGTTTGTTAGGCTTGGGATGCAGGTGCAGCGTAAGCCATCCGACCCAGATCATCCCACGTTGTTTCATGGTCTTCTCGGTATCCGTGTCTGGGTCCGTTAGACTATCACTATTATCGGTCTCTTCATGGGCCTTATCCTCCTGGAGCCGGTATAAGAGCGCGCCCTTGTCATACTGTTGCTCTGGATATGCAAACATGTTCTTCTTGTCTGGCTGAGACGCATCTTCGTACATCGCATGGAAAGCTAGTTTCGCAGCCGTGTTCGATGGTATCAGCTTAGCAAACGCGTTCGATGAGGGTGGTTCCATTGTTGCCAGCTGAAGTTTTGTTTTGATGAAAAGATAAAAACGAGAAGGTCAGCAAACCGATTGGTATAGATAGCAGGGGGCGGGAACCGGCATCAGGTTCAAATCTGCATCCATGACCCATTTCCGCGTTGAAGTTGTTATTGGTTGCCTTGAGATCCTTGCATCTCCCTGCAGCCAGTATCTGTGGTTAAAATTGTTAAATGGATTTCGAGCATTTTATCATATAGTGCACATCTATACAAGACCATTCGCTATCCTCTCCAAGCCAGCAAAGTAACTCGCGTAGATAATGGACGACCTCAATGTAGGTCGCGATCAAAGCTTTGGATGTAAGCACGTGATGTAGCTATAATGTCATCGGAATAACAAATATCCATCCCGGGGAAATAAACAGAACAAACAAGACAAACAGTGCAGCAACAGCGCAAAAAAGTCTTCCATGAAGTGCTGAAGTTATCAAACTTATCACGTCGTCGTTAGAGAATATCATTATTAGAGAATCGCTATTCTAATATCATCGTGATAAAGATGATGAGTGATAGGCTTGTCGGCCGGGATGTCGACTATACCACCGGCAATGGCAAGAGATATTCCATGTCTGAGTATTCCTGGACTCAACGTATATCTTAATTGAAGATACGGAGAAGAGAGAACGCCGTCCATTTCTATGCTTTTCGGTATCAACTGTTTTTCTATCTCTAGTCGCCTCCACCCCCTCCCTAGCATCCCGTAAACCAGACCAACCGTTCACCGTCACCTTTTTAAATAGAGAGAAATAAGAGAGAGATGCTATGCAAGAAAAAACAACAGCGAACCGAGACTCGTAACCAATGCTTTTTTTTAGTCGAATAAAATGCAATGCCAAGGACAGGATAAAAAGATTAAAGATATATGAAGAAGTCGAGAAGCAAAGAAGGAGAAGAGAGCGGCAGCTAATCCATCAATATATCTGGTTGAATATGGCATGGTACGGGGTCACCGCTTGACAGAGCTCCTGTTGAGGGCGTCGAGCAGCTCCGGCCTCGCGACGAGAGCGGCCGCAGCCTGGGCGTAGGTCACCCACTGCCTCTTGCGCTTGTGCATCTCGGGCCACTGGCTCTCCTCGCGGTCCACGCGGACCTCGAAGAAGTGGTAGAGCACCCGGGGTGCTTTGGCGGATATCTGGACGGGGCTGCGCATGTCCTGGATCTTGCCTAGGTCTCGGGTGACGGTGCAGACGACGCCGGCCTCCTCCCAGGCTTCGCGGCAGGCTGCCTGGTGGGCGGTGGGCTCGTCGAGTTCCCAGCCGCCCTTGGGGAGGACCCAGGAGCCGGGACGGGCGGACTGGATGAGCAGGACCTTGGACTTGTCGGCGGAGAGGGGGACGACGCCTGCGACGAGTCGTTCACCAGACGGAGAGTATCCTGTTCCCGTCAGCATCTCATATCTTTATATCTTGTATCTTGTATCTTGTGTATGTGATGGTGTATCTCTGAGTATCTTTTGTACATGGGGAGGTTGAAGGGGGAAACACGTGCGCGAACCCTGGGCTGAGAGCTTACGCTGGTTTGTCCGGCCAGTTCTGGCTTCCATCGTGCGAGTTGCCATAGCAGAGAAGAGAGAAGAAGTAGAGGAGAAGAAGAAGAGTAGAAGAAGAGTAGAAGAAGAGAAGAGAAGAGAAGAGAAGAGAGAGAGAGGGAGAAAGGCCAGTGGCATGCAAGCCCTGGTCGATGGCAGAGGTAGAGCTTTTTCCCTTGATAGAGGTTGAAGAACTTTGGTAGCGACTAGCCGGCTTAGCCCTGGAGTCAACTACGTAATATCGTCCGGAAGATAGGGGATAGAGTGGTATAGGGGAGTATAAGGGAGGAGGTTTTATATATACACACGGAATATATACTCCGTAGAGATCGATTTACGATGACTTCTTACTGGCGCGTCGAGACAAGCTCCCTGGACGGCCTTGACGACATCCTGCATCTTCTCCCTCGTTCTCGTCTCGTTCTCTTCCTTTCGTTCGGCCGTCCCTTGCTTGCGCCGTGACTGGCATCTCCCTTGCTCATCTCACCGCCCGGAAGTTATCGTTCGCTACATGCTATACATGCATAGGATAGTTTTCTTGAAGAAAAAAAAAATTAAGATGCATGGCCTTCTTTTCGTTTCTTTTTCCTTTTTCTTCTGTTTTATGCTTCCCCGGAACACGCCCTGCCATCCACCTTGTAATGTTGGTGAACGTGGACATGCACTCTCTTCCGTAGCGTAGGCCTTGATCTTCACCTTTTCTTCTTCTTCCCCATCTTTCGCCTTGATTCATGCATCCGTTAGTTGTTGGATGCATCGTTCAATCTCTCATCTTCGCCTGTTCTGCATGATGCTGCTTAGTAAGGATATGGTCACGTGTGGCCTTCCACCAAAGCGACGATGATGGAAGATATCAAGATGTCGGGGAGAAGAAGAAGAAGAAGAAGGCTTGACATGATGGCGGACCTCAAGATGACGGAGATGTCCTACTTCTCGCCCATGGGTAGGGCTCCCTGAGAGAGTAGCTTCGTAGGGACCAAACTGACCTGAGTCCAGGATACCAGAGAAACACCTGCGGTTACTGCAAGAGAGAAGACGGCAGTTAGTCCAACACACACACGCATATATATGTATATATAATATGGACTAACGGGTGAAGGCGCCAGTTACTATGCATCGTCCACCTCCGTCCGCGTCGAGGAGTACGAGCAGCTCATGAACCGCGGCTGGCGGAGGTCGGGCTCTCTCTACTACAAGCCCAACCTCGCTCGCTCATGCTGTCCACACTATACCATGAGGTCTGCCCCTGTACTCTCTCACACCTCAGAAGTATCCCCCTGACTGGCTCGACAGGATGGACCCAAAGGAGTATAAACCGCGTAGAGACCAGAAGAAAGCCCTGAACAGATGGACGTCTTTCGTCCTTGGGCCTGACTACACCCAGGCTGCCGCCAGACTCTGTCCCAGGACAAGACAGTTAGTTTCTGTCACTTATCCCGCAGTATATGTCACAAAGCTGACCGGACCAGGGAGAAGAAACATCACGATCAAACATTTGACCTGATAGAGCGGGTGCATGAGATGGAATACCCCTCCCTCTCCAGACCGGTCAACCCAAAGTCTAAACGCACCATTGAGCCTGCGCACAGATTCGAGGTCAATCTCGAGTCCGACTCCTTCTCAGTCGCAAAGTAGGTCTCCTCCCACCGCTGTTATGATATACATGCTCACGAGCAGGTTCAACTTGTTCCTACGCTACCAAACGACAATACACAAGGAGCACGAGTCACGATGGAAACACTCTGACTTCAAGCGCTTCTTATGTTCCGGTCTTAAGCAGAAGACGGTCAAGCAGACGTTCAAGGGCGAAGATGGCAGCCCGGCTACCGTAGAGCGCAAGCTGGGCTCGTACCACCAGTGCTATCGTCTTGATGGGGTGTTGATTGCCGTTGCCGTGCTGGACTTTCTGCCTCACTCTGTCAGCTCGGTGTATATCTTGTGAGTTTATACCTTTGATCTGTATAATTATGCACAGCTAAGGCTAGCGGCTAGCTATGATCCGGACTATGAGAAGTTTGAGCTAGGCAAGTTGAGTGCGATGAGAGAGATTGCGTTGACGCAGGAGATGCGGTATCAGCATTACTACATGGGTGAGTCTGTTATCCTTAGACGGCCCGTTTTAAGCGATTAACCGACGGACCAGGCTATTACATCCATTCTTGTCCCAAGATGCGGTACAAAGGTACCTTCAGGCCGCAGTACCTACAGGGTAAGCTACACCCCTCTCCCTCCCATTGACTGCAACTAACGTGCTAGACCCCGAGAGCTATGAGTGGGAACCCCTGGATGAAGTGTTTGCCCCCAAGCTAGATAAAAGACGATACGTCTCGCCTTCCCGCGATAGAAAGGCTGCATCCACCTCCGCGGACGCGCCTGATGTACCCGATGTATACGAGGATATACCGGAGGAAGAATCAATGTCCCTCTTCGACCTACATATGCCCGGTGTCTTGACGGTAGAAGAGCTACGGTCCCAGGTAGACCTGGACCACTGGCACCTTCTTATCCGCGGCATGCTCGTTGAAATGACGGTACATCTCCCACTCCCTTTACTATTACCGGTTTCAATACTAACGTATGCAGGACCTGGTTGGATGGGAGACATCGAGTATCAAGAACCCCCAGGCGATCAAGGGCATCGTAGCCGAGCTCGCTGCCGCTCTAGGGCCAGAGGTAGTCAAGAACTCTGCCGTCATCATGTTCCAGAGCTAGATACATCCCAATACAGAACAAGTCCCCATCTCCAAACTCGATCTATAAATAAATATAGCCGCGGTCTTGCCGGCAATAGGAAGTGCGGGGCTCCCGTTTAGCGCAACCGCGAAACCACGTGAGTCGGCGATTCAAAATCCTTCTTCGGCATAACAAGTTCGACTTGATATTCCTTTTTTTAAAATCTATTTCTTTTCGATATCAAGTTGTCGGGTGGTGGTTTATTATATATTTAACTTATACACGTCTGGCACAGCATGGCGCATGTAGCCGGGAGACAACCATCTCCTATCTCCAGCGGCATGGCCGAGACAAAGGATATCGAACAGTATACACCACCCGTTGAGTCATCACCAGACGAAAAGATCAACCAGAAGACACCGAGCCATGTTCATGCTTTCTGGTCCCGTCTCGCATCATGGGGCGTGGAACTGCGCGGTATCGTTCCCGTCGAGCTCAAGGATCGAACGGATAGAAACGTACTGAGTTTATTCGTCCTCTGGTTTACCATCAGCTGCAACCTCCTACCGTATGTCTGGACAACCATCTCACTCCCGTCCCATGCCCTTCCGTGCCCTCTATCTGGAAACCAGTAATAAGGTGTATTGCATATTACATCCTTTCTGCAGTGAAACACCAAAAGGCCAAATTGAACCGTTCGCTAATGCATGCCTAGAGTTATTACCGGGATGGTAGGGACGCTGAGTTTAAAACTGAGCTTGAGGGATGCTTCGTTGGTGATCATCTTTTTCAACCTGCTCTGTACCATCCCGCCCGCTTACTTGTCTGTCTTTGGGCCGAAGACAGGCATGCGGCAAATGATACAGGCCCGCTATAGCTATGGGTAAACAGTTACCTTATTCGACCCTGGCTCTTCCATGTCGCTCATGTTCAAACTAACGTCTCTGATAGGTTATACCTAGTCAACATCGTCGTGTTGCTGAACATGTCTACCATGTCCGGCTTCACCATCATAAACTGCGTGATAGGCGGCCAGACCTTATCGGCCGTGAACAGCGGTAGCTTAAACGTCAATGTCGGCATAGTCATTGTCGCGCTGGTAGCGTTGTTCATCTCCTTCTTCGGGTATAGAGTGCTGTACCACTATGAGAGATGGGCTTGGATACCGACCTTGATAAGCCTGCTCGTAGCTACTGGGTGTGGCGGGAAGTATCTTTCGAACCAACACACGCCACCACCGGCGACTGCCGTGCCAATCTTATCGTTTGGAGGACTCCTGGCTGGATTCCTTATTTCTTGGGCAGCGCTGAGTTCGGACTACTGCGCGTATTTCCATCCAAGCGTTTCATCGTACGTTGGGCAATCCGTATACATGCTCAATTTTAAACCGTGGGGCGCAACGTACGCTAACAGCCCATATAGAAAACACGTCTTCGCAGCTGTATACGCCGGTCTATGTCTACCAAATATACCCCTCATGATCCTCGGTGCAGCAATAGGCGGCGCAGTACCCAATATACCCAACTGGTCCACCGCATACGAAACTGGCTCTGTAGGCGGAATATTCGCCGCAATGCTCTCTTCTGCCGGCGGCTTCGGCAAATTCATCATCGTCCTACTCACCTTCTCAACCCTAGGTAACATCGCAGCAAGCATATACAGCATAACACTCAACTTCCAGCTTCTACTTCCCGTCTTTGCACGTGTTCCCCGCGCCATATTCGCAATCGTCTTCATCGCAATTGTCATTCCGGTCTCGATACGTGCGGCCGTAAGTTTCTTTGTCTCTCTGGAGAATTTCGCTGCAGTCATCTCTTATTGGTCTGCGACTTTTGTTGCCATCATCGCCATTGAGCATGTTGTTTTTCGCAAGGGTGATTATAATTCATACGACCCGTCGGTGTGGAATGATGGGGCGGCCCTGCCCAGTGGTATTTCGGCTATAGCGGCTGGGGCGCTCTCGTTTGCCCTGGTGGTTCCGTGTATGTTGCAAACTTGGTTTCAGGGACCGATTGCTAAAGTGACAGGAGACATCGGGTTTGAAGTTGCGATGGTGTTAAGTGGTATTTTGTACCTCCCTTTTCGAGCGCTGGAGATCAGACTTAGAAAAAGGATATAGGCATGTGTGGTTTGTACATAGATATAGATAAAGGAATAATTTATGTAATGTGATAAATGGGAAAGGGATACGACATAAAAGCAATACATTACTATAAACGAACATAAAACAGTTCCTATTATCAACATAATATCAAAACGACATAAACGGGTCTTCTCTTCCTTTTTTTGGTTCCGCCTCCCTCACTATGTAGCTGGACAGACCTCCCTTCCCATTTCTCTATTTCAACCATTTTGAAACGGGCACAGAATCCGAAATAGATGGTAAAGACGCAAAAATAACTCCAAGACGAAAAAGGGCCATATACGATCATCTTCATAAGGAATTTTGAAATTGGGTTAAAAACTGGTAAATGTCGGGTTAGGTTTAAGAGGTGAAGAGAAGGTAAAGGCTTTCATCTATGGTGTTGCTTTGCTCATGCCAATCAATCGTTTGATACCAACCTAGGTTTACGCACTTGGGTTAGCTAAGGTTACTTCAATGCAGGACGAGAAATCAACCTACCATCCAGTTTCCGCATTCATCGGTGCGGTTAGTCAAGATATCCAAGTGAATCGCCTGCGCAGCTTCGTAGTCTCTGCTTTGAATGGCTCGGGATAGCTCAACCATGCTATCGATAGTGCCGGGCTTTAGGAGATCCTCGTTGTTTAAGTGGTCGAACAGAATGTTTAGTCTTCGTTCGGTATCGTTGACTTGGGCCTTGAACGTGGATGGAGCACGGGCTTTCACGCGCTGCATATCAACGGAGAGAATATCAAAGATTGGCCTGGCATTGTCTGGGATGTGGGAACGGTCACCGGCGGCTACAAGCAGGTTAGTCATAAGGCTAGGAACGATTATCTTGGACAGATCAACTTACGGTGTTTAGGAGGGGCTGGTGGAGCTTTCTTCTGCGATTGGCTAGTGCTTGGTCGCGAATCCTGTCGCGGAGGAGCACCTGTGTGGGGTGGTGGCGGAGGTTGAGCGAACTGGCCACCTTGTGGTGCATAAGGCCCTTGGGGAGTTCCCTGGGGTGGTGGTGCTGGCTGGAATCGCTGAGCTCCATATGGGCTTGGGCCTGGTGCCTGCTGAGGTGGTCCAGGGGGGCCGGGGGGTCCGGGAGGTCCAGTTGGATGAGCAGGCTGGGCCGATGGAACTGGGGCATAACGATTTGAAGGCGGTGGGCCAGCTGGTGGTGGGCTATAAGGGGACGCACTGCGGGCAATGTGTGGAGGGCCACCAGCTTGTCCTGTTGGAGGAGATTGTACTGGAGGGGGGGCATACAGGTTTGCGGTAGATGATGGTCGTTCCGGTGGTACGAACTGAGAACCACCCGCAGAACCCGGAGGGGTTGCTTGCGCTGGAGATGGGAATCGGCCCTTTGGAGGTGGAGGAACGGGCATGGAAGTTCGCTGACCTGGACCTGGAGGGCCGGGAGGAGGGGGAGGGCTTTGGGTTTGTTGTTGATTGGGGAAAGGTGAACTGATAACCGCAGGACCTTGGCTTGGGGTTCCGCGGCGAGGGGTTGGAGTCCTAGCAAATCCTTCGGGCAGATCGTTCCACGCAGGGACGTTGGTTCGCTCGGTATGTGGCTTTACCGTTGAGGGAGATTGTGTGAGGCCTCTTGGAGGAGGTGGAACTCCATGGCCTTGTTGACCAGGGAATAGGGGAGGGGTAATGCCGGCCTGTTGCGCCGGCTGGTAGCCAGCCGTGGGTGCATAGTTGGATGTCTGAACATTTGGGGCATAAGGGTTGCTGGGTTGGTTGAAAGCAGGTGGAGCGTATGGATTGTTTGGAATTGGGCCACGGTTCACCATTGGCGGCGGTTGCTGTTGAACTTGAGGCTGTGGGGGGGTGTAGCCAAGTGACTGCTGAGACAGACCTGCTGAAGACTGTCTGGCTGCAGGAATATGTGAAGTTGCTGCTTTGGTAGCTGCCTTGGTAGTAACCTTCTTGGTGGCCAGTTGGATGCGGTTCTTTGCAACTCCTCCTGCAGGATGGCTGTCTGGCAACAGGCTAAGGTATTTCTCTGCTACGTCCAATCTGCCATGAGTAGCAACAATTTCAGCATATTCAATATACTTGTCATAGAGAGAGCTGAGCTTCCAGTCCGATTCCTTTTGTCGCTCAGAGTCCACGAATTTAGATACCTGGCGGAAGACAGTGACTTTCTCAATAAAGTCCCGGAGCACTTGAACATGAATGGAGAATCCAGTCTCGCCAGAGGCATTCTCAACCATCTTGTTCTCGTTCTCTTTTAGTTCCTGGATCCAGATAGAGACAACCTTTTCCAACTTGGAACTAGCCAAATAGCAGAACGAAGCGTCCTTGCGAGTCTCCTTGCTGTCGTTAGTTCTTGAGTATTCTTCCAGTCTGTCACCAAGCGCCTCGCAAAGGTCGGGGTATTCCTTATCATCGGCAAAAGTGCAAATGATAGCAACTATTTCCTTCCAGTTCTGGAGATCTGCATTGTGCACGACGTCCCAGATATCCTTTCCGGCAATGGATGCGAGTAGACGGATGTAGCTGGGTCCCTCAGACTTTTTGAGGAAGTATGCCTCTTGAGCCTTTTCAATACATTTCTGGCCCCCAGACAAGGCAATCATGAGAGCATCAGCCATCCGGTCCTCCTGCAGACAAGTTTCAAGGGCCTTATCGAATTGTCCTTGCACAAGAGCCTTTGTAATGGCCTTGTCGGCTTCAGTCTCCTCTCCAGTAAACAGCTTAAATGGATTGTTGGTCTTAGCTTCCTTGGAGGCAGATAGGTCATTCAAGAAGCTGTCATTATCGGCGCTGGAATCGAAGATGGAGGTAAGTCTCTTATGTCTTTTGGCTCCCGAAGGAGGTGTGAGCGCCGGCTTCTCTTCGCCATTTGTTTTTTCTTCCTCTTCTGCTCCCTCTGCTTTCAGTCCGAGCTTTGATAAGCTGTCCGCGGCCTCCTCGACGCTTCCAGAGAATCCAAGGTGAGATATGAGTTCCTTCCGAGGCGTTTCCGACATCATGGTAGTCATAACTCTCCAGTCGGACTTCTCTTCTTCAGTCTTGGCCTCCGCAGCTCGAGATTCGCAGATACTGCGGACGTCTCCGGAGCTTAATGCGGTCTCAAAAGCATCAGTGGCAGCACCAATGCTGGCGTCTACCTCGAACTTGCTGATACGAATGGTCGATGTCCGCGTCCCTGGCGCAGTTACCACGGAGATGACCCTTCCACCAAAGCCAAAATTGGCAGTAGTTGGACGCTCAAGCCATTTAGGAGCTTTGGGTAATGAGAAAGTAGGGCCTTGAGGTTGAGTCTGCGCCTTGGCGAAGAAGTCTTCATCATTGAGAGGTTGCGCATCATCACCCTTTTGCGCCATTTCAGGGTTAGTATTTTGGAGGGTCTGGATAGAGATCTTTCCATCCAAGGAGGCGGTAGCGAGGATGTTGGGGTTGGTAGGGTTAAATCGAGTCTGGAAGGTAGCGTTTGTAACAATTGGGAACTCTCCGTATGCCTCGCCGGTCTGGGCGTTCCAGCAGATATTTCGGTTATCCTCACCACTGGAAAGTAGGAGCCTTGGGTCTTGAGGACACCACGATAGCGAGAGAACGCCGGATTCGTGGCCCTTTAGCACCCGCTCGGGAGCATTGGCGTTACGCAAGTCCCATACAAGAATAACTGGGTCAGTCTCGAGGGGTATGGAGGTAACTAGTCTGGTAGGCTTCTCTGGGTCCCAGGCGATAGCACTGACCGGCTTACGGCCCAGGTTCTTAAGGGTCAAGCTCTCCTTTCCGGCCTTCGCATCCCATACCGTTACGAACCATCACTGTTTCCTGTGGCCAAAATATGGGATACTTTTTTGTTCCAGTCGAGGCAATCTACCTCGACTTGGCTGGCTGCTACTTTCCCCAGCCTAGTAGGGTTCTCGATGTTGTTGAGGTCGGTGATGAATAACTAGCGTAGACAGTTCCGTCAGTATACGGTCACAAAATAGGTGACAGGTGGTATACATACCTCCCCTACGCTTCCACCGCTTGCTAGGAGATTGGAGTGCTTTGGGTGAAACTGAAGCGTCTTGACTGCCCCGCTATGAGCAGACACTTTCATAGCCGGCTCACTGCCACAAACAGTCAGCTCAATATCTTCCATAAAAGGTCCAATTCAACGAACCTAGAGCCATCCAGCAGCTTTGCAGCGTCCCATAGATTCAGGGATCCATTCTCCAACGCTCCAGCAATCAGTCCTCTGGTACTATCTTCTGTCTCCGCCCACCCAAGATCATGGAATCTGCAATATAACCCCGTTAGCTAGGACATCCATTGACAATAACAACCCCTTTTATCACGTCAATTATTCCCAGCTTGAGCTCACCTGGACTCCGTACTAATCTTGGCTACTGGCTGCAGCTCAGCTCCCGCATTCTCACTATCGAGCTTGAGATCCCACAGCTCTAAAAAAGTCTCATTGGAAAAATCGACATCGACGGCCCTGACATGGGTTCCAGTCGCAAGGAAGGGAGAGGCATGGCCGGGAGACCAGGCGAAGGCCGCACTGCGTGGTATCTGTCTTAAACGCACCATGTCTGCTTGTGTTGATATTAGGGGTTGCTCGAGGAGAGAGAAGGAAAACCACTAGCCGTCTGGGATAAAAGACGGGTAGGCTCCTTTAGCCAAAAGGTCCTGCCAGCAAACAGACGGTTAGAAGGACAGGGACAAGTTGTATATCTTGATATCTTTGTCGTTGGGCTTCAAAAGACAACAAGCAGCAACTTTAGGTGGCCTTTTTAGTATGTGATCACGTGATGGAAGATGGAAGTTGGGGATATTAAAGGACAAAACATTTATATACAGACATAAACATAGACACAGAGAGAGGAAGCACAGATAGAGAGAGTAGATACAGATAGAGACGATGACGGACGCCTCCAGGCTGAAAGGCACCATCTATGTGGGCGGGCTGGACCAGGCGGTCACCGCCAGGACGCTGAGTGAAGCATTTATCCCCTTTGGCGAGATAGTTGATATCTCGCTCCCCAAGCCAGAGCTGCCTTCGTCTACGGACCTGCACCGGGGGTTTGGATATATCGAGTTCGAACTACCTCAGGATGCAAAGGAGGCGATCGACAACATGGACCAGAGCGAGCTTTACGGACGAACTATCAAAGTTGCAGCAGCGAAGCCACAGAAGGAGAGCAACGAGGGACTAGGGAGTAAAACAGCTATCTGGGAACAGGTAGGACTTCTTCCAAACTTATTTAACTTCAAAGAATAGCATGTTAATATGATTGCCACATAGGAGGGATATCTGGCCAAACATGCAGTCAGCGAGGAAGACCGCATGGCCACTGGAGAAGCTGGAGAAACTGGCACAAGCAACAACCGGCCTGAGGATCCAATGCAGGGCCTAGAGGGACTAGACGTTGCAGGTCCGAAGCCAGCATAGAAAAGGTTCAGAAAGGCCGTCCGAAGAAGAAAACGGAAGACTAGGACTTGATATTTCCAGCACTTGCGCAAACTGTGCTGAATTATCTCATATATGTACAAAGACCGCCACCAAACCTCAGCTGCCGTCTAACGATACAAGAAGGAGATGATTGCATTCTTTCTGTGCTCCTAAATCTGCTACTCGAACATCCATATGCCGCGACCCATCATCCCTTCACCCGGGTAAAATTCCTCACTTAATGTTCCTCACGCTTCGATCGGGTGAGACGGAGGGTCTTGTCACTGAGAAGCTTCTTTCCACTGGAGTAGATGGCGGCGCCAATGGCAACACTGGGGGTTTTGTTAGTGGTGTACTCTTTTGGTATGTGTTGGAGGATGGTATCTTACGAGAGGACGACACCTGGACGTAAATAGACGAGGTTAGCAAAATCAATTCATTCTACTTTGTAGGTTACCAGGCTAAACATGTCTGTACTCACCGAGAGGGATCAACTCTGGAGGAATCTTCTTGAGCGTTCGCAGACGTTGAGAGATTGTGTGAGCTGTGGTTTAAAAGGAGATGTCAGACGTTGCTCGTGTCAAATCCAGGCATTGGCCCGCCAAAGTCATGGAACTCGAGTCTCTGAAGCTTACCGCTTTGCTGTTCCTTCTACACATAGCTGTTAGCACTGGCCGCCCGGTTCAACAGTGGTGGGCAAACGGAGCAGTGATGTGAAAAACATAATGTACTTACGGGGATGGGCCCAAGGAGAGGTCGAGAAGACCTGAAGCCGAGGACACGAGTGGCCAACATGGTTGCTAACTAGGTAGACAGCTTCCTTAGAAGGCGAAGAGTGAGATCTGTTGTGTGCTTGTTGCGTTCAGGTTCTTATATATCGGGGATCGTATGTTGTTTGCAGCAAGATGGGAAGAAGTGGGAAGAGTAAAGCTGAATCAATGATTCGCCGGATTCCGACGTGGTGTGGTTGGTCAGCTTTCTCACGGGACTTTTTTCTCTCTCGCAACTTCACACCACAACAACAACGTCGCAACACCCAAAGCAACAACCCATAGCAACTTCTACTACGACAGCGGTCAATTGCGTTCCCGAACCAGCCAAAATGCCAGCCGATATCCCAGACGCCGACCCAGATGAGCCCGTCGAGACCAAGCCCTTCAAGTTCGTAACCGGTAAGTTGACCCTTCCACTGTTTCCACCTTAACACTCCTCGGAACAGGCCTGGCTTATGTGCAATTGCTGACTCTATCTTCGATAGCCGGTATGTTATAGGATATGATGCTGCATTTACGACGTCCTTGTTCGATTTGTACGATTTATGAGAGAATGTCGACTGACTGTTACTCTTAGGCTTCGACGCCCGCTTCCCTAACCAGAACCAGTAGGTCTCGCCCCATTGGTAGTACATGGAGGTATAAGGACAGATCTAACGGTGTTTCCAGGACCAAGCACTGTTGGCAAAACTACGTTGACTACCACAAGTGTGTCAACGCCAAGGGAGAAGAGTTCAAGCCCTGCAGACAGGTACTTAACTCGACAATACCACATCAAGGTCGACTCATGCAACTAATCATAATATAGTTCTACCTTGCTTTCCGGTCTCTCTGCCCCAAGACCTGGACCGATCGATGGGACGACCAGAGAGGTATGTTCTTCGAGTCTACAGTGCCCGTAAAGTGACTAATATCGCCTATAGAAGCTGGCAACTTTCCTGCTCACCTCGACCGATAGATTTCTTTTAGGATGGCCTCGGGGGCTGCTAGTTTTAAAAGCCGTCGTTTGGCGCAGTTTCCTTGGCTTGCTGGTGGTTAAAGAAGTGTATATAATACTGTCTCAATATTAAAGCAGGATTTCAAAGCAAGGACTATCTTTATTACTTTATTATTAGTGTAGTGCCTTCACTAAATTACTGACGACTCCATTCAAGATAGCCTTGCAGCAGTCTTGGGTTGTTTCGAGTGAGTATAACCCTCCAAATAGATCTAATCTATAAATACCTATCCATATTATGAATTATACAAATTATATAATATCCAAGTATCCTCTCCAAACTCCAACTAGAGGGGTGCCTCCGATTTATCCCCTTTCAATGCACGGTATATCTTCTTATGTTGCTCCAGGAACAAAAAGGTAGCAATAGTATGCGGTCCAAGCCGGATGAAGCTGGGCGTCCATCCTCTGAACATCCATGTAAAGCCTTCCTTCTTAAACACGTCCCTCAATAATCCAACGAAGCTCTGGCCTTTACTCTCAGCAGGACTAGCATGCATGATTCTAGTCTTGATCACATCCACAGGGCTGCAGACGGATGTGGCTACAAACCCGGCCATGAATGAGGAAGTAAAGTGCGTCGTCAGATTATCCTTCATGCCCAGGCTGTTGATGCATATCCCTTTGAAGGTATCGTAGGTAGCTAGCTGCGCGGCAGTCATGAGCACTGCTCTGGCTGAGTTAGGCCAGACACCACGAAAGGCACTGCCGATGCCCTCCGAGCGTATCATTCGGGATAGCCCGTCAAACGCATGCTTGTAATTCCGTCTTTTCTCAGGCGGCAGGCCGGCATCGGACTGCATTCGTACATTCAGAACGTCTGCGGGGTTACCTACCAATCCGCCTAGGAAGCCGGATACCGACGCCATAGCAATTAGAGTAGGCAGTGACGGAGGAGAAGATGACGATGACTGGTTGACTCGAGACTTTAACTCCTCGTATACTCCAAACCGAGTGGTTGAATATGTCAACTGTCGTAGAACCGAGGCAGAGAGCTATTATACATGTCAGTGACTAAATAACTTCAGATCTCTTCTAGTAGTTCAACAAGACATACTCCGTTGTAGAGCCCTAAGAATCCATTATTTTTGCAGATGTGGACGATGGTCCGGAGCATCCCGGTTGGGTCATTTGGTCCTCGAGTCTGTAGCCTGACCTATCATACTAGATATCAGCAATTTCGCACAGAAGCACACCTCAGCAGAAGAAAATACCTTGACTAGAACAAACCCGTCAGCAACTAGCTTCTATCAAGGCATAGAACAGTTATACAGAGACTATCTCACCTAGATCCAAGGGATGTGTCACCCCCGCCGCACAGCATGAAGCTGATCCTCCAAACCAGAATGGATAATGCAAGCCAGGCTGGGAAGAAGGGCTACCCTTGATCACTTCGTTTTTCCCCATGTCGACGCCCACAAACTGCGCATCATTGCCCTCTCACGAAGCTGTTCGCAAGGAGTCTTGTCGTTTTGCTCTCTTTAATATTTTTCGACTTTAAATCGATTTTACGAGTTGGAAGCTCCAAAAATACATGTCTCCATCTGACAATACGATACGCAACATATATTCGCCGACTCACTGTTATTGGCTGTTAATAGGAGTACCTGGTAATCCTGATACACAGCCAGTACCTCCAACGAAAATTACGAAAGCTGATCAATATTTATGAGCTTGAAGAGAAGAATAGAAGTAGAAGAAGGAAAGAAAAGGATATAACGGACAAGATGCAGTTACTAGCGACGGGGAGGGCGATCCGATTCTCAGGCAGATGGCCTCTGGCAGCACCGCGGCCGATATATATCCAACGGTCCTTTCAACCGGCACTGCGCCCCCGGTTCAACAGCTCTACAACAGCTTTAAAAGACAAGGAAGCTCTCAGATCCAAGCCGGTATCATCAATTGCCTCTTCATCCCCGGTTTTTGCAGTGGGAAACAAGTCCTACGAGCCCGATGAATGGACAAACGCTCCCACTCATATCCTTTCACACCTTGGCCGCGGTCTATATCTAGACGAAAACCACCCTCTCTCTATAACCCGAAAGCTCGTCGAGAGCCAATTCGCAGGCCCCGAATATGGGAACTATGCTGAATCAGAACCAATTGTTCCGGCGGCGCAGAACTTCGACGACCTAGGCTTTCCAGCAGACCACCCTGGACGGAGTCGGACAGACACATACTACTTGGACAGACAGACCGTGCTACGGACACATACAAGTGCGCATCAGCGAGCATACTTTCAGCAAATGAACAGAAATGAAACGACGAAGCCGGAGGAGAAGGGGTACACAATTGTAGCGGACGTCTATCGCCGTGATGCCATTGATCGAAGCCATTATCCTGTCTTCCACCAGATGGAGGGTGCACGGCTGTGGAAACGGCCTGAGAACGAGCCGTTGAAGTCCTCTAAGCAGACAGCTGCAGAAATATGGAAAGACGTTGAAACCCTGCCTCGTCATGATGTTGTGGTAGAAGACCCTAACCCGACGATACATCCAACTCGCAACCCGCTACAAGACAAATACCATACCGCGGAAGAAGTTGAGGCAATGACTACACATCTAAAACGCTCTCTGGAACTTCTCGTCATCAGGATCTTTTCCGCCGCAAGAGCTGCCACTGAAAACCCGGCCGCAGCTCGAGAACCGCTGAAAATCAGATGGATTGAAGCATACTTCCCCTTCACCAGCCCGTCCTTTGAGCTCGAAGTCTTCTGGCAAGGTGAATGGTTGGAACTCCTTGGCTGCGGTGTTGTCAAGCAAGAGCTTCTCAACTCGTCTGATGTCCCCCATAGAATCGGCTGGGCTTTTGGCCTTGGTCTCGAACGAATTGCAATGCTTCTCTTCAACATACCTGATATCCGACTGTTCTGGTCCAAGGACCCCAGGTTTCTTTCCCAGTTCCAGGCCGGCAAGATCACCCGCTTCACGCCCTTCTCTAAGCATCCTGCATGCTACAAAGATGTTGCCTTTTGGTTACCCCCATCAGCCGCAGGCTCTGTAAGCGCAGCTGGGGGAGGCGTGCCGTTCCATGAAAACGATATAATGGAAATAGTACGTGGTTCTGCTGGTGATTTGGCAGAGGATGTAAAATTGGTTGATGAATTTACGCATCCTAAGACGGGGAGAAAGAGCTTATGTTATCGAATCAACTATAGAAGTTTGGAAAGGACGTTAACGAACGAGGAGACAAATCAACTGCATGATAAGGTAAGGAAAACGCTGGTCGAAACCGCCGGGGTTGAACTGAGATGATGAAAGGCTCTCTTCTCTCTTAACGATCGTGTATACTAGCCATCCTGTATTTTTAGATAATAATTCAATTCCATCTGGATAGACATAGCAGCCTCTTTATATGCATAGAATCCTCCAATCCACTGCATAGTTGCTATTAAATGAGTCTCTAAAATGAATATATGAAACTGTACATCATGCCATGCACCATTCATATTTGCACCGCTTCCAATGAGCAGCCATTGTTCCGCCAAAAGGAAAAAGAAAATAATAATAGGAAAGGCATAAGACAAAAATCGTACAAATAGGAGGGGAGAGATAGGGAAAGAAGACTGGAACGGGTCATATAACAGTGGAAAAGATGTTGATGGTGTAATTTATGTGTACATATCGTCAAACTGAAATATCATCCCGTGAAGAATAACCTTAAAGCAAAACGCCGTGCCTTAGCTGTTTTTATAACCGGCTCCGCAGGAAGCAGAATAGTATACAGTACGCCGAATTAATTGGCTATAAGTGGAAATTGGGAGGTTGGTCCAAGTAGAATGGATAGAAGAGGAGACATTAGGGTTGGAGACATAGTTTTGGGTTGTGATTTCAGGGTGTGTGAGAAGTTTTATGCGTTCTTCACAACACCAACTTTAGCTGCCTAAGATAGATATTAGTTGGGGTTCTACTGTTAGATGTGTAGAATATGAACTTACCCTAAGGATTCTGCCATTGAGGGTGAATCCCTTGTTCTGGACATGCAAGATCTCGCCGTCCTGCTTGCCCTCCATCGGGGACATGAACAAAGCCTCGTGTCTACTTGGGTCGAACTTTTGAGGCTGGCCATCTATAAGCTCAGAGGGGTCGAATCTGACAACACCGTGCTTCTTCAGAGTGTTCATGAGGATACCCTCGGTCATCTTCAAGCCAGAGTACAGCTCATAAACATCCTTGTTTTCCTTCGCATTGGCGGCATCGACCTTCTCTGCAGGGACAGCTTCAAGGGCACGCTCTAGGTTATCAATTGATTCAATCAGATCCCCTGCAAACTTCTGAATGGCAAAGGTACGGGCCGCTTCGATATCTCGGCGAGTTCGTTCTTGCAAGTTTCGGAAGTCAGCGACAGATCGGAGGTATTTATCCTGATACATGGCAAATTAGCTCTCGTCAATCGCATATAAACCGCATAAAGACAACATGTCCAATGGTTTATACCTTCAAATCAACGACTTCCTTCTCACGTGCCTCTAGATCCTTCTTCAATGTGTCGAGTTCAGATGGTTTTTCAGCTTCGGCTGCTTCTTCAGCCTTAGGTTTTTCTCCGTTGGCTTCCGTCGAGGCATATCTACTCTGTAGTCGGGTGGGAAGTGATCGTGTTAACTGTTGAGACTGCTGAATGATAGCTGCTTGTCTATGGATGGGCGAGACGGAGAATGGAGTTGCGGAGCCGGCAAGTCGGCTTTGTCTGAGGAGTGCTCTGCGAAACATGATCGTAGATGTATATTGTATCTATATACGCAGTCAATAGCAACTGGAGATGAAAAGTTATTCAAGTCTTTGGCAATGAAATTCGTGTTTTGAGCATCAAAATTCAAGAGCAAGAAAAAAAAAGCTACAAAAAAAATATAAAAATCGACCTCAAAAAAGCTTAGCGGAATTACTTTTATCCGGAAAGGGTTTTTTTTCCATCAAATATTTTTACATAGAAAAGAACGACTACATTAAATTCAATTCCCCTATGAGATTAATTATATATATCCAATATATCTGGTGTTTAAAAGGAATATCGCCTGTCCAAGGGTATATCGTCTATTTTCGGTTGCCCGACCTGGCAATCCCTCTCTTCCAAAGTCCTTATCCAAGAGTCCTATGGTTCCTGTTGGGATGCTTAATCAAAATGTAATAATTGTTACGCCGAATGAAATGCCTTTTTTGATAGAGAATGTGAGGAGTTAGCACTGCCAACCCGAGTGTAGCGGGAGAAGGGGCCCCGGATCCCTGTGGTTTGCCTGGCCCAAGTTTGGACGGCGTCGAAAACAAATAAGGAAATGGTATGTTCAAAGAGTGTGTTCGGTATGGTGGGTAAGATTTGATTTTGAAAGAGAGATTATATCCATGGTTTGTCAGGGTTTGAGCGTTGGAGTCCTGCGTCGGCATATATTATGATTGATTCGAGGTCACTTCGTCGGCTGTCCTTTTCGCTCACGCTGGTGAAATCGCTTATGCTTCTGTTATGGCCACTCTCCTTCGCAGCAGGCTGAGGCAGATTGAGAATGGCGACCATATGCTCCAGAAGCTTTTGTTGGATTTTTGCTCGCCGCTCTTCTGCGTATTCAAGTTTTGTGGCCCACTCGTCTATCGATTGGTCGATTTCCAGCAGGGCTTCTTCTTGTTTCAAGACGCCTTCAGGAGAAAAGCTGGAGACACCGCTGGCGGATTTGAGGTATGATATCACTCGGCCATGCAGGCGCTGTCTATCAGATCGGAGAGCAACGTGGGTATCCCGGAGGTATTTGCAATGTTTATTCAGAGTGTGCATTTCCTAGTTTCTCTTGTTAGCTAAAGATTCCCCCTTTTTTGGCCGTGACTGATGCATGCTTTACCTGAGTGAGAGAGGACACCTCGCTGTACTTGAGGACTTCAAATCTCTGCCCTCTGCGCCGCGCTTGACTTTGAAGTTCCTCGATTTCTTGACAGGTAAGAAGCATGGAAGCCGTTTGGATGGAATACCCTGGCGGCAGGTTTCCAACGGGAATGTCAATATTCTCAAGAGCTCCTCCGTCTCTTGGTTTCTTCTTACATGACTTGTCTCTTATGACAAGTGGTTTCGGAACGTCATCGTCTTCCCCCGGTAGAGGGCTTTCTGCTCGTCTGGTGGCATCGAGTCCCAATACCTTCAACGATTTCGGTCGTCTATCATGGTATCTCTGAGAGAATTGCGGGAGATCCGATAGCTGGTCTGTCGACCGGTCCCTTTCTAGTAGTAGGTTCGATGTAGACCCCCCTCGCAAATGAGAGAGATCAGGAGCAGACGACGAATGGACCGCTTCTATATATCTGTTTTTCGGGTTACTTCGACCAAAGAAGTGAGATGTGCCGGACTTTTCCTTCTTTGAGACTCCTAGCTCAGTCTTCGGGGGCACTTTGGGGGGAATCCCTTCAATTTCAGCCTTCATAGGGCTCCGCTTGCGCTGTAACCTGGCTCTAGGTTGTTGCTGGTGTTGCGCCATGGTCGGCTGGCTACCTGAGGGTGTAAGTCGTCCGGTTGAATGTGGGCTCGACGACTGTCTGGATGTGCTGTGACCATTTCCTGTCGGCCTGCCAGTGCGCCTTTCGCTGAAACCTGGGTATCCCAGGGGTGAACGGTCGCGGGCTCTGGAGGAGGATCGAGAGAGCCCTAGGGCAGTTTGAGCTCTCTCATGGCTCGGGAAATAGCCCGGTATCGTTGCTGCACTAAATTAGTTAACCGGTTCAAAACATCATCGGCACCAACACTTTCCCACTAAAAGAACTAAACGAGAGAAGGGGGAAAAAAAAGGGTATTGGTTTTGGGGGCCATACGTGAATCCATGGGTTTGGAATGCCGGTTTGTAGATACTGTCAACAGAGACTCGCGAGAACCGGCAGCCAGTCTGTCACGATTAGGCCCGATGTATATGTATCTTCCTGAACTGGAGGATTCTGGGGTTCGTCCTCTCGAGCTCCCAGATGCCCTTTTCGCGGGTGGCCAGAATTGGAGTTTCAGCTTTTCCGTTATACTCTGCCTTGCCAACTCCGGGGGCTCGTACGTGATCTGAGGTAGTTGAAACCCGGTCAGAGATCAATCTTGAGGAGAAAAAAAAAACAGAATGGAAATAAAAGAAGGGAGACTGTGAGAGAGGGACAAGCGTCAGGACGAGGCGGTTAAGTACTGAGATACCTTGGGAGAGGTGTCCTTTGCGATTATATTGTTGATGCCGACATGGACATCGAAGTCGTCTATCCAATGTTCGCAGACAGCCATTGCCCTGTTTGAATAAATAGACAACCCCAGCAAGCGGAGGAGCTATAGTGGATCTTGTTAAGGCCGTTTATGGTTTTCTTTAATTATGTTCTTGCCTTCACGATGTTTCAACGATATCCTGACCATGCGAAAATCTCCACCTTCATTTATTTCACGGTTTTCCTGTTAGAATTCCCGGAAAATAGGCTTGCTGGCTGGCTGGCTGGCAGGCTGGCAGGACGACCATCAGGCGGGGAGGGTTGCGGAGAGGAGACAAGAGCGTAAGAGACCCTGGCTGAGAATGCCTAAAGGGAAGAACTGCGTCAAGCATCATGCTCCCAATTCGTGTCCCCCATAACCGACTAAAAAGAACTTCTTAGGGTGCTGAATACATCCCTGCCAGCCTTTTCCCTGTCTGCAAGAGAGGGGGAGCTAAAAACGCCTCATCACCGGACTTCGGGGCTTAGGATGGCTCTAGTTCTGCAGCAAGGCAGCACAAAACTCCGTTTGCAGCATTGTGACGAGGTCACCAGGAGAGTAAGAAACTAGGAAGATCTGAGCTGTTGGCGTATATAAACCGATTGTTCGCTGGGAATAAGCAAACATATCAAGCAAAAAAAGGGGTTGACCAAAGTCGATCAGCCACTATCTTCAGTACCTGACGCACGTCCAGTCGATGTGTTGGAAAATTAACTTGATTCTTGGTGAAGACATTGTTCCCCCACGGCTGATAGACAGATGGGCGTTTGCCCAGGGGTTAATCTCGGAATAGGGAGAGACAGCTTCTGCATCCCGTTTCTCTAATTATTCAACCAACAGCCAGGGCCTCGGCCACCTAACCGAACACAAGTATATGCCTGGATGGTTTGTTATGCATGAAATGGTTAATCGACGCCCTGTTCAAAATCCAGTCCAGTCTTGTTCTTTTCGCAGGGAGCCACCCTTGGCAGAAGGGGGGAGAAATATACGTTGAAAAAATAACGGCCTGGCTTCATCCCATCCACTCCTTTTTGATAACCTGGATGGCCACGTTTTTTCTTTGTGCTTTTGCAAACCGACTATAGCCGGGGCCTTGGTCCTGGTCCTGAGTTCTTGGTCATTGGATTTCGCCCTCTGAATCAGGTTCTTGAGGGTTTTTTGGACTCGGCTCTGTTAGAGTCGCTCCCGTCACACGGCCCATGAACGGCAGTACGTGCATAGCTAGAGTGTATATAGTTCAAATTGGTCGAATGATAAATGATACTATAGTCGAACGATAATAATCGTACCTGTCAAGCGTTAGAGGTATTGCTATATGATATACCCTGCCCTATAGCTCGCTGAGGGCCGCCTCAAAAGGCTCAACCCCAAGCAACCCTTCCCGTCTCCCACCAATTTAACGGGATAGGAACTTCTACGCATGAAGAACTCTCCAGATACGACGATCGTACTTTTTCTAGCGTCGTCAAGCCCGATCTTCGAGGCATGGAACAAGGAGGTACCTCGTATTAGAAAAGAAGAAAAAGTGATCTGTTGCTGGCGGACCTGGAGTAATATGGAGTTCGTGCGTGGTGATTTGCGGAAAAAGGGGGTTGTTACTCTATGTTATGCGAGTTGGTCCGATCACCATCGACGATTGCTTGGATGTCTTTTCGAGAAAGCCAACTATGTAAACTCCTCGTACTCTCTTAACTTGTGCAAAGTCGGTAGGTTTTGCCTTGGCCAGACGTCTACCACCCTCAAAGACACTGGAGGCTGAGATGAATATACGAACTTCTTGCCTGCGAACACGGCAACAGGGTAACTAATGGGATCAAAAACTGTTCTATCGTAAGAGATGAAAATCGAAATGGATATTGAATAGAACAATGGCGCTCGTTAAATTCACGACGAAGTTAATGTCGTACCCACCCATGCTCGCATTCCAAACCTCTAGCAAAAACGGGCAAGATTCAACAGCAGCAACATGAGTTTCGAGGGGACAACACAAGATTTAATAGGGCAATACACAATTAATAGGGGAATGCACGATTAATAGGATAGCTGCCATTACCCCAACCAGGCTCTAGGCTAGTAGACGGGAAAGGTGTCAACAAGCAATAACCAGAGATAGAAGCATAGCAGGTCAGGTTAGGTGATCTTCTCGCCGTTTTGATATTTAATATCATCTGTTATTTAATATCATCGTCAGTGTCGTACGGTATGTTCAAATCCCCATCTATTATTTAGTTAGATAATAAACAAAATATTAGATGTATGACTTACCCCAATACCTAGCTTTCTTTAGGAACTCCACCAACTCCTCCGTGTCTGTAGTTGTGGTTTGTAGTTATATTATTTTGCAGACGTTAAAAGTTTTGGCAGGGGGTTGCAGGTGGTATTTTATCCTTGAAAGATATTAGAAAAAGTGAGAAGTGAGGTAACCAGCAAAGGCGCTGGGGTAACTTTGCGTCATCGACTTGAAGTTACCCGGGTTGGTCGTTTATATAATTGACTATGGCTCAACCATAGATCGAGTTACTTATGATTATCCTGCCAGGTTATAAAGAGAGTGAATGCTAAGATCGAACTGTGCCCTGCATGCAGCCAGTTAATCCATCCAACGCAGAGTAAAGCCAGAGGGAACAGCAAAAAGTGAAAACACAGAGAGTTATATGCATGCATCTGCACCTCGACAAGTAACTAGTGGTTATACACCAGCGACCAGTCAAAGGTAGGGAGAAGGGAAGAATAAGCTTAAGCTTGCCCACACTAACTCGACTTTGATCTCGGGCGTGACATAAAAAAAGAAAGAAGAAAAGAAAGGGGGATGAAGTCCGGGGTGGCCGTTGGGAGGAGGAAGTAGAGCTAGGAGGGAAGATGGAGATAAAGAAGATATAACACTCGACAATGCCTCAGGAGAAACCCAAGGTAGTATTAGGAAGAGTTCATTAGCTAGCTACCGCCCGACAAGCCTTCCCTAGTCACTTCGTAGTTAAGTG